TTGAGACTTTAACAAGGTTTAGCCAGAAGGGTACCAAGTTCATTCAAATTTTAGCATTGCACGCGTGCGCATGTGAATGCATGCAGAAACAAGACCTTTCAGTTAAAACTGAAAGGCGGCTTTCAGTAACTTTTAAGTGGCCATTCAGCCACTGAATGGCACATACATTTCAGTGACCTTTCAGTTGCCTTTCAGTCACATTTCAGATACCTTTCAGTCACCTTTCAGCGGACACATTTCCGTCAACTTTCAGTGGCCTTTCCATCAACTTTCCGTGACCTTTCCATCAACTTTCAGTGACCTTTCCGTTGTCTTTCAGTGACCTTTTCATCGACTTTCAGTGACCTTTCCGTCGACTTTCAGTGACCTTTCTGTCGTCTTTCAGTGATATTTAAGTCTCAATTTAGCATTTTTTTCACTAGCGTATTATTTTATAATCAGATATTTTTCCTTAACAAGGAAGCAATATTTTGAATAAAGATTTATTATTCATTCTTAATTGTGGTTTTTTATTACTTATCGTGATCAAATTCGCGTACCTTAAAATATATCTTAGAAATTATTATAATTCTATAAAATATGTGAGACTTATTCAAAATGATTTTTAATTTTCTAGTTACTTTTAGAAAACAAACATTCTTCAAGTGATAAAAAATGATGATCCGATAACCGATTCAAAATTTAAATATATGCATAACATTCTATAGTGCTTATACGCGTATTTTTTCATGGAAATATATAGTTTTTATTGATGAGACAGAATTTATATTATTTAAACCATTTCTGGAAGATCGCAAGTATTACTGATCAATTTCGTTTCTTAATTATGTCATGGATATTTAGTCTTTGAAAAATAATGCGTGATAAAACTCAAGGATCAAGAGGTTAAATAGGCAGTGTTAAAATATTTGCTTTAGACATTATTTTAAATTCATTTTTAATTACAAGAATAAATAAATCGTTTATACATGCCTCTTGTAGAAAAAAAATATAGTAGATTTTAGCTTTCTAAATGATATTGATTTAATAAAATCATTCTACTAAGTTTCTAGATAGAGAATTTACAACGATCTAAAATCTTTGACACAGGAACAGGTGCCCGTCATTGATAATTGTCATCATCCCGATAGGAGATGTGTAATTAAATAGCCTGTCCCCAAAATCCGCGCAACTAACATAGAATATACAAAAGATATACAAGATATATACACATCACAGCTCCTCGATACAACAGGTGAACTGATTGTTCCATCGATTTCTATAAATTAATTGATTTTAAACCCTCATTTCGTAACAAGAAGTTGTAGCGTACTCGATGAGGTCGCGGACACCTAAGCAGGAGACCAGGGTTCGATTCTGTACGTGGGAGCAATTTTTTTGCTTGTATTAATTTTTTTCCTTTTTTTATTTGGAATAAGATACATTTAATGCTATTATACCAGGAAAAGTGAAATAAAATTTTTAGGTAAAAAAATAAGCCGATTATTCAATTAAAAGATTCAACTGAATGATCACGGAAAGGTCACTGAAATGTATGTGCCATTCAGTCGACTGAATGGTAAGTGAATGATCACGGAAAAGTCACGGGAAAGGGTCTTTTCAGTGACCTTTCAGTGACCATTCAGTGGCCATTCATCCACCATTCAGTCGACTGAATGGTAGATTTTCATCCTGTGATGTGCGTAATGACCATATCATCTTGTCTACACAATCTATATACTTAAATATATTAAATATTAAAGTATTTAATCCAAAAGTATTAAAAAATACGCTCATTCAAGTGTATTTTTGATTTTACTCATTTCACGTGCACGCACGTGCATACATGAGCATGGTGACATACCTTCTTGTAGAAGTCCATTACATCTATCTATGTTCTATATCCCACTCCGTTTGGTTGAAGACCAAGGGAGTTCTAGATGATTAAATTTTCAGCCAATCAGATTGCAGCGTACATTCACGCACGTGTATTGATGTGCATGGTGACCATACCTTCTTGTAGAAGTCTATTACATGTATATCTATCTATGTTCCAAATCCAATCCTGTTTGGTTGAAAACCAAGGGAGTTATAGCTATTTAAAGTTTCAGGCAATCAGATTGCAGCGCACGTGCATGCACTTGTTTTCATGAAAATTGTTATATATCGTGTTGTAGGATATTCTAATGCATGGTTATGTTCAAAATTTCAAAGGATTTCATAAAAAACAAGAAAGATTTCGAGACTTTAGTTTCAGCCAATCAGAGCGAAGCGCACGTGCATGCGCGTGAGATCTTGCTATTTTGACCATGTCGTATTGTCTATGCTACTACTATATCCTTATATTACGAGTTTCAAAGCATTTCATCAAAAAGGTAAAAATTTACGCCTATATCAATTAAATCGGTCATTTCACGTGTTGCTCATGCGCGCTCTTGCAAGCACGTGCACACAAAATGGCATGTTGACAATGTCATCTTATCTACATTTATAATATGTTTTTATATTCTAAATATCAAAGCATTACATCGAAAAATGTAAAAGTTACGGCAATTTCAAGTATATTGGTCATTTCACGTGTTGCACGTGAGCGCGCTTGCAAGCACGTGCGCGCAAAATGACCTTCGTTCCACAAATCTACATAACATGCCTACTTACCCTAAAAAGGTTTCCCCTTAATCGGATGTGTACTTTACAAGATCATTCGCGGACAAAATTTTCCCGAGAAGAAAAATAATAATAATCCTAAAAAGAAACAGAGTAAAAACAATATGTTCCCCAACTTCGTTTGGGGAACGTAATAAGGCATATTAATATCAAATCTTATAAATAACTACAATGTTTACTGAAGTGTGACCAATTCAGGGAAAAACTTAAGATCGTCTCTATTATATTTCGGAAGATTTTTTTTTTCTTTGTGTATGTTTTTAACGTTTGTACTAATTAAAAACTCAGGAAAAAGTTAACAAAGTATGCAGAGTTTGACGGTAGAGGAGCGTGCTAAAGCAAACAGAATGGCGTCTGCAGGAGGTTCCTAACGGAAAGTCTGTAAAAATGAAAATAATAAAAATCTTATGAATTCCAATCATGAAAATTATTTGCAAATGGATTAAAAAACATAAAAATGTTTACAATAGATAATCACGGCATTAAGTTAGCAGCATAAGATAAGTTGTTCCTCAAAACTGGGTCAACCAGAAGTTGAGTGGATTCGGTATGGACACTAAGGCACTGAATAATTACTAGACAATATGATAATTAATGGTTGTTTGTTATTTGATTTATAAATGGAGGACTACTCCTGTTGCAACCTTGCAGATCACCCTTAGTGATCAAGAATTTCATATTATATCTGGGCCAAAACGGTGCGCAGTGCACAGCTGGAAATTGGTTTTCAGACACAAAGGTCATTCCACTCTCTACCATCGGCTCATACATTCACCTCTGTCGTTGGCTCGCGTATACACAGTGTTAAACACGAGAAATAGTGCGTTTGTTTTAATTTGTTATAATTCAATTTCCATGCTTATGTCTGAGTTTTGAGATAGATATTTACTAAATCAATGCAGAACTATTAATTTGAATCAAGACAATACTTCAAATATCACGTTTTATACGGTATGTCAAAAATCTTGACGTGAGCCCATTGCAGAGGTGTCTGAGAGAGAAACGAACGAGCTCTGCATGGGAGATTGAGGTCATTCATTTTATGATACCAATATATTTGTAAATTCCACTGTTTTGGAAATAATGGCATATTAAATACACGAGTACCGATCCGGCAAGTGTTCAATTCACAAACAAGAATTAACAAGTGGTGCCTTAGCAATTTTGTCTAGTTTATATAGCTTAACCTTTTTAAATAAGATTCTCTGACTATATCTGTTGGCTACCGAAAAGTGCCTTAGTTATAATTGTCAAATATCTTTTAATAAGTATCTTTTTCTTTATCAAATACAATTTCTTTTCAGAGAATTTGTGCAAAAGGAGTACAACAAAAGTTTCATTAAGTTCGGTGTATAAATCATGGAATGCAACGCTGGCAATTGATGGTAGAAGAATTCAGACAGACTATAAGCTATGTTCACACACTGCTTTAGGATTCTCTAGAGCTTGGTTTCAAGTGGATCTTAAAGATTACTTTAGCTTGAAATCTGTCAAAATATATTATAGAAATGAAAGTACGTAACTATGCAAAATATACATATTTTTAAATAATTATTATTTTCTGATATTAACCACTAACACGGTGGAGTCGTAAATAGTACACCACATAATCAAACCACTTGTCTTGAAAAGCATTTCAAACATCAATCTTTACATCAATATTTTTACACCAAGAGAGAACGTGCATAAGGTTAAGACTGTAAAAAATTTCAAACATTACAGTCGTCCAAGGAAGAGAGTTATGATTATAATGAAGACAGTTATAATGATTTTTCTGATACTCAGGTATTCTAAATTTTCGAAAACATTGTTTCTCCTATGGCATTCAGTAAACATTAATTCATTGTCAGTTCTAGTAATAGTGGTTTGCAAAAAAATATTCAAGATGTTTATTTTACTTCATATATTATTTAAGCAACTTGGCCTCCTTACCGATTTCGGCAATTCTACTTAGACGTCTCGAACATCTCGGCAGATGTATCAACAACAATTGAAAGGACACGATGTTACCAAGACAAAACTCCGGAATCAGAAATACCCCCAGCTCTGATTAACATTCCGTGTAGGAAAACCGCAAGATATGTAATCGTTGAGACGACGTATCAGGCTTCAGAAGATAAAGAAGGCGATGGTGCTGTATTAGAAATTTGTGAAATTGAAGTTTATGGTAAACTTTATTTCGTAAATTGTGGGTAAATGTAAAAAAATATATTGTGGATGGGTCATTTGCGTCTTCTACAATTCAGATCATCGTAATAAAACACATATCTTTAATTGTTTAACAAATGTGGACTTTTACTTTTGAAGTATTTGATAAAATGTGTGCATTATGAACAGGTTGCAGAGTAGGGAAATTCGGAGAGTCTTGTTTAGATTGTCTATGTCAATCTTGCGACATCATTAATGGCTCATGTCGTAAGTATATTTTTTTTATAAATATAAATTACTAGCCATACATTCACCCTTAGTGTCAAATATATATTATGCTTTAATTGATGAAATTCCTTTTTTTAAAGCTGTAGCATGTAGTCCTAATTGCCGAGATACAATATGTTATCAATTCTCTGGATATTGCACCAATGGATGCAAAGAACCTTATTATGGGCCCACATGTGAGAATCAATGTAGTTTGCAATGTAATCACCAAAGCTGTGATCGATTTAGTGGTATGTGCTCTGGATGTAAAGATGGCTTCTATGGTTTATTTTGTAATCAGACTTGCAGTCCATTTTGCAAATTCAACACTTGTGATTCCCATACAGGAGAATGTTATCAAGGATGTAAATCGAATTGGACAGGATACTTTTGTAACAGTAAGTGCTTAAAGAACTCTTTCCAAAGAAAAGCTGAATAAAATGTTGTAATCTCGTGCAACTGTTACAGGGTATAAATCTTTCAATAGACCTTTTCAAATTTCATATAGCAATGGCTTTATAAAAAGTATATACATTAAATGATGATTTCAGTCAATCTTTAATAATTTGGAAATAAAATATAAATAGTTTCTACAGAATGCAATGATTCACGTTTTGGGCACAATTGTTCTGAGAAGTGCAGTATGAACTGCAAAGGACAGCTGTGCAATAACGTCACAGGAGCTTGCACCAATGGATGTGAAACGGGATTCTTCAAGGAGACGTGCAATAAAACATGTAACCCCGATTGCTATAACGGATGTAATAGATATACAGGCTATTGCGAAAATGGCTGTGTCGAAGGAAAGTTTGGCACGGAGTGTCACAAACATTGTGGATCTGGCTGTCTTTCGAAGAGCTGCGGTCGTATAAATGGGAACTGCAATTGCGTAGATGGACGGAAAGGGGATGAATGTACAGGTAAAATATAGTATATACATGTGTAAACAAGTCATTTCTACATGGAAAGTAAACGCAGTGCTTATACCAAAGATATTGCAATAATCAATTTTCAAATGAAATTGTTTGGTTTATTAATGTGTGTGCACCAAAAAAATAGAGTTTTCAAAATTAATTGTTCATAATAATCATTTCATTTATATGGTTGTACCATTTTTAAGAAGAACTCAAACCTTTCTCGAAAAACTTTTGATATTCTACTTACTGATAGGTTTTCTCTTAATGAAGTTATATCTAAATATATTATACCAAAGATATAGTCCGTTATTTTATTGTAAATCCTGCAAAATAAAATGCTGCAAGCATAGTTATAATTCGACATGCTTTTCCAACAATGGATCATGTTTTGGTGGGTGTTCTGGAGATTCCACAGTTGACAAATACACAAAAGGTGCTGACTAAAGATTAATTACATGAAATTATAAATTGTTTAAATGCTTACATATTAATAACTGCCCAAAATACTCAAAAATCATTCTGCCCTTGAACATGGATATATTTTCTCAGCAGTATTTATTCTGTGTGAAATAAAATTGTTTGAAAATAGTATTGACTCAGATAAGAAAATAACGAACAAATGCAAGTTTTAAACCTACCGACCTCAAAATGTTTGATCAGGTGCCAATAAGGAGTAAGCATACCCAGAAGACAGATTATATTCTTTTAATAAAAAACGAGAAAAACGAGAGAAAAAATGCGCAGACAGATCAGCTTAATAATTTGTTAGCATCAACTGATAGGAATAAAATCTTTATCGAAAAATGAATATCAATACCTTTATTTTTATTTCAAATTTTATACGACAGAAAGTAAAGAGTTTCATTAACAGTACAATAAAATCTAGGTTTTCTGAACTAATTTTTATGAATAATCAATTTATGTAGTATTTTTAGAGATGATAGAAGAAAAAAAAATCTGTAATTCATATGCTTTTAATTTTACTGTTGTATTTTAATATATTTACATGCATGCATATCTGTCTTCAGCATTTATAAACCTATTGATTAAAATCTGAATACCTAATAATATTATTATCTAGAATTGCAGACTTCAGAAATTTATGAAAGAACAGAAACAAATGAGGTCTCCCCGATATATTTTCTTGGTGCTGGAGGTGGTGGCGTTTTACTCCTTTTCATAGTTGTGACAATCATCGTAATTGTATGCAAGTATGGATATTCTATATGATATTTTTTTTCTCTGGTAATTGCTCAAGATATCATTAAGTAGAAATAAGGACACAATTTATTTTGTTCATTGACAAAGATATCAAATCGAAATGGGTTTAACGTTGTTAAACAATAACTTCGCAAAATGTATGGTAGATGCATGTATACACAACTTGTGAGCAAATTTAAAAATATTATTATTCAAACGTGCTACTATACATAACATACAGAATAAGAAAGACTATTTTGGATTATATATTGTTTGATTTTCTTTATTAAACTATCATCTAAATGTAAGTATTTTTTTTTCAACCAGTAGTCGACATCAATGCTTTGTAAAGTCAACTTTTTAAAAATTAGGTTATTTGGTTTTATCATTGAAACACAGATCAAGAAGACATACAGATAGTAACAATCCCTCAACCTTGGAAATTCAAATGTTCACTGACAGAAACACTACGGGTGAAGGAACTATTTACCATTATATGTCTAGCTGTGTAATCACATTTCTCTATCAGTTGCATAAAGAACTACATGTACAATATAATGCAAAAAAAATCTGAATAGAAAATTGTTTTAAGATATTGTGAAAAACATTGTCATTTGAAAAAAATTATATAATACTGACTTTATTTCGTCGACAAAATAATATTCTTACTAACAGTATCAGAAATCGGGAATCGTAATTTTTGTGATTTTGTGACTTGTTTAAACTTTAAATTTTGTATGAAAATGAAAGACTGATTGATACTATTTTTTTAATCTGAACAAAATTTTAAAAGACCCATAACTTAATGCGATATTTTTGTTACTCCTACAAAGGATACACCAACAGGGCTTTTTTATCGGTCCCTATTGAGGATCCCGAAGAGGAACCCTATGAAGAGAAACCGGAAGAAGCCGTTTATTATAATAACTTGTCCATGGCTAAGGATACAAGTGTGAAGGATCTCGCCAATATCATTAAACAAAAAGAAGCAAATGAAAATGCGGAGTTTATTAAAGAATTTAAGGTATACTTACAACATGCCTATTCAGTATTACCGCTTTGTAAAGTAGATAATCTATGAGTAAATTTGCTAAATTTTATATTTCTTAAACTTCTTTACTGGAAATATATTTTATTTTCTGTCTTTCAATTGTTTTAAAGTGTAATTTAACATTTCTTTTTTTTATTACTTGAGGTGTATCCATTCTCGAAAGATTTCACTGGTATTTGGAAAAAAATTCTCAATGTACACTTTCTTTTTCTTCAATTAGTCTCTTCCCTATGGAGTCAGATTTGAATGCAAAACCGCAATCCTAGAAAGAAACTTGCCAAAAAATAGATTTAAAACAGTATTCCCATGTATGTTTTTTTTTTAATATGTAATTTATATAGCATCATGATATCAAAGATAGAAATGATATATCATTTCATTTAAATTTTTGCTAGTTTATCTTTAACATGTAGAGCAGGGGAAATAATTTGAATAATTACGCAAAATTTAAGAAATGTTTCAGTTGCTCCTTCATTTGATCAAAGAGCAGGTTGAATATATTTCTTGCTAAATACATGTTTAAGAAAATCAGTATATGAGAAATGATCACAATGACTACTAACATATGATTAAAGGCACATATAAGACTCTGAATGATTCCTGGTTAACGCATTTAAAATATTGGTTCAAAATCAATTATAATGAATGTTACATGCACAAAAACATTAATTTGACATTTTAAGGTCCATTCCTTATATCAGAAAAAAATGAATGATCTATAGAAAACAGTATAAACTTTACTTGAGAATACTAACAAGTCACTCTTTTTTTTCATTATTTTCAAGATGATCATTCCCGTGTTCATCTGGAAACAACAGATGTATTTTCCTCAGATTATATAAATGCAAATTACATTGAGGTAAGTTTTTTCTCGACAGGCAATTGTTTCAAAAATAATCAAATCTATTAGCAGAAGTCAACGATATTACACGGTCATGAAATTAACTTTTCCTCTTCTTTTAAGAATATGACGGGGATACGAGAGTATATTGCATGTCAAGGTATTTCTTAAAACCCTTGATAAGAGATGAATATTAATTAAAGTCTTTATCAAAACACTATCTTTACAATGCCAATAACAATGACAGTCATTTAAAAAAGCAACACGGTTTTATAAAATATAATAAAAAAAACATCTTTACTAAAAAGTATTTACACTTTTTTTAAGGTCCCATGCCTAATACTATTGTTGATCTTTGGAGAATGGTTTGGCAGGAGCATGTGGAATACATTGTTATGCTGACCAATCTTATTGAGGGACCAAAGGTTAGCAGAACAAGGTCAAACTATTCATTCATTTTGTGCCTTGAATCCCTTGACACGAAATTTCTAATTAGTTTTATGCACAAAAAACATTTAAAAAAAACCCTAATAATTAGTCCTTAACATAATAGGTAAAATGTCACCAGTATTGGCCAAATGAAGGGACTGAAGTATATATCGGACCATTTTCTGTGAGGTTAATTGAGGAGAAAGTCTATGCTAACCATGTTGTTAGGACAATTAATTTGCGCCAAGATAAGGTAGGCTTTATATAACATGCTCCTCAGCCGTCAAACTTCTAATAAGTCCGCAAACTTGAATAAGCTTTATTCCAGCTATAAACTTTTAGAAACCAACGTTGTTTTATAAATCAGGTCACTGGGTCAAGGACGATTGTGCAGTTTCATTTCACACGCTGGCCTGATCATGGGACTCCAAATCCTCTATCCCTGCTATTTTTTCTCCGTCACTTCCGGCATAAAATTAGACCATCACTTTATCCGATCATCGTACATTGCAGGTGTGATTCAAAACTTTCGACATATTCAAGACTGTTTCATAAAGATACTTTAATTGATTACATACTTATGTCTGTGCATGATTTTCTCCCAAGTTGATGTGTGCTGTATTTCATTACTAAGTATGTAATAAGCATAATAAAACATACCTTTTTCCACATCACATTCTGTATCAGCCCTCGACCAAAATCAGCTACCGGGCCTTCGGCCCTCTGGCTGATATTAGTGTTTCGGGCTGATACAGGATATAATGTGGAAAATGGTATGTATTATTCTCTACATAACATCTAGGCCATTTTTTACTGAGACAAATTATACATTGTAAAAGTTTCAAAATACAGGTACATATTTACTTTCTTTTTAACTAAGATTTAATAATGCTAATCAACCGAATTTTGTTTAAAATTCATGTTGTTTCTGATTTTGTTATAAGCAGTATTTTAAATCTTGCATCTAGAGAAAGATTTTGCAATTTTAATTTTAATTGGGTAAATTACACACAAAGAGGAAGTAAATATATACCCGTATTTTGATATAACTTAATATTTGCCTTATTGTCTTACAGTGCAGGTATAGGTCGAACGGGGACATTTATTGCCCTGGACGTCCTGTCTAGATACGGCGAACAAAAGGGCAAAATCAACGTCATCGAGTTTGTAAAGAGCATGCGCAAAGATAGAATGACCATGGTTCAAAATGCAGTAAGTTTTATTATTGTTGACATTTTATTTTTAAAAAATTTGTTTTACTGACTGAATATGTGTTGTTGTGCTTAAATAGTCTAGACAAATTCTTAAGAAATTACAAAAAACTTGTTTGATATTGTAGGATCAATATGCTTTTCTATACTATGCACTGCACGAATATTTCAAAAGCAAAAGGAACTTTGTCGGCAGGAGAGAGTTTATCGAGTTGTATGGGGACACCGGTAGACAGGAAATACGGAAGCGTCTTGGAAATGAGTTCAATGTAAGCATTTTCAATTTTGAAACCTTAAAATGAATAAAATATCAATGGACGTTTCATCAAGGAGATAACTTATATCATTACATTTATTATTTCAAAAGATCCAGGAATTAAGGAAAGATGATCAAAACAGAAATTCACTGCCAAAATTTCTATATACACCTTTTGAATTATTGTAAATGTTAATGATGCAAATAATTAATTTCTAAAATTTTTAAACGTTCAATGATGTTTAAAATTCTGCTTTTCTTATTTTAAATATGAAAAAAACTGTCACTTTAAATAATTTAATAATTTATTTTTAAAGAACAATTTCCTAACATGACAATTTTGGCCAATGAATTCAAATTAAAATGTATCGGAAATAATTCTATAATTTCTTTTAAAAGTTGTTTAAATATTTCATTTATTCTAGTAGACATTAAATTCATAACCCATTGGAACAATATATTTAGAAGAATGATTTTCTATAAGTGTAATGATAAGTATTGTTATGTAAAAGAATTTAAAAAATGCATACTATCTTTATTAAATCATTTATTCAATCTTGAAAAATGTTGACAAGGGTAATAACTCCTGCTCAGGTAGCTTCATTCAGGCATTTTCTTTATTATACTTCTAATATAAAATAGTTTTCCTGATATTCACAATTCAAAAGTATATTATATGTAGTAAATATTTAGGAACTTTCAGCATCATAATTATGCATTTTAATCTGTTTTTTTTACATAAAATTTGTGATACTGTTTACAAAAAATGTAAGATTGTCCACATTGGCATATATGCTTCTGTTTATGTACGTCTCCCGTCTTAAATAATATGGCGACTTATACACTGGACAGTGAATTTTTACCCTGTTTCAACTTAAAAATTTTGGGAATAGTAACTAAACAATCACACTGTCGACATTTCTGCAGCAATATCTTAAATCCTCGTAATATTCTGCGTCTAATAATACCTTGCTTTTGAAGAACAAAGTTGAGTATGTCATTGCGCCGAAGCTATATTGTTGATGTTCCTTTTAAACTTGTGTAGTACGGATTATGACGTCATAATATGACGATAATGTGCACTTGGTGGGGCATGTCGTGTGTACCAATATAAGAGAACAAGTTTTAACTTTTTCTGTGCAAGAAGTTCAGCCCTTATGCGTTTTAATTCATTCATAGACGTTGCCTTAACTTACTCGCGAATCAGACTGATTCACGTACATTTTGATGAAGCCTAGCTTGCTGATATTATTTCTGTTGCTGTTTATGTGCTATTAACAGAAAAAAGGCACTCTACTTTTCTTATTCTAATTTCAGGTGGTTACTAGTTTAAAGCCAAACTACGATGAAGATAATTTCGAAACGGGTCGAAAGAACGACATGCTTAATTTTACCAACTCTGTATTACCAGGTTATTTAAACGCATTGCCTGTTTTAATTAATATAGACAGAACGGTATTTTTTGTGTACACGGAGACTATTCAAATAATTTGTCATAATTTTAGTTGACAGATATCTGGTCCATTTAACCTCAACTGTCAAAGGACGAGGACAATACTATAATGCTGTGAATGTGTCGGTAATAAACACTTCTCAAATAATAAAATATTTATAAAGAAACAAGCAATAATATGCCTTCGAAAAAGTATATAATATGCCTTCGAAAAAGTATATATGCAAGTTATGAGTCAGTAGAATACATCAAATAACTCTTTTACATTAAATAAATTGAAATTGTAAATAGTTTACATTAAGATAACAAATCTTTGTTATAATAAAAAAGAAAAGAAAGAAAACACCCGCTGAAAACTGAGAGTTGTAGAGGATTAATTTTCTGAAACTTTTATTTTAGTCGTTTACACGAGCGGATGAGTTTATTGCAGCACAATATCCAGCATCAGGCGCCGCCATTGATCTTGTTCGGCTTTTGGTGGATCAAGATTCCTCATTTCTGATTTCTTTGAACCCTTTATCAGAAATCAAAGAGGTAATTAATGTTACCAAAGTTCCAATTTGATCGTTTTTGAAACTAACGATTTTTGTGTAACCTTTTTCTTCCTTTCAAAAGCTTATAGACTGGGTTGACGACGAAGTAAAAAATGTTAAGTTGGCTCCATATGAAATCAAAAAGAAAACATCTACAATGATGAAAAATGTATTGCGAAAAACGGACATTCAAATCAAAACGAAACGTGTAAGTTTTTTTTTTAATTTACAATACATGACTGTATACATCCCAAGGACAGTGCGGGGTAATTATTAAACGATAATCCTTACTGTTATTTAAATATGCAATGGCGTCCCCTACCTTTTCTTCTTTGTTGAAGTTTTTTTTGTTTGATATTGCTCGAAAGCATTTCATTTCAAAGCTAAATTTTAAAATTTGTGAAATAAGCAATTGAAAAGCGAATACAACAAGGAGCAATAAATATTCTTGGATCGTATATATATATAGATTATGCTTGATTGCAAAACAGCCAATAAAATTCGAAAAATGAAATGTTTTATTAAGAGCGATAGATCAAAGACCAGAAACGGCTCTACGGCAGCTTTTAAAAAAATCTTCCATTGACAAAAATTTCAAAAAAAGAAAAAAAAAGATTTGAGTTGAAATCTTTCCAGGATTCTCCCTGTTTGAAAATTTAACCATGGAGGAAGATACGCGAAGTCGAAATGTGACTGAAAACACGGATGCGTGTTAGACTTCCTAATCTTCATTAATCAATGATTGGTTTTACAATTTTTAAACTTATTTTCTCAACCACTGCAACAAAAATGATCGAATACCTAACCCTTTTTAATTTAAAGAAATAATAATTAAATTGAAAAGGAATTATCTTGTATCCTAGTTCACTAATGTATCAAAATTTGCCCAAAACTGTAGTAACCCTCTGAAGGAATATAAAGAAAAATTGTAGATTCGGTAACAATGGCAATGTTATCCAGCAAAATTATTAATTATAAGAATTGTTGTAGCCTGCTCTATGAAATGTTTTGTTTAAATATGACTAAAACTGATGAATAGGTAGTATTTTTTTTAAATTAACACACAAAGGAACATTTGGACCAGTGTGCTTTTTTTCTAAACGTTCTATTTTTCTAGATATTGCATTTTTTACCAAGTTTTGTTTACTTCTCCACGTGCTCAATGCTAAAAATAGAGCCACAAGACATTTCATATATATATCCATAAATTGGGCCATCATATATACATTCAAGAAATAAATAACAAGTTTATAAACTTCAATGGGAATTGAAGTGGGTCAGTCACGTGATCAAATCCTGTGAAGGCCGAAGGCCTTCTCAGAAGATTTGATCACGTACCGACCCACTTAAATTCCCATTGAAGTTTATAAACTTGTTATTTATTACATATATACATTTGAGACAGACGATTTAGCATTTTCGAATATAAATTATTGCACTAACCGTCCGTCGTAGATTTTTTTTAAAATGACGCAAGGTGTAAATCGGCTTGATTGGCGGTTACGCTTCGAATTCAGCAGGCTAAGGATTTTATTTCTAAGGGAATATTTTGTGAAAGGCTACCTGTGGTCAGTAGTGAACAAATTTTTGTCGGGGAATATTTCTATTCGTGAAAATTGATAATTAATGCTGAAAAGACATAAGAAACACATTTAAAGATCGATGATAAAAAGCTGGAGGAATTTCGGTCGCCAGAAAAGGATGGATGATCCGATGGATGTAAACACTTGACAGTGCCAGTTAATTTACAATCAAGTATTTAAGATCAAAAACGTTTAACCTACGATATCAATAACTAAAGGCATTTTTATGATGTAAGCAAAACACGGGGACACTAGCGAAAACTTACATTGAACTACGACAGCGCCGAGGTGCTTGTCAGCTGTTCGTGGCGTGATGCAATGCTTTGATATTTTCCAACAGATTTACACATTTATCATGAGTAGAATTTGATGGAAAAATTATAGTTTATCATGAAGATTTAACTAAAAGTCTACCAAAAATAAGGACAAACGTTAGAGACTGTACAGCTGAAAAAAAAACGACATAAAACTTGTAAACAAAAGCTATGCCCTAGTTTCCGTCGGTATATTCTCCATGTATACACAGGTTAAATCGACGGCCAAAAAACTGTATAAAATACTTGTTAACGTTTTAAATAAAATAATTATTATTTTACTTGCATATTTTGTTCATTTTCTTTATACATGAAATGCTAGAAGAGCAAGTCATTTTATATTTATGCACCGGTAGATATTATTGCGCCGTGTGATTAGGTCACGTATTGACCTCTGACCTCAGACAAACTTCATACAAAATTGAAGATATTTGTTCTCCGTATGACTATATAACAGAGAGATACCACAAATGTATATATTTATATTTAAATGTCGCCCGAGTGGCGCAGTTATTAGAACGTCTCCTCTAGAGTCGCAGAGTAAGGAGTTGATTCTTGCGTTGCCGGTTCGAATCCCACTGGGGGGACATGGGGACCGGTCCTTCGGTGATACCGTATAAACCCAGGTCTCGTGTCGCGGTAAAACCCGGTACGAAAAAGACTCCTAAGTGTTCAATGGCCGTAAGTGCCGAATATAATACAAAATATTGCATCCCCCCAGCATGTGTCGCATCTCCATATGAGTAAAAGATTCTCGAAAGGGACGTTAAAAACATACTATCAATCCACCACGTATACTTTATTTATTTATTTTTTTAATTGTATTGTAAAAATAAAATTTGCAAAAAGTCACGCGTAAATAAAGTTAATGAAAAATTTAAAGATCTTTTTAGGATTTTAAATTAGTCCAAACCTTTTTATCAGATCGACTTGGGGACTTATTTTAAGTACATTTTATTATAGGGTAATCAGATGCACATTGTGCATATTTTTGAAATTCTTGATTGGAATTCCAATGAAATCCTACCAAAAGAACCATCTACAATAACTGAACTAATAAAACTTTTTGCCTTGAAAGAAAATGTGAACAAGATGGACCGATAGCCCTTGTTTCCAAGTATGTTCAAATACATCTACTTCAACTGTATGTACGAGATGCCATTTACATTTTTTAAATATAATTATTAAAACAATTTCAATGGAATGAAACTTCATTTTTTACACTTAGAACTTTTTCAACTTTTCTTAAGATACAATGAAACGAATTCTAGCATATCTGTTTGTTAAATAAAATTTGAGGACAATTGTCCTTTTTCTAGGGATGGTGCGACCTGTTGTGGAGTATTTATTGCTGTGTATAACGCCATAGAACAGCTACAACAAGATGACGAGGTGGACATTTTTACCATAGTTCAGCAACTACAATGTAGAAGACCAGAGATGATATCTTCAAAGGTACAGAAAGATTGTGTTATCATATTTTTACTGATTTTCATTAGATGATTATAAATTGATGAGTACCGAGATTTTCAAGGTGAGAAGCACAAAGTAAAAAATAAGAAATAAGAAAATTCTCAGCAAAATTGAATGAAAAATAATAGTTAGATTTATCGAAATATATATAAACATGAAACTCAACTACATTGTCGAAGACCAGATCTAGAGATAAAGAACCGCTGAAAAACATATGTATAAGGTAATCTGTATCTCGTATTGTAGGAAGAATATGAGTTTTGCTTCAAGACGGTCTGTGACTATCTGAATTCAGACAACGTGTATGCAAACACCTAAGGATATACGTGTACGTGTAGGAATGTGGTTTCATAAACTCAAGACAAAGATTCATCAGGGGATATTCAGATTGTCATTTAATTTTTTTCCTGGTAATGTTCCAAAGTTTCACTAAAAGTATCCACTGATTTTTTTTTCATAGACCTCGTAAGTGAAAAAATAACCTTTAATGTATACCTAGATATGAATGCACAATGCAAAGAACTTACGCTACATGTACATGTTAAGCTTAGACGTGCTTATTTGTAAGAGTTCTCCCCCATGGCACCTGATCCCACCTCTGATGTTTCGGAGGTCTGTGTTTGTGTTTGCTCTGCTCTTATTTTGTATTGTTTTATGGACTTTGAGAGTGAATTGTGTTCGTTATCTCCATATCCTTCTTCTATACTCTAACATCTGATTTGCCATGCCTTTTTTTAATGTTTTGTGTTTGTTTGATCCTATAACGAATCATATCCATAGCATTGCATAAACGCTATCCTCTGATGAATCTATTTAATGGAAGCTTCTTTTCTCTTTCAGTATTTAATATCTAAAGAATTCTTTGCAATTACTGGAAACAATTCATTTTTTTGCGATACAAGTAGTTAGGGAACACATTTTAAAATATGGGATGTGTTATTTTTAAAGAATTTTTAGCAAACATTTTAGTCAAAAAGGGATTTTCTTCCCTTTTTTAGTAAATGAAAACATCCCCAAAAGCAACACATGTTCTCCTGCCCTGAACTATGAATAGTTGAGGCAATAAACAGAAGCATATTGACAGTAATTAGCAGAATGAATTGCACGGTATTTAAAAGAAAGAAATCTCTGTTGCCTACGCTTATAATAAACAGTGTTTTGCATGATAAAGACACCTTCTATTTTGTGTTTTTGTGTGTTTTTTAAACAAGTTTTGTTATTGATGAACTATGCCAAAACATATAATATCAATGCATTAGAATGGAAACGATTATGCAAGGATGATGTAAAATATTATGGCGTCCGGATAAGACCATTTACAAGAACATTGTGTTCAGTAAAAAAAGCCGTCGCACTTACACACAACACGTCGTCACGTTGTAGAGTGCAAAGATGTGTGATATTGTGTGACTGTAAACGTAGTTATATTGACGATTTGAAAAATTGAGGATTTCTTGTTTACGAAAATTGACGAGTGTTAATTTTGACGAAATATATAATCAAGAGTTATGTATCTTTGAATTCAAGGGGATACAAAGGCAGCGTCGTAATCAATAAAATTTTAATTTTTGTACAGACTACTAGTATCTACAGTGTGCAAGATTGTACAAAATATCTAAGTGTGTAAGATTTGATTAAATAAATTGACCTCTTGTAATTGCCTGATGTGACAAACTAGGTCAAACACGGCGTGATAAATAGGCTAAGTTACACAAGCAGTGTTTGATACACTAGTTTAGATTCAATGTTTTTCTTTTAATGTTTAATTTTTAATAAATCTCTATGTTTTCATAACTAATTACAAAAGAAATTAACAGTAACTTTGATCTAGATTTAATAGGAGAAAGCCGAGAAAATTAAGCATAATGTTGTACAATGGTCCATATTTGTTGTGACGCTATATATATGATGCGCAGTTTGACGAGTGTAAATTCTGTCGAGAAAAGAAAAACCGTCAAAATAGTCAAAATTAGGACATCGTCAAAATTTCCACGTTTACAGTATAACGACTGCGGTTTTTTTTTATTAGCTCGACGGAGTGTTTTGTGAAATTAATTTAGCACAAGAGTGTGTTTTGTGTATTTGTGTTCAAACAATGGCGTGTGGCTTGAAACGGCTTATCGCAATGACGTGTTAAGTTGTGTGCTAAAAGCGGTGGCCATTTGCTTAGTCTTAACAGTGCGCTCGCAAAAAAAAAAAAAAAAAAAAAAAAAAAAAAAAAAAAAAAAAAAAAAAAAAAGATACGTCGCGCTAGTACATTACACGCCATCACGCTTACACGCTTTTAAACAACATGCCATCGGGCTATCACATAAGACGCCGTCGCAGTAACATGATTTCACATCAGACCCTCGAGCTTTCACTATTTTACACAACACGCCGTTGCGCTTTATTACAACAGGTCGTCGAGATATCACAAAACATGCCACTGGGCTAACAATGCACGCTGTCGCGCTAACACAAAGACGGTGTTGCGCCGTCACACAACACGCTTCCACAGCTATGCACTCTTTAGCGACGTGTTGGGTGTTAGCGCAATGTTTGGCTTTTTCAAATGGCATAATCCTGACACAATGAAATATGGATGTTTTCTCATTCTTAGTGTCAATTTCCTCCTTAAAGGTTTTAGGGATCGAGCGTTCAACCTGTTCTCAACAATGTATTGTAAACCAACTATTATTCTAGGTATCTTTCTTTGACTATTCATCGAGTTGACATCAATCTGCAATGATTAATTTTTGCGAGTAAAGAAACATTTTCTACAGAGTCAAAGTAAAATAAATGGTTTGCAGAGCTCAATATCAGCAAGATAAAGTATATCCTGAAACTCGCATATTTTTTGTATAGAAAGAATGATTTTTTTCACCAAAAACAAAAATCACTATATATTTTAGTTAAAATCTGAAATGTTCAGACAACTATATCAGTTTAAAAGGTTGTCAAATCTAGACGTATATTCACTTGATCATGAGTTCCTCGTAATGAGAAGGTTGACTTAATTGTCCAAGATTTTGATATTCTGCGTTATCTTCCACTCTGTCGTATATACCTGTAGTGTTTGTATATAATGTTGAATTCCGTTGAATTGTGTCCTGCTCTTCGTCGACAGAAGAAACGTTTTGTCTACATTTTCTGTAATATTAAAGTAATATACAATAAATTAAAAATAATGATAAGTGTAAAAATTTGCAGAAAATTAAACCAAACTTCTTTTGAATATTTCATGATTTTCTTTACTATAATTAGTATATTATAATGTACCTAATTAAGTACAGGTTAAATAATTTGTGTTCGATTATAACAATAAGCTAAATTAACACTGACCTCGCGATCAAAAAGATGTTTGTAAGAATACTTAAGAGGAAGATAATAATGACTCCATACAGAGCTAAACATATCTCTGGTTTGGAACAGTTCTCTGATGTTAGGCTGATTTCTTTAATCAAAAGAACAGGGAAAAAATTAAAATCATTTAGTATAAATTTTGTAATAATTTTTCAATTATACGTTTCTTACATGTATGAATAACAGTTAGAATATTCCGCCACCCAAACATTGCTGAATTTTTGCCGACTCGGCGTTAAAAAGTAAAAAAAAATTAAAAAAAAATACAATATTCATACATGTATCAAGAGATATAAAATGCGCAAATGCAAATGAAAATTTAAAATATGCAAAAAAAAAAAAAAAAAAAATCATTTTAGCATGGAATGGATATTCAGGTACTTAAGATTTCTTTTTGTACAAGTGTACAAATTGTAAACAGTTTAATATTTTTTTGCTTACAAAGTATGCACAGAGGGGGTTGAGGGTTTGAATTAAAAGATAAAGTACTAGTATGTGTTTTATTTTATCGGCACAAAAAATGAACGCCTTTAAATACCAATGCTATAAATGAAAATAAAAATACAAAGGCTCTTGTAAAGTCTTGAGTCTTACATGGGGAAAATGCATATATTTTGAAATATAATTCACATTTCAGTCAAGACAGGGAATTAAAAATGTAAATATACCACGTTATCTGCAAAAACAGTTGCATTTATGAGACATGTTTAAAGATAATCATAATTCAATGCATGCGTAAACATGTTAATACACCTTGAAAGATTAGAAATGAGAAAAACCATTCCTTACCAGAAGCAGGTTTGTCATCTGTAGAATTACTGTCTAGTTCCTCTATAGACGTCCTGTTGTTTCCCGTTGTACATGATCCGTTGTCTGTAAAACAAGGTAAGTTCAAACACCCTTCACTACAAAGCTGATCACCATCTGGCCCATTACTATAAGTTTTGCTGAACTCTGCATCTAGATATTTGATGGCGTATATTGTAATTTATTCCATTTTTTGTGAATGTATTTCTTATTTTTAGATCAATATATAAATATACAAAATATACGACAAATCAATTAAAGGATAAAAATAAATCCCATATATGCCTTATTTTCAGCTGCATTTCGGAAATTTCTAATTAGTGATATTTTTGAAATAATACACTGAATTGACGACAGGTTTCACCTTTTATCCCGACAAGAGGCACACGATGTGTGCCCGGTCGGCAGGGGATGCTCACTGCATCATGGCACCTGATCTCACTTCTCATGTTTTCGAGGTCCTTGTTTGCCCTGCTCCTGTTTTGTATTGTTATATGAACTTTTGATCCTGAATTATGTTCGTTATCTCAATGTGTTTCAAAACAGTTGCAAAATTAAGAAGCTTACTATTGCATTTTTCTCCTGTCCAGTTTGGTTTACATCCACCAATACAATCTCCATTTGGTTTGCATTTGGGTTGTGCACAATTTTCACTCCATAACAAATTACAGAATAACCATGAAAACCTTCTTTGCAACCATTTTTACAATGGCCGTCACTTTTTCTACATTCCTCATTAAGGCAATTGATACTACATTTTCTATCGCACTTTGCTCCGTAAAAGCCAGTTTTACAGACATCACAATTTCCATTTAATTTGTCACAAGTACCACTCCTGCAATTACGACAAATATCAGTACAGTAGTATCCATAATAACCAGATACACATCCGGTTGGACAGCTTCCTTTGTCTTTGTTACATTTTCCTCCGGTGCATTTTTTAGACCAATGGCATTCCATTTCACATTTATCCCCAAAGTATCCGGCAGGACAAGAATTACACAACCCATTAGTTCGGATGCAGCTCTTCTCTGAACAAGTTGATGGACATTTATCAAGACACTCATCTCCTCAATACCCCTCAATACATCCTCGGGTACAGATTCCATTTTCATCGAACTTCAAGTCTACACAGTAAGGGCGGCAAAGAAACAACGCTGATTGAAAAAAAACCTACACAGAACTTTACTTAATATTTGACAAAAAAAAGGATTGTAAAGACTGAAACTTAGATTTCTCATTATATTCAAAGTTATGCATAAAATTCAATAAACTTAAACACCAGTAACATCTGCAATGAATTTATTTTTATTTGGAAACTGATTCAATATTAAATGTTATAAGTATTATACTTGTATGATATTTCAATTATTTAATTCAATAACTGTTTATCTTTAAAAATTACTTGTCATTTAGAAGGTTTACTTATTTACGTAAATAAATATTGAAACAATTTAGTGAAATACATAAATACTTCTCAGAGAAAGATTTAAAAAAAATCCAGATTTGTACCATGACAGTTACTGTAAATATTTCCTAGTGTTAAGATAACCCAAATCTCTCGAAAGGCACTCATTTTGAATGTCAAAGGTAAAAAAAATAATAGTTGTTTGCTATCTCCAATAACAGAATTTGGAATTGCACTGAAAGTAAAATTGCATGTTTATAACGTATCACAATGTTACAAAAACTTCGACTATTTATTTTTACATCAAGATCTTATAGAGGAAGGCGACACTTCCCAGTGTCACGATTATATTACATGTACATGTATACGGAATTTTACATCTGCATCGAACAAATAAAACATAATGTAGTATAAACTGATGGCTTTGTTTCACATAAGATAAACACGACTCTTTGTTTAAGAAATAATATTAATTCATCAATGTTACTCTTAAAAATATTACATGTATCTAATTCTTTTTCACAGTTTTCTCAGAATATGTGTAAACATAGAGTTTTCTTTTACATTGATATAAAATAAATGTGTTTCCGATGCTTATAATAATAGAAAACATTACTTGTTATTACTGAATTCCTTTAGCGATGCAGGTTGTGTCCATAGATACATTTTAAATGCTGACTGTATTCCATTTATATAATTTAAAAAATTGTTAGCCCCCCCCCCCCTGCTTGAAAAGCGAGAGGGTATATACAGTGTAGTAATCGGGATGCCTGTCCGTCCGTCCGTCTGTGACGCCTTGAATATCAGCAGTCTCGTTTAAAGTCATCATTTTGTAAGTTCTATGGTCGATACAATGACCTTGTCAGCCAATACAATTTGTCATTGAGTCAAATTCTGACTGACGTTTTTCATACTAATTGTTAGTCCAGTATTTATACACTGAATTAACGACGGATTTTCCGTTATTTCCCGATCAGGACAAGGAGCACAAGCCGGATGTGACCAGTCATCAGGGGATGCTCACTCCTCCATGACACGTGATACCACCTCTGATATTTCGGAGGTCCGTGTTTACTTTGCTCCTATTTTTATGCCCCCCTTCGAAGAAGGGAGGGCATATTGCTTTGCTGCTGTCTGTCGGTCGGTCTGTCGGTCTGTCGGTCCCTCGGTCTGTCGGCCGGTCGGTCCACTTTGTTTCCGTTCATTTTCTTCGCAACCGTTGCACATACTGAAATGAAATTTTGTATACAGATATATATAGGATCTCCCATGGTTTGTGGTTTGATATGATTTTTATCCAACGAGTTGTGTGTTTTCAATTATTTGCAGCCTTGGCGAGGGGATTTCACACAACGAGTTGGATAAAAATCATATCAAATATCAAACCATGAATATCTTTTTATCACATATTTTTGTTCACTATAAATGTGTATTTTGTCGTTATTTCTAATTCAAAGTTCCTTTTCGGTTACCTCAGACCAAATAACGTAATAAATAAAATTACGCTGTATGAAATAGTTCGTACAAATATAAAAGAAAGAAAATATTTCAGCGCTTATTTTTTCAGTTCAGGAATGAAATCTTGTTAAAATACATCAAATAAAGTGAAATTTGACAAATTAAGTCGTTCTCTCTATCATACACATGTATTTGTTTATTTACATTACGTCACGCGGCGTAGGAATACATAGTGTTGATACGAAAACGATATCACATGAGCTATATCAACGGGATAAAGGGGAAAATATGTGATAAATCACATTATTATCTAGGTCAAGTTCTGTTTCGGGTACGATCGCGCCATTTTTGACAGAGTTATGCCTCTTGGACTTAGAAAAATTTCAATTATTTGCAGTTTCCGTTCAATTTCTTTACAACCGTTGCACATACTTAGATGAAATTTAGTATGCAGATATATCACATGAATATCTAGGTCAAGTTCTGTTTTGGGTACGATCGCGCCATTTTTGACAGAGTTATGCCCCTTGGACTTAGAAAAATTCCAATTATTTGCAGTTTCCGTTCATTTTCTTTGCAACCGTTGCACATACTGAGATGAAATATAGTATACAGATTTATCAGATGAATATCTAGGTCAACTTCTGTTTTGGGTACGATCGCACTACGTTTCACAGAGTTATGCCCCTTGGACTTAGAAAAATTTCAATTATTTGCAGTTTCCGTTCATTTTCTTTGCAACCGTTGCTCATGCTGAGATGAAATATAGTATACAGATTTATCAGATGAATATCTAGGTCAAGTTATGTTTTTGGTACAATCGTGCCATTTTTGACAGAGTTTTGCCCTCTTGGACTTGGAAAAATTCCAATTGGGGGAGGGGGGCATAAGTGTTTTACAAACATCTATTGTTTAATGTGTTATGGACTGTTTGTTATCTTCATATCCTTCTACGCAATTCCTTGATCCGACACATATTTTGTGTTTCCTATCACAGGTGCTTGAGGACAGGAACCCCCCCTTCGATATAGACCCCTGGGCTTTTTCGATTTTTTTTCTCATAAATAATCTTTTATTGACATATTTGTGATAAGATCTATATCAACAAATCAAAAAATCACCTATTACAAACGTTCTTTAAAATCTACCTACATTCTATATAAAAAAATCAACAAGGTTGCTAGCTTCGTGAAATGCTTATTGAACGGAAGTAATGAGGAGAGGACTAATTCCCCATGTTCCCTTATATAACCAAATACGTGTGTAAGATATCAACAATGCTTGTAGATATGTTCTTGTTTTTTGTACGAATTCTTCATCAAAATTTTTTTTTCAAACGTTTTGTAGATTTTACATGAAATATTTAAGGAAAAGAAGGTATTTTAATAAAATGCATCTTTAAAAGGGTATAACTCTCAAAACCAATACATGGAAATTAGGTATTTGAAAAATAATTAGAAGCATTTCATTCACATCAGCGGTCTAAAAGTCTATTTTTTCAATACATTTGAAAGACATTTTTTAAAGTGTATATCAACCAATTTTCCTCAAATGTTTATTTCAAAACAGTGTTTCAGACTTTCTGCAGAACTGTGTATTTCGGTGAAAAGTCGTCTCCTCGTCACTCCCGTTCACTAAGCAAAAACGCTGGCTGTAGCCTGACATCCTTGTGATAAACCGGCCATACCGAGTGTTGAAGTGCCTTAACCTTCATGAGAGTTGGTGGTTAATGAAAAGAATATTCAATCTACAATATGAGTTGATGATTTTAAGGATTTCTTTAGATTTATGAGACGATTCAACCAAAATTCGCGGCAGTGCCTCTCGGTTTGCAGACGAAGTTGGCAGCCTTCTTAATTTATAGATAGAGAGTGGGTAGAAATTTTTATAAAATGTTAGTTTAAGCAATTTTTCTGAATTGATAGGATGGAATATATCACAAATGTGTCATCAATATATAATTTATGTGAAAAAGTCTAACAGGCCCGGGGGTCTCAATTGTCCGGGGGTCTATATTTGGGGGGGGGGGTCCTGTCCTGAAGCATCTGCGTTTCCTATCGCAAAACATGGACACTGCCATTATATTAATATATGGGAGGCGGAGGTATCATTAAGTGAATTCATCCCTCACGGCATTTCTAGTTTTATATTATTTTCTGTGTTTAAACATCTCCAGGCCTCATATGTATCATGGGATTACTAGTATTGTCGATCTGCTTTCAGAAAAGAAGTTTTATAAGCTGTTGTATTTTATAGCACACCATTCACAATTTCTGCCATCATGCACATGCATCACTGGCTTGAAAAAAAGAAGAAAAAAAAACATTTGTTTTGCTGGAGAAGGAAGTATTGTTTTTCTATGGAAGAATTATTATCAACCAAATCAAATAAACAATCAAAATATATTTTTTTCACTTATCCATAATGTGTTTTCTGTGCAATTCTATGATAAATCAAAATGCATTCTTTTCAGATACATGTTTCAAGTATTCATTTTATCAGATCATTTCAATGTCACTTCACAAAGGGTAAATTTGGTAGAAATCGGAAAATGAAACTTCACTTCTTTCTATATTTGAGTATGTAAAACATTTATCTGATACATTTATCAATTCTTATTTCCGTAAATACTTGGCTAAAAATACTGTACGTCCAACTGTGTTCTTAAAATTCATCTTTCATACTTCATCTTTTAGGAGCTTTGATGCAGGCAACGATGCGTAAAATCATACCGCTAAGAAATCATCTATAAATCAGACAATGAAATAAAAGTATGGTCCTCAAAGCTTAAATGAATAATGAAATGGAAATTAATAGAAATTTATCCAAGTCTGCCTTTATTTCAATTGTAACAAACAAGTTAAAAAAAACAGTGAAATAAAACTGATATATGCTCAATGTATATTTCAGAAGTGGTTGAAAATGCATTATAAAACCAAAAAAACCAAATGATTAACCACTATTAAAACAAGCCTCACTATTTTAATGATTTTTAATAAGAGAAAAAAAAAACTTTACGACATATTTTAAATAGTTGATAACCTCTCTCTCTCTCTCTCTCTCTCTCGTAAAATGGTTACTTGTTGCTCTTTTTCATTACTTGATATATGCAAACGGATGATGAATTGAAATGAACATTTCAAAAATGATATTGAGTGTTAAATCACTTTAAATAATATACGTTTACAATTGCTATCATTATATACAAACCAAGAAAGCAAACAAAGCATTGTTCATAGTTGCATTTGTAAATCAGCATTACAATTAAAAAACATTTTCAACTTTTCACGTAAAAATGAAAATTCCATCACAAATTCAAAAGTTAAAATTTCAACAAACTTAGACGTGGATTCAATTTAGGTCACCCATCACGAAGACAACTTATTTAGTAGAATACAAGCTCCTTCATGATACGGTCGTCGGTTCAAACCACAGCCACGCATAACCTAAGTCGATAAAATGTACATCTCAATTCCCCTTTCGCCAAGTACTCGGAACGTTGTAATGAAATTTGCAGGCTTTTGGATGAGACCTTAAACGAGGTTCTTTGTCAAGAAGGGCTTTCACAGAAAAAGACCCATTACGGCTTAATGTACCTTATTGCCAAGTAAAAGTCTAAATTTGAGCCCTTCAGTAATATATGTTGATGACTGAATATGAGTGAAATATTATTGAATTGGGGGGATGTCAATAAATCAATCATTTTTTTATTCAAACAATCACTTGAGCTCATCATAATGAGAAGGTTGACTTAATTGTCCAAGTTCTTGATAACCCGCGTTAACTTCAACTTCGGCAAACATAGCTGTGTTTGCATATTGTATTGAATTTCGTCGGCTGGTTTTCTGCTTTTCTTTGTTAGGAAATTTTTGTCTGATATTCCTGCAAAATTAGAATAGTTATTGAAATCAAAAGTGTAAAATGTACAGAAAACAAGAAAAAAATACTGAAAAAAATTAATGTAAATATTTTTTTTCACTTTCATCTTTTGTCATGCATATCTTTATAATAATAATAAAAGTTACCTGAAAATCAGAACAATATTGACAATAATACTTATACAGAGCGCTGCAATGACTCCATAGAGAGCTGTTGAATAGTTCTCTAATATCTGGTCGATTTCTTAAATTATAAAAAAAATCTTTCTATTAATCTCTCATAGCACGTCTTCTTAAAAAAAAAAATAAATGAAAAACAAATGATTATATGCGTGAATAATATAATGTTCAAATTTTTATCCATTTATTAGGCCACCTGAGTAAACTCAGGTGACCTATTGCTATCCATTTTCGTCCGTCGTCGTGCGTTGGGCGTCGTGCGTTGTGCGTTAACATTTGAACATTTTCAGCTTCTTCTCTGCAACCACTGAACCAGTTTCAACCAAATTTGGCACAAAGCATCTATGGGTGAAGGGGAACAGAAATTGTGAATTTCATGATCCCTACCCCCCTGGGGTCTGAGGGGTGGGGCCAAAACCACTAAAATTAATGCAATCTTTAAGAATCTTCTTCTTTACTCCTGGACATCAAGCAGTCAAACTGTTTGCATGATTGTAATCAGCATTGAGTCCTGGATTCTGGTGTTAGGGCGGGGCTCTATTGATTATATAGTGAAAATACATGAATTCTTTGAAAATCTTCTTCTCTGCTCCTGGGTATTAAATTAACTAACTAAGTGCATAGTTATGGTGAGCAAGAGTGCCTCTACCAAAATTGTGAATTTTATGGCCCCAGGGTCAGGGGTTCTGGTGTTAGGGCGGGGCTCTATTGATTATATAGTGAAAATACATGAATTCTTTGAAAATCTTCTTCTCTTCTCCTAGGTATTAAATAAACTTACAAAGTGCATAGTTATAATGAGCAAGAGTGCCTCTACCGAAATTATGAATTTTATGGCCCCAGGGTCAGGGGTTCTGGTGTTAGCGTGTGGCTCTTTTGATCATATAGTGAAAATAAATTAAATCTTTGAAAAATTTCTTCTTTGCTCCTGGGTATTAAGCAGATTAACTACCTATATAGTTAAAATTGAGCAAGAATGCCTCTTTAAAAATTATAAATTTTATGGCCCCAGGGTCAGGGATTCTGGTGTTTGGGCGGGGCTCTATTGATTATATAGTGTATATAGTGCAAATACATTAAATCTTTGAAAATTATCTTCTTTGCTCCTGGATATTAAGCAGATGAACTACCTATATAGTTATGATAATTTTCCAGAATTTTGAATTCAAGGCCCCAGGGTCAGGGGTTCCATAGAGGGGGGGGGGGGGCTGTACGTATATACTGAAAATATAATATGTAATGAATTGTTTGAAACCTGCTCCTTGGTATTAATCAAATATTTTTGAAAAGCAAGAATGCCTGTACAAAAATTGTGCAATGTGTGGATCAGGGGTTCATGTATGGTAGGGACACTACTGATTATTGCTGAATATTACTGATTAGTTGAAATGCATTTTTTGTTCCCCTACCCTGCCTATGGGTATTAAGTGACCAAACTGAGCAACTGCAAAATGTATAGTTATGATGACCAATGGACCGCCAGCTCTTTCAAAATTGTGAATGCCATAGCAACTGGTTTAAAATATGTATCAAATTCAATCACTGGAAAATTGTTGCATAATGCTTAGGTGACCTATAAGGCCCATGGGCCTCTTGTTTGATATGTGGTCGATAAACTGGAAAAATAAGAGAAAACTGTTCTTTACCAGAATAAGGTTTTTCATCTGTAAGATTGCTTTGGTGTCCCCTTATACACGACCCGTTGTTTGAAAAACAGATTCTATTTATACAGATTGGACTACATAGTTGATCACATTGTGGTCCGTAATGAGTTTGGCTGCATTCTGCATATAGATATCATGTAATGTTCAGTGTTATTCAAATTGAAAATGAAAGATGTTGGTTGTCCAAATAACATTTTTAAATGATTTATATCAATATCTCGATTCTTTGAATATAAATTCTTATTCATGATTTATATTTGTACCATTCAGGGGCTTGTTAGTTATACACAAAAATACATAAAATTTAATTTCTCAATCGTCACTACTCTTCAGAGCAATGTTTTTAAGAGTAAGATTTCCTGAGTTATTATATTCTTATGGTTTTATCATCACATTTATGACCCTGCCATCCTGTTTTACAAGTGCAACTACCATCGTCTTGAAGACAACCGGATATACACCCATCAGCACAGTTTCGGAGACAATCAACTCCAAATTTCCCGGTAATACATCCAAAGTTGCATAATCCATTGACTTTACTGCATCCCTTTTTACAATTATAGTTGCAAGTTTTATTGCAATAAGTTCCATATTTTCCAACGGGACATTCGCTGTCATATTCCTCTGAGTCTCTAATGAGAGTTGACGGGCATGATAAACTGCAACTCTTTTCACATTTATCTGAATAGAACCCATTCATGCATCCATATGTGCAGGATCCGGTGACATTGTCACAAATTTGTCTTTTACAATTCGCACTACATAGCTTGGAGCAATCAGGTCCGTAATGTCCGAATTCACATCCTGCAAAAAATAATAGTTTTTCTTCGTCGTCAAAGAATCAAAAACTTATTAACTTGAAAAGTACAGACCGTATAGTATTTCCCCTACACATCTCTGGAAACAATTCAATTCATGCCACAATCCTAACAGATAATTTCTTTCAGACACAGTTCTTCCTTCTAAACATGAAATTTAACAAAATTGAAATATGATTTACAACTCATAAAGATGACAAAGGAAGTATTTTAGACGTCTTATTTTGATTTAATCTGATAACATTGTAAATTATTGAATGTTTTTTTTTCTAGTAAAGATGGCAGAACTTAGTTATTTGGAAAAGTCAGAAATGCACAGGATATCTTTAAATATATAAAAGGTGCATACTTTCAACAATTTTTATCTAGATGTAAGCTAATCACTGCATGGAAGAAATATATTTCCTAGTATACAAACTCTTCAGCTTAATGGTGGACATAAAAGTTAATGACGTGTTAAAATACAACTTGGCCCAAAATTACCAAACTCACTGTCGCATCTTTCTCCTGACCAATTTGGTTTACACCCCCCAATACAAACTCCACTTTGAAGGCATTCGATTTTTGCACAATTTCCACTACATGGCGCTTCACAGGATGAACCATAAAACCCCCTGTAGCAGCCATTAATACAATGTCCATTTATTTTTCTACATTCCTGATTAAGGCAAGTGTTACTACATTTTATGTCGCACTTTTCTCCATAAAATCCTTTACTGCAGGTCCCACAATATCCATTTGATTTATCACATGCATCACTGCTGCAGTTACCACAATTGTGTTCACAGAAATCTCCATAATACCCCGGTACACATCCCACTGTACAGTACCCACTGTCTTGCGCACATGCTCGTTTATAGCACTTAATATACCAATGACATTCATATTCACATCTATGTCCATAATACCCGTCTTTACAGGAGGAACACAGTCCGTTAGTTCTATTGCAGACTCTTCTGGAACAAGAAGATGGACATTCATTCAGACATTTATCACCCCAATATCCTTCAATACACCCACGGGTGCAAATTCCATTCCCATCGAATTCCATGTCTATACAGTTAGGACTGCATGGAATCACCGCTGAAAAAACATAAAATTTACAATATGTTGTTTTTTTTTTTACATTCTAACTGGACTTTTACGAGAAGCAGTGACTTCTGCAGTTGACGGTTTTACTTGGACATTAATTAAAACTTGTATCACTTACGGAGGTGCATAATTGATTAAACATAAAAAAACCTTTCTAATTGTCATAGGTGTGATGTTAGGGACACTTACATGTGAAGGCCGGGAGTTGAGCGGTAGGTTGGTTTTTACTTGGTTTTTACTTGCTTCAAGGATAGCTTATATGTGCATTGAAATAAATAGTTATTTTTGATGAATTAAATGTGAAATATTTATTTAGTGAAAGAACTATCGTATATTGTGAAATATGTGAAAGTCAGTTTCAACTGTATAAGTCAGGGGCCCGTTTTACAAAAGGACTTACGACCAAGTTTAATTATTCATATAACTTTTTAATTAACATTCTATCGAAAATTATTTGAAACTTTTTAAAAAGATTGTTGTAAGATATTCTTATACACACAATTTCAAAGAGAATTATCAATTTTGCAAAAATTAACAATAATCTTAAGTTTTTGGTCTTAGTCGTAAGTTCTTTTATCAAACGGGCCCCAGCACTCCTTGCAAAAGTCCACTGAAAGACCGACACTTTGCAAAAAATACTTAAAAGTTCCAAATGCACTGATGGGGAAGGAGAATCGGGAATTATTTTGTCTAAATCATGTTTTGTGAAAAGTAATTCCTTTGAATACTTTCTTCCTTTCTATCCAGCCCCCCCACAAAAAAAAATTAAAAGCTGCAAGATGGATTTCATATTAATTTAAAAGGAGTTAAAATGAATAACAGAAAGTTTTAAACATATTTAATACTTTTCGACGGCGTCTTTAAAAAATGAAAGAGATGAAGAATTTACTTGTCTGCATATACGATGGTTTTCATCATAAAAATGGATAAGAATATTTTTCTTCAGAATAATACTAATTGAATAATTGAAATCAAAACTTATATGAAACTTTTTAATATACCGGGTATGTAGTACGTGTATTAGTTTTGAGTCAATATGCGCGGTCGTAAATTAAAAAAAGCAATTACTTTTAAACAGAAATATATAACAAAACAAAGAAACACTGATGAGCGCAAAAAAGTATTTTACAATACAACCAGAAAGCACCATTTTCATTTTTTTGTATTGTTTTTTTAAAATGTACAAGAACAAATAATTTACAAATTATTTGATAGATATGCTCAATCTGACAAAAAAATCTTCGGCAAATTCTTTTGTTATATTTTGTTATATTTAAGTAATTGGAGAACAGCCTGTTACCTGTCAGATGATATTAATGTTAACTAAATTATATATGCAGATTTTCCTCCCTTTCATTAGTTGTTTCCTTTAGACGTGTAAATAATTAACGTAAAACATTTAGTAAAAAGACAAATACTTATCAGGAAAAAAAATTAGAAAAGTGTCTAGATATTTACCATCACAGTGAAAATCTCTGAGGAATAAAATAATCCACATCCCCCAAAGGGCAGACATTTTGAAATCAAAATAAAATAGAAATTAATGTTGTGAGAGATTTTCTCATTCACATAAGTCGGAAATTTGCTCTGTTTCAGAGCCTTTCAAAAGCTTCTGTCTAATATAAAGCACTTAGATTTATTATAATCTACAACATTTCTAAAGCATATATCAAGATAACATTACAGGAAAACAAACACTTAAATGTGTTAAGTATAATTTTTTGAGCATTAGTCTGTAAGATTGATCACATTTCTGATCTTGTTTTTGCTGTAATTTACATGTATTTAGCACTTGTTGAAGTAACAGCGGAAACCTAATTTTTTCTCGACTTAGGTAGAGATTCGAACTCACGGCCTTCCGATCGCGTAGCGAGCGCTCTCTTGATTGAACAGCCGTAACGTCTATTTTTGTATGTGTGTATGTTAATGCTGAAAAAGAGCAGCTTGCGAAAATAATTATCAAAATTAATGATAGCATAGTATGGACTCTTCAAATACACTTAGCAGATTAAATGTGCGTACAGTTTCAGAATGACAAAAAAAATATTTGCATAAAATGAAAAATTAGGTTATGCATAGCATTATTTTCAATGAAGATAAAAAAAATGATAGAGATGATATTTTGAAATATGCAATTGGAACATACATCCTTTGCTGTATAGAGTTTAATGTTACTTTTTTTTAAAAAACAATGTGACTTTGCAGGTGTATTATTTCATTCTTTTTTTCAATTCTGAATTATTAATTGTTTCCCGCTTGAAAATGGGGGATACTAATTTGGGCCTGTCCGTCCGTCCTTCTAGCTGTCCGCCCTTCTGTTCGTCTTTCTATCTGCTTGTAACGCTTTCGTTTCCACATGATATCTCGAGAACCCTTTGAGCTTTCGCAATGAAATTTTGCATAGTAACTCCCCAAGGACTAAAAATGAACGTATTGATTTAGAGGTCCAAAGGTCGAAGCTCAATGTCATAAATTTGCAAATTCTGTCTGTTATAACACTTTAAATCCCAAGAACCCTTTGAGCTTTCTCAATGAAATTTTACATAACAACTTCCTGTGGTCTAAGGAAGATCTTTTTGAGGTCAAAAGGTTAAAGTTCGAGGTCATAAAAGTATTCATTATGAGTGTGTGTAACACTGTCGTTTTCGGGCGATATCTGAAGATTTTAAGCTTTTGCAATAATGTTTTATATCAAAACTCCCTAAGGCCTCTCTCATCCCTCTCAAAGTGCCCCGCCCAGTTTGTTTAATTAGTATCAAGTGTCGCTTGACATGATTTTTAGCACAGGGGCATGTGGAGAATAATTACATTTAATTCAGGCTGTCAACTGACTTTTCATTCTTTTATACATCTTTTAATTTAGAACTGTTTGATAAAGGCAAAATTAGACACCTTGCATTGTGTAAGATTTTGAAGATAGGGAATGTAATTATATACATGTGTTTGACCCAAGTTTTGCATATAATTTCCGACAGTTTAAAGCAGCTCCGTGGTGTAGGGTTATGTCTCTGACTTGACATTTAAGTGGCCCCGGGTTCTAATCCCGAGTAATCCAATTTCTTTCTTTTTTTAAATGCTTTTTTTTTCACTAAATGATAGTATTCAGCTTCATGTGATATGAAACAGATATGACGTCTGGCGTGTACAAACTCATAAAATCATCATTACAGTGTGATAAATATTCTATATAAAAAGAATCTTCTATACACACAATAAAGATAATAAGTAGTCAAATCTTTATATTAATATTGGCCTTTTCTTGCTTCAATATACATATATACATTGAATAATTCTACATTCAATCAAGGGGAATCCGAGCCCCCCCCCCCCCCCCTTTCCGAACTGCGCATGGTCTTCTTTTTTCCCTAAGCGGGGGACACAAATTCTCAGAATTAGCTTGTTCCATTTCGATTTACAATGAAATTGCGTGTTTAATTGTTGACGGGTACTTCTTCACCGATTGATTAGGAAAAATGTCTCTGGAAGTCGTCATAAAGGTGAAGACTGTCGGGAAATATTTCGGAAGATTTATATTCGTATTAAGTATTTCTCAATGCAGTTTGGGAGCATCTCGCAGTTTCTTTGGTTTCTGATTTCTTTTTAACATTTGATTGATTAAAAGGGCATTTTAATGCACAGTATTGTATAGAACTAAATAGTTTTTAAGAAACCATCGAGATGAATGTTTTATTTTCCCTCTTCATTTAAATGTATTTTTAACCATATCATATCTGTGCAACTTCTTAAGGAGTTTTATTTGTGGAACTCGGAAGATGAAAGTTTTTTATGTTTTTTAAAATATTTTTTGTTCTATTTTGAGCTCATGAAACGTTTTATCTGATAAACTTCCAGAAGTTACTCCAATATCAGCATACAGATTTGTTAAACCCGGAAATTTTTTTTTTAATTATGTTTAATGTTTTCGAGTATGAAACGTTTTTTCTGATAATCTTCCAGGAAGTTCTCCATTATCAGCATACACATACAGATAAATAACACATTTTCCCATAATTGAAATACCTTTGCAAATATAGGTACCTCTTGCACTAAAGCAAATTTAACCATTTCATCAGTACAGCTAAATCACGGTGGCTTAAGTTCTACATTTAAATTGTATTCTTATGATAAAAAAGTAAAAAAAAAGATTTATATTTACAATATATATGAGCAACTACTGTATATAAATGTGTATGAAAAAGAACATTACTATATAGTCACCAAGATTTATTTTTTTTTTAAGTTTTAACATGACGCCATAATCAATTTCCCGAAGTTCTGTAAAGGCAGATGGAAGTATTGAAGTCTTTAATATAGATGCGTTGAGAATGTAAAATTTAAAATATATAGACACTTCTGACTTAAAATGCAATTAGGCAAAGCTATCAGTGTAATTTGGAGCTGATAAAACTCATTTTGAAATGTTAATGTTTTCACAAATAGTATACTATTTATGATAACCTTAGATACACTTTTAAGAAAGCAAAAGCTTTCAATTGTTTGCGTACCTACACAGCACCTAGCAAGTATGCTTTGAGGCATGCATAAATATATTACCGTACATTTGAGCTAAATTATGACCAATCAATTATCAGGTTAACCAGAGTTGGTCTTCTTTGTTATTTAATACAAGAGGTAACTGTTTGTTCACAAATTAGCCAGCGGTTGTACATATGTAGTCCCAGAATTGTTAAGTGAACGGATTGCTTTTAATGAGACATCTTTGAAAGTGATTGTCCGTTCATTGCTTTTAATACAGTTCAAAGTCAAAAACGTACACTAGAATAAGTTCGAATATTTACGTTTGGGAAGAAATACTCATCATTTCAAATTGCACTCAGGTTTTTCTAACCCCTGAAAAATAAAGAAGGATAACTCTTCCTTCAGGTTCTCATTACCTAGAAATTTTTAAATGCATCTGATATTTTCTCTCAAGGATGAATCGTAATTTTATCTTCTTGAATGGGTTAATTACCAACGTTGATATTTTTGATTGGATACGTTCAAAACGTCCAATGAAATTCAAACCATAGTTCTGGAATGTTGCAATACAAGTTCTATTCATAATATGCATGTATTCAAAAAATTTCAATAGACCGTTTACTTTAAATGTCTCAATGCACTTTTTTTTAAACTAGATTTGTAGTTTTTTTTTAATCAAAACTTTTACGATAAAAATAATTTTATTAATTAAAACAAAATGGGATTATTTATGTTTTTTGCGAACAATGGATTTTCCATGTAAATGGTTAATGTTCTATAGATTAGACGTAGTGTTTTGCGTAACATTAAAACCTCTTGCAATTACCTTTATGTGCAAAGCGTCATTGTTAGAAAGCGTCAATTTTCAGATAAAACCAGATTTAAAAGATCGAGAACCCCCTCTTTTGATAGCCCGTTTTTGCTTAAAGGAATTGCAGAAGAAACCCACAAATGAAAATTGAGATCAAAATTCTTTTTGGGCATTTTGCAAAATGGGCTTTTGCCTGTGAGATTTTTAAACAGCTGAAAAGTTAAGAATTGCATAAAAAAAGTAAATTGTACTCAAGTGCATCATATTTATCTAAAAAAGAAAGACAAAGCAATTATACATTCGTAAGGGTACTGTTCCTATTTTGCGTTTCCTTTTTGATGAGTATAGAAACAAAAATAAACGGAAATAATATAAAACACAATTAAAATATTAGATAAATAACGAAACTGGATAATACTAAAACTTATAGATTCACTTGCAAAAAGGTAATATACACAATTACGTTAACCTGAAAAAACCGGCTTAAAATATTCCTTTTAAATAAATTAAGAAAAAAAAAAATAAAGAACACTACTTTAGCTTGTCCATTCAACAGCCAATAGCTAAAGCGTTAAAAACGACAGATATCATTTATAAGAAGAAACAAACTGTCTAATTTTGCGATAAATGAAACTTCTAATCATTTTGTTCACGGTTTTAATTCTAAAGATGTAGGATATGAAAAAAAATATCTTTACGTTTAATAGGGTAAATAATGGTTATTAAGGCTAAATTAACAAAACTATTTAACAATTTTAATGAGTATTGTTTTAATCTACTTTGTAATTATATCATACTTTTTATGAATATTCTTTTATCATATCATCATAAACTACACTCTCTCTCTCTCTCTCTTAAAATACCAACTGAAATTATGACAAAAATTGTACTGTACCATGAAATTAAAAAAAAATTAAGTTAAAGAAAGATCCAAAAAATGTCACTCTGATACAATGTTGTTCTTCTTCAGTCATGATCAAAAATTACATAGTAAATGGTCATATATCATTACATGTAAAACTCAATCAAGATACGCCTTATTACATGTATGTTTCATCAGATTTCTAAATTGGACAATGATAATACCCCCCCAACAAAAAAAATGTAATTAATATAACTACCAGTGGTGTCACAGCAAACTGACAATATAAACAAAGCAAAGGCTGCCATAGAAAGCAAATACATGTAAAGCCTATATAGCTCGTTCTTGGGTACCTCAATGTTTAAAAGCCGGTGGTCGTTTCTTTGCAAAATACTATGACATACAGAAATCCCAAAGGTTAACACACTTATACTTTCATAAATTCGAGTTCCTCATAATGAGAAGGTTGACTGGATTGTCCAAGTTCTTCATAGTTGGTGTTATCTTCTGTTCTCTCATGTATAGTGGAGGTTGCATCTATTGTTGAATTGGCGTGATTATGATCCCTGTTTAAGTCTGGTGTATTATAACTTCTTTGTCTAGTATTTCTGTAACATTTAATTACGAGGGTTGACCCAAAAAGTCGTAGACAGGGAAAACAGTTTATTTTCTCTTTTCTCAACTAAATTTCATTTCTTGTCATAGCAAAAACTAACATTTTATGATTAATAATTTCAAGTTTCATGACGATACCACATTTAATAAGAAAACTATGAAAAAAAAAAGAAACCATGTACATGTAAGTGTATATCGGCGCAAGAAAGTACGCGCAAATTACGTCTCTCATAACGTCATGATCTCTCTCTCTCTCTCTCTCTCTCTCTCTCTCTCTCTCTCTCTCTCTCTTTAAGATCACCAAGTACATTTTAGGCAGCAGAGAATACACCTTGTTTGAGGATGTTTATGGCACAGAACTTTTCCAACTGTCTGCGTTTAACAAACAGTACTCTACTTCTTACATTCAGTAACTATTTTCTTTTAATATAGAGGAAAAAACTTTCATTGAATCTAATGTCCTTTAAAAACAACTTATCTATTAAAATCTAGCGTGTAATGTCCTTTCTGTACTCTTTCTTCCCGTCTCTGATGTATATAAAACTTTATAAAAACAATTTATTACATTTCCGTGCGCCTATTACACGTTTGACGACGTCGTTTTCATAAATCTCATTTACATCAACACTTTGAAAATCATGACTTTATCGTCCGTTTCTAATGCTATTTATATGAAATTTGACTAATTACTATGATTTTGATCCAGGTACATTTGCACTGATTAAAATCTGAGTTCGATTTTTTTATATAGTACCGAAGAAATAAAAGCAAATGTTATAGTTATCTGCGTTAATTATTCCAAATTTTGTTCGTACGCCGACAGACTATATCGGCCTTCATATAAATCGCCCCAATATTATTAATATGAAAGGTTCACAATTTAAAAGACCATGGGATGTGTTATGCCTATGCAAACTTTGGTTAGTATTGGTTGCGAGTTAAAAAAGTTATAAACATTGTCAACCTTTTGGGACAACCCTCGTATTAGCATAAGACACCATATGATTTTTATTTGATTTTTTTTCATAAAAAAGATTTGATGCAATTATTTGTTTACATTCCTTTTACGATTAAGTTTATTTTCATACCTAGATCAATATATACATACCTCACAATCAAAAATATATTGAGAATGACACTCATGATCAGAACAGTAATTACACCGTACAAAACTGGATAAACTTCTGTGTTTGTAATGCTTGCAGACGCCTGGTTGATTGCTTCAATACAAAAAAAGCTTTCATTGCTAAATCATTACATAGAGCATCCTTATTTTATTAAAAAATATATATTAAAAGGTGAAAACATGCATGTTCTTTTGGAAATAAACTTGGTTGGTACCGAGATCAAACCCGTATTAGTATTAATAAATGTACTCAAGATACTCAATTAGTATTTGATTTTTTTTTCAAAGTTTTATTTTTACTATATGTTTAAAAATTTAAACGTTTTGTTATTATATCATTATTTATTTTTCAAAAAGTTCCAGAAAATACATTTATGGATATTTCGCTTTAGGCTGAGACGTTGTGAATTTTTTCAAATATTTAAATCAAATTTATTATAAATGATATACATGTATTTCTAAAATAAGACTGATATTATAAAAAAAATATTACCTGGACTACTTTTGTCATTATTAACATTGAAGCCATCTTTACATGACCCACTGTTTGAGAAACAGGTTCCATTTAAACAGGTTGGACTACATTGCTTGTCACATTCTAGTCCATGATGTGTTTGACTACATTCTGTGTTAGAGAAAGTGATGCAAATTAGTCGGTCATTCAGAGATTTGGCTGGACTTTCATTGTCAAAATAACAACTTTCCTAAAAGCACATTTAATTTTATTTAGAAATGTTTTGAAGATGTTTAAGTGTTCATCTCAAAATTTACCTATACAGTTTTGACCTTGCCAGCCTTCTTTGCAAAAACAATTCCCATCGTCTTGGTTACACCCAGAAATACACCCATCACCACAAGTCTGAAGACAGTTGGCTCCAAATTTCCCGTCAATGCATCCAGAAGTACATAAACCATCGATTTTACTGCATCCATTTTTGCAGTTTTGATTGCAGGTGAAATTGCAATGATGTCCATACATACCATTTGGACAGGGACCCTCACATTCCCCAGAGTGTCTGTTGCAGGCTGACGGACATGTTGTACTGCATCTTTTCTCACATTTCTCTGAATAAAACCCGTTATAACATCCATAGGTACAGGATCCGTTGACAATGTCACACGTCTTTCTTTTACAGTTAACACTGCATTCCATGGAGCAGTCAAATCCGTAATGATTGAAATCACATCCTTTAAGAGGTAAAATTTGTACGTCAATTTGCATCATTTTTAATTTAAACAGCATTACCTTTGTTATCTAAATTTATGCTCTATGTGTATTAATACTGCATCGAACAATGCTATTTACAAACTCTCTTCAATATTTAGGCGTACATTTATGGAATAGTCTTCCATTACATGTTAAATTATCACCATCTTTACCTGTTTTAGAAAGAATTTGGAAAAAGTCATAACAAGCCAACGTTTGTAATTTTTTATTGTTATAGATGTCCTTGTAATTATTCCTAACTGCGTTTTCTAAATTTCGTATATTGACTTATTTATTGTCCTGTACATGTATTTTCTTTCATTTTTACATTACATCTAATCATAAAGTTACATAATGAGCTAAACCTTCTCATTTGCATGTGCATTGTATTACATGTTCGATTTTTAGACTTTGATTCAGCCGTTATGGTCACTTTTATTGGTTATTAATATCATTAAAAAGACCGGTTTCCACGTTCCTCAGATGGATTTTTTAAAACTAGGGAATCTTACTTTAGAAAAAATGTCTTATTTTGTTTAAATAATCTGTGTTAAGCAAGCATATGAACTAAATACTCATTTGAACAGGTGAATACATCAAGGCTATTCTACAAAATTTCGTATCTTATATTAGGAATATTACACAGACACTTGTTTTGGAAAAAAAATTAACCCATAGTATAATAATAACACAATGTATCTAACTCCAAATTACACTCAGTACCCCCACCTCAGAAACGCACTCATTTACAATTTCTGAGGAAATGCAATGGCAATATCTTTAATACCACTGTGTTTTACGATAATTTATCTACACAGTGACAACTATCTGTGGCATATATGTCTTTGTTTTCGCTTTTTTCCGTAAACAGCGTCAAAAACCTGCTCGCCGAGTGAAAAAGTCGAACTAAACCATGAAACGGTATGTGCTAATCCTGCACCGACATTTTAACTGGCTAAAAATCTTCGTCTAAAATTTCATCAAAAATACGTGGTTACTGTCTTTATGGAAACTGAGACATAATCAAATTTTGTTGATTCAATGCAATATTTAAAATCTGGAATTGAATTTTTTAACCCATTAATTTTTCTTGCCCGACATTAGCACATACCGTTCGGTTTAGTTCGACTTTTCCACTCGGCGAACAGGGTTTAGACGCTGTTTACGGAGATAAACGAAAACAAAGACATGCATGTTGCATATGGTTGTGTAGATAAATTGACGTAGAAGACAATTTTAATTAACATTTTGCCATTGCATTTCCTCTGAAATTTTCAATGGGTGCGTTTCTGAGGAGGGAGATACTGAGTGAAATTCAGAGTTAGATACCCCGTATTATTATTATACTCTAGATTAAAAATGTATTTCCAAACAAGTGCCCGTGGAATATCATTATTACCGGTGATTTAAATTGTTATATGATTGAATTATTCCGTTCCTTTTGATTAGCTGAGATCCAACTATTTGGACAAAATACTGTGTGATCCTGCACGTGACGTTCCAGATGAGTATAAAGGACTATTTTCTCTACATTGATCTAAAAATACATCAGTTAATTCCAAATTGATTAAAATCGTTTTGGAAAGCTTTCACTGGTATCGACTTTTTCTTATGTGAACAACACGTACATGTATGTGAATACATATTTTCGGACGAGGGTGGTAGGATGGGATGCAGGGAACCCCTCCAACACTTTTATTAAACAAAAATGTTTATTTATTTATTATTATTTTTTGATTTTTTTTATTTTCTTTGTCAGCTTTTCAGTTTCCCCTGATAATACTCCTTCTTTTCAAAATCAATCCTATAAAAGATCCTGACATTTAAAATTTTTTCTGGCAACTAAAAAATCAATGACTGATAATATCTTTTTACATTGTTACACTGCTTCTCTCTTTTGAAATATCTAGGACTTTAGCAAATAAAAACAATTTATGAGTTTATCATTTAATCTTTGAATCATATAATAAAACACTTTTTGATGTGTTTTGAGTCAATACAATACTTTAACCATCTTTGAAGTAGAATATTCACCTTGTCCTTCGGGCTCGGTGAATATTGTAATACTCAGGTGACTAAATCAGTGTATTGACCTCAAAAACAGCAATAATCGGGTAATATTTTTCAATGCATGTATCTTCTAGTAGTGTAGTGTACATTGATACATGTGGTTCATAATTTCATCTCCGTCCATTACCAGAAGAAAGGGAAAATATTTAGAATAGGAATGATTATTCATTGCTAATGCTGAGTAAGAAGTATTTTATCTAAAACAGGATGTAAGACAATAATTTACCAGGACCATCAGCAACATCATTTTTTTAAATATACAGATATATGATTCGATATTTACCGGAAAAAATAAAGTAGTATTTTTTTCAGTTCAAAACTTGTGAAGAGGGTGCACAGAGATTCCGGAAGATAGGGAGCAACATCGGAATTTGATATTTATATATTACATAGATACCGTATAAGTGGAAATTTAAGCGAGACGCAAATTTAGCGATCTGTCCTTAAAAATTGGTATTTTATTTTTAGCGAGATGTAATTTTAGCGATTTTATAAGCTCACTGCAGAAGCTATTACAAATAAAGTGCAATTAATTTTAAGCGATATTCAATTTTAGCGATCTTAACACCCTAGTTTATACATGTAATGTTAAAATTAAATCCATGATAGTTTTGTAAGTGATGTAATTCATTTGCACGGGCATAAAAAGCGACTTTCATTATTGGACCAGTATCAAAATGAAGTAGATTTAAAATCAAGATTTTGCCACCTTGGAGATGCAAAAGAAGAAGGTATTGTTTTAGCTGACTGTGCCCTAAAAATGTAATATCATCAAAAAGTTTTGAAACTAGCTTAAAAATACGTTAAGTATATTACTTTGATAAATCAGGAAAGAATAAGGCACAAAGGATTTCTTGCCTGCAAATATGACGTCATAAATGTGATGCATTTCTGTATTTTTACAGAAAAAGCCTCAAATTAGCCAATTTAAAGGGTAATTTTCCTTTTGAAAATAGTGTTTACAGCTGTCGCCCACTTTATTTTTTTTTATATGTTTTGCAAAAAACAATAAAAAATCATATATCTCAAAATCTTTGTGGGCGATGCCTGTGGACAATATTTTCTGAAAAAAAAAATTCCATTGAAAATTGGTGTCTTCTGCAACATTTGAAGAAAATACGGTAAAATGCCCATGTTAATGACGTCACAATGAACATTTAAAAACACGTGTGGGAAAAATTATTTGTATGATATTTCTGCATGGATTTTAATGATTCAGAAAGCATTAGTTTTCATCTTTTACATCTGTTTTATATTTTAGAAAATCACAGGGCAAGATTTGTATAGAAACCATACCTTGTTCTTTACAAAAAATCATATGTATTTTTGTCCTTTACTTTTCTGTTTTTGCATGAATAGATTAAAAAAAAATAAATTAAAATATTCAGAAAAGGTAATAAAATGCATCTTACCATAAATCTGAATTTCACATATTTCAAGCACAGCGCCTCTTTCTGAGAATTTATCGTCTTCAGGAGCGTCATAGTCTGTTATAACTCTGAGGTATCTAGCTGTTCTTTCACATGTAATATTCTGTATGGCTGATGGTATACTAGAATCTGGAGTGTTATCTTTGTAGCATTCTTCCCATTGTTCTGTATCATAGGAATTTGATACTTGTAAGCTGTATTGCCTGAATCGGTAAGGTCGCCATGTATAATATCCTGTAAGAGAGGGTTTTCTTAAATTTCTTCCAATCATTTTTATTTAAACTTTTACCTCAAATCAGTTTGTGATCAAGAGAAACAAATTAACTGCACAGATAGCAAAAGATTTACTGATTACAAAATAATCTAATATAAAGCCATTATGGCATTTACTTTATTCTGCTACATAGAAAGATTGTTGAAGATTTTCCCATTACTTTTCCAGTGTTCTTGGTGCAGTGTTTGTCTATTCATGGCCTTCAAGCTAAACCTTTATATATATATTAACGATATATTAACGATGTTATATCATTAAACGGTTGTAACTATCATTCAATATGTCGAATCGATGCATTCCCGTACACTCTAAATGAAAGACACAGCAACGTCTGTCACGGGACAATATAATATAATAATAAAATATATGGGACAATTTAATATTGTGTTCCCTGGATTGGGGTGAATCGGTTATCTATTAGATATAACTTTTGGTCCAAATGTAAGTACATTGTATCATGAGTCGACTGCATGTATGCGACTTTCTCATTATATAAATATGTTTTTTTTTTAATATTGTTCAAGAAGCATTTAAAGAACACAAAGACTAAATGAATTTAATTTTATCCATTAATTTGCACAGTTTATGGACAATACGATGACCTTGTCAGCAAACACACCCTATCATTATGTCGAATGACTTTTTTCATACAAATTATTAGCCCATTACTTCACAATTGTCTATAAATATTTCTATTTGCCACAAAGAGCAGTAAGTGTCTTGACCGAACAAAAGGGAATGTTAACTCCTCCATAGCACCTGATCCCATCTCTTATGCTTAAGTGGTCCAAGTTTCCTCTGCCCCCCCCCCCACCCCCTCACCATTCGTCTTTTCTCAATAGACATTTTAATTCGTTTAGTTCTGTCACAGCCTTGTCTCAGTATTGTAGTTGTAGTGAATAGTGAAGAAATAATTAACACACAAAAAACGGCTGCTGGGTTCGATTCTTTATTTGATATATTTCACGCAATAACAGAAAAAGAAGAGGGTGACCTGAAATATAATATAACATGTATTTAATATTCTTCACCTCACTCACACTTTTAAGCGAATCAATTAAACTTATGAATTTAGATAATTTAGAAATTGACTTGAGTTAAATAAAATGATGAAATAGATACTGAGTAATAATTGAATATTCAAAAATAATTTAACAATTTTTTCTTACCGTAATCCTAGACCCAATTTTGCCACAATATCGTAAGATGATTTTTGTTGGAGAGAGAGAGAGCGTTTTATCTCCCCAAAGTCTAAGGTTGGAGTGCCCGAGAAATTAGTATTGGCGCGAATGCGCAGGGGACATAGAAAAACCTGTTTGACAACTCACACACTCGGACCCTCTCACTGACCACTCATCCGTATAAATGAATGAATGAATGAATAAAACAGTGAAATCCGTGGTGAAAACGGTATTCACTAGTTACTATAAAAATATTATGCTTTATAACAAGATATGAAAATGATATGAATAATAATTATTAATATTAATTAATAAATTATAATTCACCCTGTGACAGTTCTTTACCTTCAATTTTCTTTTCATATAAAGGACAATGTTACTCAGAAACAGGTACTTAAATATTTAGGTGCAGTAACAATCTACTTCTTGCTCTTAACTTATACATCGCACCATCCATGTAAATACATGAAATAATAAGAAAATAATTATTTTACTAAATAGTTTGCCAAATTCAGATTCAGTTGCTGATATGCATCTTTTTTTCATATCAGGAGATATTTTAAAAATTTCATTAATTTTAAACAACGGAACTTACATGTATATAGAAAGAAGAACTTGATAATAAAGTTATTGCACAAAATTTCATTACGTCTTTTCTGTGATGCCATGTGTGGTATTAAGCATTCGTCTCATCTTATAAGGGTTACATGTACTGTTATAATTTACAAAGTAAAATGCAACAAGTCTGTTCTCTCAATGGCGACCAAAGGTGCCGGTCAATTTAAACATCGCTCATCCTCTAAGGTTTTTGGTGGTGGTTCTTCTCATATTGCTTGAACCACTATGTTGCGATAATTCGCGATGCATTTGGCTTTTCCAGATTGGATAAAATTGCGTATTATATTGAGTATTTATTCCCGAACCAGTATAATTTTGTCAATCTATGAAGCCAATAATGTGTAAGGATACTGTCATGATATATAATGTCATCATGTATTATGATGAGTTGCATAAAATATAATAATAAGTAATGTATACTGATGGGTTCTAATGGTTCCTGATCATGACAAGGAGCACATGGCGGGTGTGACCGGTTGACAGGAGATGCTCACTCCTCCATGGCTCCTGATCCGACCTCTGATTCTCCTATTTTGTATTTTTTTTTTATTACATTTAATCTTGAATACTGTTCGTTCTCTCCATATGTTTCATTGAGACAATGTATAATGATGAAATGCATAATGAATATTGTATAATGATGGTTGCAACAGTGATGAACTGCATAATGATGAACTGCATAATGTATGCATAATGTATAATGTATAATGATGGTTGCCATAATGTGTCATGATGAAATGCATAATGCATGCACAATGAATAATGTTAATGATGGATTGCATAAAGTTTGAATAAGGATTAATGTATAATGGATCTTTGAGGGCTTCACATTTGACGGTGGATGAAACTAGCAGCCCTCAAATGATAATGTAGCATAATGTTTAAAATAAATGTGTAATGTAATGATTAACTAATTTATCCACTGGCAGCCCTAAGGTCGTGGCCTCGTTCGCCAACAACAACAAAAAATAAATCTTAAATCAACTTTATATTTGGCTTCATTGTCTATAATAATACATGTATAATGTCAATTACCTATATCATTTCTATAGTAGATGACAACATTTTGCAGTTTACATTCTTTTCGTAAGTCCACCATAACCCATGCCTCTGGCGCTGCGCATACTGCCGTATGTGAACAGCTGGCGTAATTTTGTTTGGTGTTGCCGTCAATTACTTTGTATGCAGATAAATCCTTACTTATAGAACTCTGTGTAGCTATGCAGATAGAACGTTCACAAATGTTATCTGTGTAATAATAGAATAAAAACACTTTTAAAATAAATTGGTGGATATATATTGCCAAGGATTAAAAAAAAACCGTGTACTTATCGGCAATGTCTTGATAATATTTTTATTAAATCCTGTCATTTTAACAGTCTTTTATGCAAATATTTTTAATTCAATGTACACGAGTCAAACATAAAATTTAAAATTCAATTGAAAGTTGAATTAGAGAATTAATTAATTTAAAAAAAATTAAAATTGTCAACTGGAATAGGAACGATAACCCTTACTGATTCATCTCTATCCTTTTGAAACAATGAATTTTTTTATTACACCTAAATCCCTATCTCACCCAAGCCTCACATATTCACAAGTGAATGTTTTAAATGGCAAAAAAATTGTTCATATTTGTTTTTTGTTTCAATTTCAAAAAAAAGTTATCAAGAGCGATTGGTTGAGCGGTTGATTTTTTTTCTTTTTGCTCTCGTAGTAGCAATGTAGCTCTCTGTTGCAATTTTATTTTGAATTTTAACAAGGCCGTGTCTAATTATTTCTACCCTAGGGATTTCGATAATTTTTTGTTAATTGATTTTTACTGTTATATTTATTGTTTTAAGATGAAAATATCGAATGCTTACCACCCCGATTTCTTTGGGGGTCATCTGAAAAGTTGTAAAATTTGACTATTGGTCCCTATGAAAATTTGTTAAAAAGCGCCAAATTATTAAATTTTTCAGATATTTTTCTATATTTGCCCTAGAGCTTTCTTCTTCAGTCAAGTAGATGAATGTTATTGTAAAACGTCACAAAATTGTGAAATTAAAAAAAAATGTGACCATCTACATGTAGATTGGTCTGGGTCTTAATTACAAAGTTTATTTTTTTCGATGCCCAATAACTCTAAAATTGCCATATTGTGGTATAAATACATATTAGTGCAGATGAATTATCGGCGCAGATAATTTTTTTTGGTAAAAAATAGCTTATATTTAATAATAATTATATTTCGATTGTTGTTATGTTTCTTCTGATGTTCTGTCATCAGTTTAAGTAAAATATCCATGGACGTCTACAGACATATGAGCGACTCATATGCCAATCTTCAGCGTCCGGCATTGCTTACAAAATCGGAAACAGTGACGTAGCTAGAACCACTAAAACGTGTTTTTCTAATTATTGCTGTAAAATCACATTTTCAGACCAGTAGGCGTTTCAGATAATGTTAATCTTATATTAAAATATTATTTTGGAAAGGTGTACTGTCGCACTTATGACTGTGTGTAATTAAAATGCTTCGCAAAAGTCATGCGCACTCGCATTAGACTCGGCCTCGTTCAATCTCAAATCTCATGAAATCAAATTATTCATGATTTCCTTTCAGCAGTGATCATTTATGAGTGGCTTCTGCACTACTTACCGTAACGGCCGCATCTTATCAGTCAAATGCTTAAATGTGTGATTGTACTAATCAGTTATTTTAAAGATAAATATTGTCCAACATTTTGAGTGTTGCAATAATTGCGCTTTTTCAATTCGATAAAAATGAATGTGAATACAAATATATCAATTTGAAATGTACGTGAATATTAATTTCCCAAATGAAAAAAGAAATACTGTAGAATCACTAATTTTGTTGATTTGTCAAAAAAAATAGTTTTGTTGGCATTTAATTTCGTTGTTTTCAAAGTAACTCTATTCAAAAAATATAAAGTCATATAAAATTTCGTGTGGGATTTAATTTCATTGATAATTGTTTACAACGAAATAAATGAAATTTGATCCCCAACGAATGTTTGTGCTTTTACAGTATTAAAATCTTTTACTGTACATAACTATCTATGAGCTCGTCGCCCGCGTGGCGCAGTTGTAAGAGCGTCTGATCTAGTGTCACAGAGAAAGTGATTTACTTTACATAAATGGGATAAATACAATTCACAGAAAGACAATGGAAATAAAACAGAACTATACCATAACAGTGAATTACTCCAAATAATAATTGAGTCCACATTCCCCATAATGTAGCCATTTTGATGGGAGATGTAAATTCAAAATGTATTACACAATATAAATAACAATCTTGTTATAAACGAGAAGACTTCCAAGCGAGATATATATTTTCAAAGAATATACGCATTTAGATTTATATATTTACGCTAAAATTCTAAGCATAAAAAAAAATCACATGATGGGTAAACGACACTTAAAAGCGATACCTCGATATTCAGAGGATTACATAACTTTCGCTTTTTTTCCTTTCCGTATCAAGCATTTTTTCTCTTGTAAATATTATAAACTTCCTCGATCAATACTGTGCCTTTAACTTTTGAAATAATTTCTTATATATGGTACACAAGGTTATTATCCAGATCGATAAAATAATATAAATTAATATACTTCATTATTATTATTATTATTATTAGAATTATTATTATCAAGCTAAAATTTGTGCAAAAAAAAAGAGACTTCTATTTATCTGTTTTCAAATTTTCTTTTATTTTCTTTAAACTTAATTGTTTATTTCTTCTTCTATTTAAAATATACAAGTATCTAATTTTAAGATTACGGGGTGGATGACCTACGATCTGCTGCTAAAGTATATAAAAAAGGCCCATTATTTCAAAGCAGCATAAAAGATCAACCTAAACGGGAGATGTTTTCCTTCTTTTTGTTTGTTTGTTTGTATTTAATACCACCCCCTTGAGATTTTTTTTTTCACTCATATTTTTTTCACCAAAGACGCCTTGTATATTGATTTCTAAAAGAGGAAATTTAAATTTAAAAGACAAGACATTGTGTTTTCGACATAATAACCATAAGGCATATATAATAATAAAGCCCACTTCTGAACATGCCATATATACCTAATAATTTAGTTTTAAATACGACAAAGAAGAAATCTTGATACATTTCAAAAAAAAAAATAAACATGTATGGATTTATACTGTCCAAAAAGTAACACTGAACACAGTGCATTGTATATGAAGTATATTTGATAAGCAGTGTTCACAAACTTTATATGGCAGAGTCGCCACATCATAATGTGCGTTAATGCAGTTATACAAAAAATTTTCCTGGTGTTTTTAAAACAATTGAAACCGGAACAAAAATATGCATATCGATTTTTTTATTACTTTATTTAGCAATTCTCTTCCTCTATCAACGAGAGCAATATCGATGGATTTGATTTTGACTTGTTTCTCACGGTGCTTGAAATATTAATGATCTTATTATGGTTACGGTAGAACATTGTAAGAAATTAAGATAATTTATTAGAAAAGAAATCTTATTTTGGTATACATACTAGGATTATCAAAAAGTTTGTTGATTAATGCGATAAAATTTATACCATGTAGCCTGTGCTTATGCAATGTCTATGGGACATAAATCAACAAAAAGTGTCAGAAGTGTTGAAAATTTTCGCTCGGTATGTTGATAATTTTCCAAATTATCATTGACTTAAGAAAAAAAAACAATCACCCGTCATTGTCGCTTTTTAATTTGTTGGCGTCCGACAACGTCAATATTTCTCAATATCCACTCCCACTCTTTCATACACTTTACTTGATGAGATTATAAACAGCCAATTTTAATGCATATTATAAATTAAATGACAGACTTTGAACACCCTGAATACAAATCGACATCTATGCATATTTCATCCTTCTAATCTTTTAGGCATTTAAGTACTCTCGATGCATTCAATTTCTTTGTAGCTCGTTTAAACATTTTCTAGCTCCATGCCAATTTTTCCAGTTCCACAATTTTAAAGAATATGTAAAAAAAGAAAAGAAAAAAAAGAAACTCCTTCCCCTTTTTTGACTTCATTAGAGTCCATGAATTGTTTGCATTTTCACTTGAAATTTACGATGGAATTTTTACAGACCTTACAGAATAGAGTAAAGTTTGCAAATGGTGCCATACCACGTGAACGAATTAACACGATTTTTGCATGACAAGTGCACAAATCATAAAAGGTTTTTTTTTCATTTATACTTAGGTAGAAAAAAAACCCTCATCTTCGAGTTTGCGCCGCCTAGACACATTATTACTAAAAAAAAAGCATCAACAATTCATTTAAATATATATATATATATAAATGATTTATAGTTTATTAAATAGGTAGAAAACATGATTCTTTTTAAAGAGGAACAGGATTTTGAGCCGAAAAAAAAATGAAGTCAATGATTTTTTTCGTACTTTTTTATGATACTTTTTATAAAGTACTTAACATTTTAAAAAAGTCCTGTCATGAGCTTTCTTAAACTTATCTAAAAGATATAACCTCACAAATATTGCCTTGTATAGTATTTAAATGAATTTTCGATACTTGACTTTTACGGGTGCATTACGGAGTTCATAGTGGGAATTTTTATGCACAAATAATAGATATGGTAGAAAACACTATATGCCAAAATATTTCAAAATATCCATAGTGTTTAAAGTATCTGAAAGCATTTATTTTATTTTTTCAATGTATATCGGTGGGATAATTTCTACACTTTTCAATCCAGCTTCAAAGACAAAAACGATATTTTGGGGAAAAAAAATCTGTCAACAAATTTGGCTAGATTTACGATTGAATGTCAGTCCTTCATCGTAATTATTAAGTGTATAAATATTGCACAGGAAATCGTTGAATAACACGTAAGCATGATAAGAACGCTTCACATTTACAGTTTCCGAGTTCGGGAAATCAATTGTGACGTCACACGAAAACATTAACACGATGAATTATCTAAATACAGAGAATCTCTGCTACCAAACACAAAAGGAATATTAATTCAAAAAATCTTTTTCAGAAATTAATCACGACGCATTGACTGTGACCTGTTTATTATGAAATAAATCTGATAATGACGGGTGTTTTTAATATGTGCCAGATCTCGCTGCACTGAGAATTCAAACACTGCGTTACTGATGTCAATGATGTTAGACTGCAGGGTAAAGAGAAATGGATGTGTGGATTTGGCAATTTCACAATATCCAAATCTTGGCAAGACCTTTAAAAACTCTTTTTTTATATGATAAACAAATTTGGAATTAAATTACACAAGAACTGTTGATTTTAACACTGTTTAAGATGTACATCAGCAGCGACTATGACGTAATCTGTCTTTTGAGTCATGTGTCCTTTCTCCCCTTAAATGGTGAAATATGTATCGATGTACCTCAAGCGGTTTTATTTTTATTGCACTTGTCTAGGAACTGTTTGATAACCCCTCGTAAATACTTATTCTAAATTCAATGAAAATACCGATTGATTTTGGAGAAAAACAAAATTGAAAACGTCACATTTCAAAATCAGTAAGGTCAAGGTCAACATTGAATGTACATCCAAAGTCCAATTAACGATACAAATTTTAGAGCAGAGCAAACAGGGACCTCTAAAACTCCATAGGTGGGATAAGGTGCCTTAAAGAAGTGAACATCGCCTGCTGACCTGCCACACTAGCCCTGTGCTCCTTGTCATTATCGGAAAATAGCAAAAAAAATCCGTCGTCAATTCAATTTGTAAATAATGTTTTAAATATTAGTATGAGAGTTAGCAATTCACTTAATGATAAACTTTATGTGCTTACAAGGTCATTGTATCGGCCATAGAACTTACGATGACTTGAAATGAGACTGATATGAACTTTGTTTCATTAACTTTGTCAAAAATACCTCGTTTTAGAAATTGTGCATACTAAGAACATGCTTTGACCTATCGAATCAACGACAGCGATACTTTGAAACCTGGGAAAATTTTCATAACGGACGAATGATCTAAGTTTCCTTCTGTCGTTCCTGGCATACTCTACTATCTAGAAAATGATTCCTTATGTATCCATTCCATTGTAAAATACAATTATAGATTTAGAGTTGAAAAATGTAGACATAGAATGAAATTACACGAGGATTCCCATGCCAATTTTAATAGTCCTCGACCACTGACGTCAAACACAAAGGCAGCCGCAAGAGAATTACACGCATATTTGGCGTCCTTAGCGTCAGACACAGAGACAGGTGCACATGAGATTTGCATGCATTTTAAGCCACCAAAGCTCCTGAACTATAGACCTGCCTAATTTACATTTAGGTAGAATTATCAAGAAACTCCCGCTAACTTTCAAAGGGTTATCACAGAGAAAAAAAAATAAAAATGGAAATATAACAAAATAATGAACTCTGAAATTAAAAGTAAGAGAATAACATAATTATAATATACAACTGTGTTATTGATTTGCTATAATACTGAACGTCATATTTTAAAATTATCTTAAATATCAATAAGAAAAACATTAATACGGTTACGTGTTATTTCTTGCTATTTGATTTTTTTTTTTAACAAAGATGATAAAAACAAAAAATGTGAAAATAATGAACAGTGATGTTAAAGTACATAAAAGAGATAAAACAAAGCAAAGCTAGCTATATCGAGTAAATATAGTCTCTAGCTCCTTCAAAGTCACCTTAAGTCAGTCACGCCAGCAATCGTTTCTTTCTAGTATATTCAGAAACAAACATTTTAAAAGTAAAAGGACTTTCATTTTTTGAGTTCTTCATATTGAGAGGGTTGACTTAATTGTCCAAGTTCTTGGTAGTTGGCGATGTCTTCTATTCTATCATAAACATCTCTGTTTGCATCTCTTATTGAATTGTACGGACCGTGTTCTTTTGTTGAGTCTCTTCTTATATAAAATTTTTCTCTCACTTTCCTGTAACAATAAAGAATTTACAGATAAGAAAGATGCTTTTTCATTTTTTTTCTGAAGTAAGACATCTGTTTTATTTCATCTACTTTATTGATAATTAGATTGATAAAAATCTTACCACGCAATGAAAAATAAGTTGACAAATATACTTAAGATGAGAAATGTAACCACACCGTATAGAACAGAGTGAACGTCTGTGATTTTACTGTTCTCTGACGCCTCATTGTTTCCTTCAATGGAAAAAAGATACATGGCAAAATATTTGGCTATCTGTTTTTAGATGTATCACATAAAAAAATAAATGTACCTCAACCCTCCCTAAAAAGAAAGCCACAAATGTAGACAACTAAGTAATTAACTTTTATTTAAAAAAAAATGTTAGAATTGATCTGTCTATATTTATAATCTGATGAGGAAATACCTGTTTGAGACATGTAGTTATACTTTAACAAATGTATTGATGATTTATCCTTTAAAAAAAGATAACAAAGATAAACACCGATTTTAGCACGTAAGAACAGTCAGGTTTTGTTGGTTATCAAAATTCCAATCTTGAATTACGGTGTAATGGTCTTAGGAGTATCTATAAGGCTCAATGAAGGTAGTCAGCTAGATACTAAGTATTTGAGATATGTTTTTGAGTTTAAACAATCTTGGATATGAACAATTTTTTTAAAAAGTCAAAACGTTCATGTATTTTGTCCTTCAATTTGTGATTTTGAAATATTCCTTTGTAAAAGAAAAACCCACGCATTTTAGAAAACTTTATTTTTATAACGAAAAAAAAACCCAACTCACCATAAATTTGAATTTCACAAATTTCGAGTATAGGTCCACTTTCAGAGAATATGTCATCTTCAGGAGCGTCATAGTTTGTTATAATTCTGAGGTATCTGGCTGTTCTTTCACATGTAATATTCTGTATGTCTGATGGTATGCGGGAATCGGGAGTGTTATCTTTGTAACATTCTTTCCATTGTTCTGTATCGGAGGAATTTGATACTTCTAAGCTGTATTGCCTGAATCGATAAGGTCTCCATTCATATCTTTGTCTTCTCGAATTCCAAACTCTTGATATGTTTGTTTTAACCACTTTAAGATCATCTATCAGTACTTCATATAGAGGTTTAAAACAAAAAATTGGTTTAATTCGATGCTATGGAATTGAATTAAAATAACCTAGAAAGGTGATATTATTAATACATTCTTATAACAATATCCTACCCAGTGCAAATTAAAAATAACTTTTATTGCAAAACTATGGCTTTCAATTACCATCCTCGTTTCTATAGTAGATGGCGACATTTTGCAGTTTATATTCTTTTCGTAAGTCCACCATAACCCATGCCTCTGACGTTGAATTTACTACAGTATGTGAACAGCTGTAGTAATCTTGTTTGGTATTTCCGTCAATAACTTTGTCTGCAGATAAACCATCTCTTATAGAACTCTGTGTGGCTGTGCAGGTTACTCTTTTACAAATGTTCTCTGTGTATTGAAAACAAAAAAAGTCCTTTCAAGCTTGAGCGCAGTCATTACATATGTAGAAGCTTTACAATTACAATAAATAGTGAATATGACGGCATGGTAAGCAGAACATTAAAAATTGTTTTGATTGTAATCAAATTGGAAAAGTCAAGATTAAAGTTGGAAAAACCAAGACCAATTTTATCAACTTTAACAAAATATTACGTGGCAATAAAACGCTTCCATAGTAATGAATTATCAGCTTAAAAGTTCACAAAAAAAGATTATCCGATTATTTACCGTAACAGTGAATATATCTAACCAATGATATTGTCAGCATTGCCCTCAGGGCAGCCATTTTAAAAGAATATGGATACTGAAAAAAATCACAATTTATATATAAATTCTCAGGCTCTGAAAGAATAAGTGACAAGTGAGAGAGTATTTCTCAACGACAAAATAACTAAGTTTAAAACATTTATTTTAACAATTAACAATGACAATAAAAGGTTTTTAAGCATTAAAATCATATGATAGGAAAGGACACTTGAATAAATTGCATCATTGTTCTCTTGACAATTATATGTAATCATAATGTGAGAATGATATAATTCTTCATTTACTTGAGATTTTTTTTAAAAATTATGAATATAATTTTTTCCTTGTCCACAACAGGATATACGACTTTTAAAGCAATTACATGTATGCATCAAATATTGTACACAAATTTTCGTTGCAGTTTTCTCAGCAACTACTCATCGCAGATGCTTGAAATTTCAACACGATCTTTTCATATCAATAAAGCATATTATATGTAAAATTTGATATACTTAAAAAAGGGGTTTTCCTTTTTTTCGATAGTAAATGAAAATCATTTGTATCTTTAAAAACGCGCTCTATGGATGTAAATACGAGGGCTGATCCAAAAGTAATGCCACTGTGTCCATATCTTTACTATTGGCGTCATATGCATGTTATCAAATATAATGTATCAAAAGATGCATAAAAATAAATTTAATCAACATTTAAAGTTTCATTTAATAATGATTATATTTTTATTGTTTATAGATTTTCTTAAGATAGATCACCCTTCGTCTACAGTACTCGCATATTTATTCTTTACAAATCCATCGTGTCCTAGCGTGCGTGTATCCTATTTTATTGTGTGTGTATTCTATCGTATCATGTTTTCCCTTTATCAGCTTTTGCATTTTATGACTTTTAGTTTAAAACACGTGTTTTACGTTTGTTGTCTTTTTTTGTTGTCTTTTCCGTTTATCGCGTAGATCGTATTTCAGTTTCATTGCGTTTATCATGTATATTTGGAAACCCTCGCTTTTTATCTTTACTACAGGAAGAAACTACCGAGGTATTCCTATTTTCGTTTTGTTAACTAAAGTATAATTGCTTTTACCGAGAAGAAGAACAGAAAGATTTATCCCTTATCTTCACCTTTAACTTTACATTATTCGATTACACGTACAATTGAGGTTGACATTTAGGAAAGGAACCAGTACCAGTTTAAAAATAATCATTATTGCATTTTTAGGGATTCCATGGCATATTCAGTGTATTTTAAGATTTCAAAGAAAATCAATGGGTGGAAATCTGACTTTTAAGACTTCGTTCAGGTTTTACTTAACCCTACATACATGTATAATGTATTTCAAATAAATGACCCATGCATACACGTGTATGCATTGCTATGAAGGAAGATATGTCGGGGAGTGGGGCTGAACCCCCTCCCTATATAGTTAAAAGATTCTACCGGCATAAAATGTCCATGAGGTTTATGGACATTTTATACCTTATAAAAATTGACAACCCCTTCCACTAGAAAAAGTTTTGAAGTTTGAGGTTATATATTTTAATAATTTATTTTAATTTTTCTGTACTTGTTTGTATATTTATTTTGATTGTCAAAAAATTATGAGACTTGACATCTGTGAGAATTGACACCCCCCTTCCCCGGAAAAAAATTCTTTGGATGCGTGTGCTTACATTATGCCCTATAACTTTTTTAAAATTATCTTAAGGCCTCAATTTTAATTCATTCATACTAAACGTACGTATTTTTGTTCGTGCACAAAGCCTACTGAGGAACTGGAGTAGTTTTATTCTTCAATTATTTCTATTGCCATGGGAACAGGAATCCATAGCAACTAATTAATGAAATAATCACCAATTTCAGTTTGCAGACGCATTCCTGCATGACTGTCAAAAATATTCAAGATCAAATACCTGGCAAAACTAATTTTATGCATAAATAGAATGTCTTTTCAAAAGGTGATTTATTGGAATTTTTGAACCAATTTTTTTTTCATTAAAAAAATGATGTTTAGACAGATATATTTTTATAGCGTTTTGATATATCAAAAGGAAAATTATAAATAACAAAATTCTACTGGAATAATTTCTGTTGCAATTTGTTTAAAGTTTGGGTGTTTTAGAACTAGAACGACTGGACGAAATGCTTGAAGAAAAAAGGTGTAGGCCTATTCGCATTTTCAACAATCACGCTTATAAATAATTCAAAGTGTAGCAATAAAACGGTCCTAAGTTCATATGTTTGCATGTACAAACAGTAATGATCCAACCTGATACTGGGAAATTTCTTTTTAACAAATCTGGGGTTGAGTTTTTCTTTAACTTTGTCCAATCCCGGTCATGATATATAATAATATACCGTATGAGTGATTATTTTAGCGGAACGCATATTTAGCAATTTGTCCTTAAAAAATGGTATTTTATTGTAAGCAACATTTAATTTTAGCGATTTTAAAAAGCTTACTAAAGAAGCTGTAACAAATAAAGATGAATTAACTTTTGGCGATAGTCAATTTTAGCGACCTTGGCACCCTCGCTCATAATGCCAAAATTAAATCCTCGCTAAAAATTTTGCTTATATGGTATGTTAAGAAAAAGAAACCCACATTTTTAAGGATATAAAAAAAGACTTTAACAACCATGCTATGCATTCAGAAAACATAATGATTTATTGATTGTACTTTGATTAACCCTCTCGAGAATCTTTCACTCATAAGGAGACGCTACCGTTTCCTTGTGGAAAGCTACAAATTCTGTCCTATGCTCGGCATTCATGGCCATTTAGAGTGAGGGATATTTCGTACCATCATTAGCTACTGCGACACGGGGCCTCGGTTTATACGGTCTCATCTGAAGGAAAAACGACAATCAATACAGTTAGCCGGGCAGAAGACAAAGACCCTTGCAGCTTCAAGGGGTGGTATCAGAAGCCCCCCCCCCCTTCTTCAAATAAAAAAAAAATCAGAGTCGTTCTCTATCATGCCAGCGCCTACCGCGACACGGGACGTACGTTTTTAAGGTCATATCCTACAGACCCGTGACTTTCACTTCTGCTGCCGAGCGCTTGGCGAAGGAACAGTCATTACCCCACCTCTGTTGATTTTTCCGTGAAATCCTGGCTTACGATTGGTTGAAGTCTGTCACGTGAAGGCAATGGATTACTTATACCCGGTCAGTTGTAAATCCATACCCGGTCAGTAAAATCCATACCCGGTCGATGTATTACGTCACAAACACAAACGTGACGTCATAATAGGCACAGTATAAGCGCGATGAAGCATTTAGCAGGGAAAACCATTTATAAACCACAGATAAAACGTAAATGTTTCATCGGTGGGGTAAATTCGTTACGTAGTCTTTTAGTGACAGGGTATGGGATGATACCTGGTTAGTAAATGTCATACCTGGCGAGGCGGAGCCGAAATTTACTAACCAGGTATCATCCCATACCCTGTCACTAAAAGACTATGTAACTAATACTACCTATTTTTACGTCTAAGATTTACGGCGCCGCAAACGAAAATGGAATCAGGGCCTCCAGATCGCGAATCGAACGCTCTACCACTAGGCTACCGTGAACGGTGCCTGTGGTGTAACCAGACATTTGAACCGCAAATGTATAAGCATCTCGTGGATGAAATTTCAGGATCTACTAAAATAATAGCACGCTGAAAGTGCTGGGGCGGGTACATATGTAAGTCCTCTGGGTGGAAACTTTATGACGAGCAGTTTCGACTAAAATCGGTTTTGGATCCAAGCTAAGCGGTTGATACAGAATTGTGGGTCAAGTATATGACCGGGGGTCCAAATGTATCGGTTACAGCAACTCAAGGGATAGACAAATGTTATGCTTTCAATTTTCAAGTGTTTTATGTGAGGAAACCATGCTCAGACACACACACTTGAATAAGGTGTGGTCAAGATCATGCCACTGTAAACTTCCCTTTGTCTGTAAATGTAGTTAATAGACAAGTTTCTTCTTTCAGACTAGGACAGGCCTTCTGGCCTAGGGTCCATCAATCCAGGATGCTTCCTTCAACATTTTTTTGTCGGATAGTCTCGTTTACATTATGCTCCAATGAAAATTGAACTGAATTTAACGGTGTTGGGATAGAACCCCCGTCGTGAGACAGAAAAATATTTGTACCTGTTAATTCAGATTAAATTGGTTTGAATTTGGAGTCCCCGATCTTTTGCATGTCGGTGCATGCTGTATCGCCACTGATTCCGCCGCAGGGGCAGATTACTCTGAATCTTTATAGGAAAGTCTGTTATATCAAAGAAGTTATGTCTACACAATTAGCAAAACTGACTATGCATTAAAGTATGTTGCACAAGGTCACACAAGAATCTCCGAATATCCTTAAAAATCTGCAATAAAGGTCTTAATTATGTGTTCAAATAGATAATTTAAAGAAAACAGTTGTATATTAAATGAAATGTACATGTGTCGGTAGCATGATTTCGATCAACCCAGCATGCTACTTGCCGTTTCGAACGACACATAAATGTTGTTGTAGGGGATGAGCCCTGTTGTCTGGCGGCCCCAAAGTTGATGTTGTAAATACATTTATTTGACCACTGTGGCAAATATCTGTTATACAATAAATAACAAACTTTATGTTTTTTGTTAATTCTGAAAAATCCATACGTAGTGTTGCAAATTCAAGCATAGGGCTTGTGTACTGTGTTATTGGCGCTTGGGTAGGATAAGTCATAACCTTCTTTGATAATGGAAAAATACAACTTGACGTTTCAAAATATAAAAATTTTTCTCACTATGAACCTTCTGGAAACATTTTCGAGTGTTCATTGGTACATTTTATTCTAAAGATACTTTTACTTTTAGGATGCAAATTAACAATGGACAAATTATACCATAAGATTCTACATTTTTTATAGCCGACAAAAATGAAATCTTGATATTTTACTCTTATAGGACGATTCACACTAAAGCTGGTAATTTCAGTAAGGTTTGGCATTCTTGGTGTATCGTAATTAGAGTCTCTCAAATGGCGAGTAGATTCTCATTTGTTAAGAAACTAATAACATCAGGAACATTAGATATTTGTTAACAACGAGGAGATGACTTAATTTCCACCTCTTTGCCGGGTACACTCGTCGACATTTGCCTGAATTTCTATCTCATGTATATTTCAACAGTAAATGAAAGCTGTGTAAACTTCAGATGCTAATTATGTAACTTCGAGAATGCCACGCCTTATTCAAAAGTCGAAGCTTACCTGAGAATTGTAACAAAGATTCGCAAGACATACAAACGAATGCTTTGATTTTTTTAATAGAAGATAATGACATCTAATTGATTATTTCTTTTTCCATACGCAGCAAAGCCAACAATCACAAACACCTTTCCGTGTACAGTGTCTGAAAATGCGGTATTCTGTTCGAAGCAGTGGATACATCTTTACATATTCCTGCTTTTCAATGCTTCCGTCATCTAAAGAAAAGATGGGAGTCAATAGATAAATTTGGAAAGAATAGTAATACGTTTTTTAAAAATCTAAAAAAAAAAAAAAAACCCACAAAAAAAAACAATTTCCTTGCTTCCCCTCCATAATGGTAAGATATTAAATTGAAGAAAATATAAGAATTACAAATTCAAACCGTTTATATCCAATCGGTTAAAAATAGTTCCAGCTTCAAGATGTCCACGAGCAATCTTAAGGAACTCGGATCTTTGAACCTCGCCATCCTTGTCCAGATCATAAGCTTCAAAAGCACATGGAAGTTTACTTTGGTTGCCCTAAAATGAATTTTAGTTTAAGATTTTGAACATTTTGAAAAAAATGTTTGCCACCAAATAAAAAAAAATCTCCCCAAGAACAAAAGAAATCAATTTTCTTGAAAGTGCCTTAGATCTCTTTCATACATTTCTTAAAATCCAACAGAACAACAAATTATGAATTATACACAGACAATTGTCAATCTCATTTATTTATACTCGATCACTTCTTTCTTTAATATTAATTCAAATTACAAATTATATGTCTTGATTGAAATTTTATTCTCATATATTTGTATCTTCGAAAGTTACAATTACATGTAAGAAAAGTGTACCTTTGGTGGCGTGATTCCTGCTGTTCCATACACAAGTAGAAGCGACACAAAGACCTTCAGTATCATTGTCTTTTAAAATAAAACAAAAGACAAAATTTATTTCTGAAAACAAGACAAACATTCCATTTTGAATTCTGAAATTTTTGCCAATTACAGGAAAAAACCTACCTTGGCAGCAAAGCTGCGGAATGCAGATTAAAATAATATTCACAGGCATACATACACCTATTTATATACCATTTTGCTATTGGAGAATTATGACATATGATTGATCTGTCTAATGATCCTTGTCAACGTTCTGTAAATTATTTTAGATAAACGAACCCTTGACGATAAAATGTCTCCGTAACGACTGAAAAATAATGCTGGAAATATGACAGCTTTTACCTCTTGACAGACACATGTATTTGAAGTAGGTATAAATAACTGAACCTTTTTTTTTCAAAATTCTAAACGGATAATTTAATCTACTCTTAAGCGAACATCTGTTTCTCTTTTAACAGCAGTTGAATTAAAACATAAATCATGTTCTATAAAACTCAGACTAAGTTTATGCATGAAGATACATGAAATTAATGAATGCATGAAGATTATCATACATGTTCATTAAGGTCTTCTGTTTCAGACGGAAGACCTTATAGTGATTGATTCTACTGTTCTTTTTTTCTTTTTATTAAGGCCTTCCGTTTCAGACGGAAGACATTATATTGATTCTACTGTTTTTTTTTTTTTATATTTTTCCCTTTTCTTGTAAGACCGATTTCTCAGAGTTGGCTGGACGGATTTTCTTGAAACTTTGAGAGATGATAGAGAATTAAAATAAGCTCAAATGATTTTTTTTCATTTTTTCAAAATTCTTCCGGTCATCGGATATGTCCGATTTCCGTTTTTTTTTTCAAAAAGATTTTATCCAATTCATATCTCAGAAACGGTAAGAGATGAAGACACCAGACGTATATAAGTAATATATCTTGATAAGCCGGCGAGCCCATTTCGGTAAAGATTGTCCGCCGTCACTTCTGGTCGTCACAGGAAGTTATCAAAAATCAAAAATTTCAACTTTTTTGACATCACTTCATAGCATCCTACTTGTAGTTTCGAAATATGTCAGTTTCGCGGGAAACAAAAAAGGCAACTTCCGGTTATAATAGAAAAACTAAATAATTTGAGTATTTTTCTTTCCCATAAATATTTTTTATAGATAAAGTATTTGAAATGATTTTTGGATATGTTATTCAGACTGCAAATATCTACAGTAACGTCTAAAATCTTTGTAAAATTCACATCCGGTCGCGTGATTTTCTCTCCTCAAAATGAGAAGTTATCATACCTAGATCTCGTAAACGGTAAGAGATTAAGACATCAAACTTATAGGAATTGTAGATCTTGATGAGTAGACAAATCCATTTTGGATAAGGTTGCCCGCCGTTACTTCCGATCGTCACAGGAAGTGATCAAATTAATAAAAAAAATTCACGTTTCTTTATGGAAACTTTCTTAGTAATACATTATAGAATCTTATTTGTTGTTATGAAATACATGTATGTCAGTCCCACTGGAAAGAAAAAAACGACAACTTCCAGTTATGACAGGAAGACTGCATAAATTTAGTATCATACTATCCCATAAATATCTTTTATAAAAAGAGCATTTGAAATGATTTAAGGACATGTTATTCAGACTGAAATGTCTAGAGTAACTTCAAATATCTTTTTAAAAATTTACTTCCGGTCACGTGATTTCTTGTCCTCAAACCGGTCACGTGATTTCTTGTCCGCAAAATGAGAAGTTAAAATTACGAGATCTCTTAAACTCTAATACATCAAAACACTAAACTTCTATAATTAATAACCCATGAAGATTGGGCTACAGATAAAGTGTAAAATGCGTCCGCCGTCATTTCCGGTTGTCCTCTGAAAGTGAAAAAATAATTGAAAATGGTTTTTGTAAATGTTATTAAGACTATAATTGTCTAAAGTAACATCGAAAATCTTGGTAAGTTACACCTCCGGCCGTTTGTTTTCCTGAAATCATTTTAAATATTATATGCCTTTTATAACATAGATAAAAACTCATTCATGCAGGTAAATAGAGGAGAACGTAAGACCGTTTTTGTTGCTGTAGCAACAAGAGTTTCTAGTTATTATTATTATTTTTTTTCCTTTTTCTTTTGACGATTTTTCAGAGATGACTGAACAGATTCTCATGAAATTTTCAGAGATAATAGAGAGTATCTTTCAAATGCAGTTTTCAGTTTTTCAAAATTTACTTTCGGTGGTCAGTTATATCCGATTTTCGCTTTTTTCAAAGAAGTTTTGTCCGAGTCATATCTCAGAAACAGTAAGAGATGAAGACACCTAACTTATATGAGTAATAGATATTGATAAGTAGGCAAAACCATTTGGGTAAACATTTTAATAAGTGTTATTTAGACTATAATTGTCTGAAGTAACGTCGAGAATCTTGGTAAGTTACTTCTCCGGCCGCTTATTTTCCTGTAATCATTGTAAATATTATAAGCCTTTTTTAACATAGAAAAAAGATCATTCATTCAGACAAATAGAGGAGAACGGAAGACGGTTTTTGTTGCTGTAGCAACAAGAGTTTCTAGTTATATTTCTAATTTTCTTCGACGTGAAGCTATCCGGAGAAAGTTTTTTTTTTTGTTTCAGTAGATTCCACTAATATCGGGAATCAGGAAACACATCTGGTTATCATGCATGCAGGCCAATCCACGTTTGGTTTAAGAAATAAGATATATATTTTTATTTAGAGTTTCATAGGGGTATGACATGATGTCGGCCACGTGATCAAATTCTATAACGCCCGAAGCGCGTTAAAGTAGACTTGATCACGTACCGACTTTATGTCATAACCCAATGAAACTCTAAAGAATGATATTTATTTCTTATATTTATATTTCACATTTTTATTCATGATACAAAGAAATATAGACATTATTTAGACTTTGATTTTGAAATGCAACGTAAAGTATCTACGACGTCATGTGACGTCACAGTCAGAACTTTCCAAATTGCTCGTGCAGTTTGCTTTCTATACGCAAGAATGTCTGATCATGTGACCAACTGCATGCGATTGAAAATTGAATTTCAATTTTATTAGCATTTTTATATAAGGAAAGACATCAGCAAATGTAAATATTTAAGCATTGATTTCATATTTTTGGCTGTCGCGCGGTATTCAATTTGTTGGCATGGCCAGGTGTGTTATAGGACCAAAGACAGCCAAAAATATGAATTCAACGATTATATTTACATTCTCTAATTTTCCTTCTTCATAATTGCTTATTTCGTTATCTTTAATGTGAATTTAACGCCCTTCAAAACTGACGCGGTTAATAGACGTAAGAGCCGTTTGTGACGTCAGATGACGTTGCAAGGTTAAATAATGCAAACAAACATTGCGAGGAAAAAAAGTGACAAATTAATTTTAAAAGCACATTTGTAGTATTTTTACGTTAATTTAACAGGATTATAACTTTTGATTAAATTGAGTCCAAGCATTGTGCATTTTGGGGTTCCCAGATTATAGAAAATGCATATAGTTCCTACTGTGTATTCTAACGCGCGATGACAAGGTTTCGCGTGTGTTATAGAAATTTGAATGTCGTGGATTTGTAATGAATTTCATAAGGAAAAATGCATGAAATATAAATATTTGAAAATAAAGTCCTTGTGGTTGTGAATGATACAAGATAACCTCCGAGGTCGAGAAATGTTGTTTGAAAGATAAAAGCCCAGGCTTTCATATTTCAAACAACATTTCGAGACCAAGGAGGTTATCTTGCATCATTCACAGTAACAAGGACTTTATTTCTATTCTACCAAGATCGATAAATACGGCCGATCGTTTCCTCTATAGAGAAACGAATTAGGTCACCATGTCTCGATTACTCTGTTCCATTTAACATCAGAGGAATTTTTTTTTGCTTACTTTATATGGAATGCAGACTATCCCTAACAAAAAAATACTATAGTAAACTATAGTTAACTATAGCTTACTATAGTTAACTATAGTTTACTATAGTAAATCAAAGTTCCAAAGTTTTCGTCAAAGTTAATCAAAGTTAATCAAAGTTCCAAAGTTTTCGCCATAGTAAATCAAAGTTCAAAAGTTTTCGCCATAGTAAATCAAAGTTCCAAAGTTTTCACTATAGTAAATCAAAGTTCCAAAGTTTTCACTATAGTAAATCAAAGTTCCAAAGTTTTCGTCATAGTAAATCAAAGTTCCAAAGTTTTCACCATAGTAAATCAAAGTTCCAAAGTTTTCGCTAAAGTTAATCAAAGTTTTAAAGTTTTCACTATAGTAAATCAAAGTTCCAAAGTTTTCGCCATAGTAAATCAAAGTTCCAAAGTTTTCACCATAATAAATCAAAGTTCCAAAGTTTTTACTATAGTAAATCAAAGTTCCAAAGTTTTCGCCATAGTAAATCAAAGTTCCAAAGTTTTCACCATAGTAAATCAAAGTTCTAAAGTTTTCGCCAAAGTATATCAAAGTTCCAAAGTTTTCGCCATAGTAAATCAAAGTTCCAAAGTTTTCGACAAAGTTAATCAAAGTTCCAAAGTTTTCGCCATAATAAATCAAAGTTCCAAAGTTATTACTATAGTAAATCAAAGTTCCAAAGTTATTACTATAGTAAATCAAAGTTCCAAAGTTTTCGCCATAGTAAATCAAAGTTCCAAAGTTTTCGCCAAAGTAAATCAAAGTTCCAAAGTTTTTACTTTGGTACTATAGTAAACTATAGTAAACTATAGTTAACTATAGTTTACTATAGTATTTTTTTGTAAGGGATCTGAGCTTTCGTTGCATTAAAAATAGTCTTTTTAAATTAAAAATTTGTTCGTAACATGTATTGATTAATTTTAATGAATATACAGTAAAAAAAACATATTTTCCTGTTTTACTGCTTTAATGGGACTAAAATCACATTGTTTAAATGTGTAGGGAGGTCCGTGGAATAGCCCAGCTTTGCTATAAAAACCGACATTTAGCAGCAATTCCAACTTGATGCAATTTACAGTGTTTATACTGCAGAAAACGGCACATCGATGTGGTCTAAACAAGTATTTCATTCTACAGCCAAGCATGCATTTAAATTGTTCAGATTTGATACGTGTTTCTGATCTGATAATTTTTTGATGACGTTCGTGATTTATTAGAGAGTAATGACCGCAACTTTTCTTTGAAGTCGGCAATAATCGTGGTAGAATAATGTATAACGTCTGTATGTTGTATTGGTTTCTTGGACCTCATCTAAAAAGTTTTGAACAATGACTAAATAGTACCATTGAACTACATTTTTATGTTAGTCGACAAAAATGTAACCTTTATATTTTTAATCGAATAAATAATATAGACGTATTTTTTCCTATTGTTCATAATTCCGCAAAATCACAATATCAGCTTAATCAGCGGTAAAAAAAAAATAATACGCAGATTCTTGACAAGTTGAAAAAAATATTAATAAGTGTCTTGAATTGAACAATATAAGAGAAAAATTACTGTTTCTTTTTCCAAATAAAGTACATTTCCTGTATATATTTGGTGTTTTTAAAGATCAACTTTGCGAGTACAATCATCAAATGACTTAAAACAATGTACGTATGCGGTACGTTCCCTCCTGCTGCACATCGGATCTCGCTATAAAGTACACGATATAAAAAAAATTATAACGAATATTTTTCTCTCTGTGTTGCACAATTAAAAGCCAGATAAGCTTAAAAAGTTTTAAAAATGCAATTTATTCACACGTTTACCTACATTAAGTCAATTATAAGCACTGAAAGCCTACTCGTGTTGTTTTTGGGGTGGTGGATCAATCCACACCAGTCCAACAGACACCCTTGTTCTAGGATTGGGAAAATTTGGGATTTTTTCACGAGTAAAAAAGCGACATATTTTGAAAAATTATACAATGATTTTGTGCTGTCTTGGGTAAATGCGAATTTTCAGAGGTTTCCGAATCTGCTGAATTGATTCATTTAGATATGCGTATCGTAATTTTAAAACAAAATATTAAAATATTCCAAACTTCAGTAGTTGCCAATTTTGGAGTTCGCATCCATTTAAATCAGGTGTTGATCAATTCAATCAATTACAAGTCAAAACACAAAGTGATCTGAAAACTGCAGTAAAAGTCGTTTGACGCGTGCCGTTAATGTGAAATTGTGGGGGAGTATCGATAATTTGAATATTTATGCAACAATCATGAATTTTTAGGAATAAAATTATTATTCTTTGAATTCTTAAAATACATTTGTATGTTTGACGTCGATCAATATTTCACCTATACACAGAAGACATACATATTTCGGTGTGTATTTAATTATGTAGTGTCTTTATACCCTCCTAATTATTCCAAAATGCAATTTAAGCACGCTATGACAAAGCGCTAGAGCAACTTTGGGCCTTATTTGGCCCTGAGAATTTATGAAAAATCAAAACAGCTCTGTTTAGGTTGCAAATGCAGTTTTTGTCACTTGGAGTGTTGGTGACTACATATCAATTAATCATGACGTAATTTTCCATCTAGTCACTGCATTATGACATCATAAAATGCTTCATTTTCCTTATATCCCGTAAATTCCTTTTGAAATGGCCGAAAATTGTAGTATTTATCAATATTTTATATAAAGCACAACCTCTGATCCAAAATATGCAAATATATAAAGAAAGATACGTATCTGAATATCAAAAAAACATTTTCATTTTTTGGGATCGTGGGTTGTGGCCGTTGTGCTCATATTGCAATTCCTTGCTTAAGGTAGTCAAATACGCATGTTTTCTGCAAATTTCAAGAACATTGCAATTTCTCAAAGCCTGTATTCTAAAAAAAATGTTATTTTAGGAAATGAAAGCACCAAATGCCTACTTTATTTTGATATATAAAATGGGAAAGAGGGTGTTATTCAATTAATTGTTATAAGTACAGGGGAATTTTATGCATAAAGTGAAACTAGCTCTTTCCGCGGAAATTTTGTGACCGCTTTCATAGCGTAAATTAAACCTAATCGGAAAAAAAGTTGTCTGCAATATATGTAAGACAATCAAGCAAATTCTTTGATTTTTTTTAATTCAAGATAATGGCAACTAAATGATTATTTATTCCTCCATACACAGCAAATCCAACAATGGTCACATTTCCGTGTACAGTGTCGGAAAAGTTGTTCTGTTCGGAGCAATGGATACATCTTTACATATTCCTGGACTTCTACGGATCCGTCATCTAAAGAAAAATGGGGAGACGGATAATATATGTGAAAAAGAAGCAATATTGGTTTTCAAACTCTCAGTAAATCAAACACAACATTTTGCAAGCCTCCCTTCTATAAATGTAAGATACTGTATTAAACTTTAAAAAAAATGATAAGAATCACAAATTCAAACCGTTTATATCCAGTCGGTCAAAAATAGTTCCAGCTTCTAAATGTCCATGTGCAATATTAAGAAACTCGGCTCTTTAAACCTCGCCATCCTTGGCTAGATCATAAGCTTGAAAATCACATGGAAATTTACTTTGGTTACCCTGAAAAAAAATTATTCAAGATTTTCTAACATTTCTAATCATTTGCCACTCGGTTAACAAGATTAGATTTCTGTTTCAAGAACAAAGAATAACAATTTTTTTTTAAGTGCCTAATATGAATGGTTTAAATCATTTTTTTTAATAGAACAAAAATGCCAGTTATGAATACTTATACCGTATAAGTAGAAATTTTAGCGAGGATTTTATTTTGGCATTATTAGCGTGTGCTGAGATCGCTAAAATTGAATATCGCTAAAAATTAATTGGGTTTTATTTGTTATAGCTTCTTAAGTGAGTATTTTAAAAATCGCTAATAATGATTCCTGCTAAAAATTAAATACAAATTCTTAAGGACAAATCGCTAAATTTGCGTCTCGCTAAAATTTCCATTTATACAGTACTACTCATCACACAATTTTTTGTTTTCTGTAAAATCAAATTTATATACAAAAACTATAAATCATGTATATAGATATTTTATCATATTTTTTTTATCTTAGTAAGTTCAAAGTAAAATGAGTTTACCTTCGGTGGGGCGTTTCCCGCTGTTCCATACACAAGAAGAAGCGACAGAAACACCTTCAGTATCATTATCTTTCAAATTAAAGAAGACGAAATTTACTTCTACAGATGAGGTAAAAAGTTAATTTCCTGAAAGATTTCTTACTAATTACAAGAATTACAAAATTACCTACCTTAGCAGCAAAGCTGTAGAATGAAGATTGCAATAATATTCACAGGCATACGAACAGCCTTTTTATATACTAATTTGCTTAAGATAAAGTATAATATATGATAGGTCTATTGAATGTTCCTTGTCAAGGTTTTGTAAAATATTTTAGATAAATGAATCCTTGACGATAAAATGTTTCCGTAACGACTGAAAAATGATGCTGGAAAAATGACGATGTTTACCTCTTGACAGATAACAAGATTTTGAAGTAGCTTTTAATTACAGAAAATTTGAATTCTAAATTTGAGACCGATGATTTTATCTACTCTTGAGCGAACATCTGTTTCTTTTCTAATCGAAGTTGAATTAAAACATGAATTATGGGCTAAAAAACTTAGTATAAATCGTTTGTCTAAGTTTATAGTTACATTGAATTATTGATTCAAGATTGTTATATCATGATTTTTTTTTTCTACTTGAAGATACCCCCACCCAGTTTTAATTTTGTTCCGTTATGATTGAATGTGTATTACTTGTTACTCAAGTATTTGATTAAAAGTAAATTTTTAAAACAGATAGTTTCTTATTTTTTAGGGATATTCGGAACAAGGACGTGGAGGAAAACTCTTGATTAGTTTTTGTAGATTCTGCCAAAAACGGAAATATTATATCCCAGCGTACAAGTTTTCATCGACAGAAAATTATTTTACTGACTTTGTTTTCTTTTCTCTTGTGTTATAATTTATACATATACATGTACTCATGTGGTTTAAGGCATACATTAGATATTATATAGTTTTTGTTGGATAGTGAAGGAGACTTAAGGATTTCTTGACCCATGGAAAGCTTATTTAGGAATTAAATTTTTAATTTGTTGCAATATACAACTACTAATTTGTGTATCAGCGCCTAGTATCAAAGATTTACAAAGGGAAATTTTGAAAACATGCAAAAATGTGGTGATAATTAACAAATGTAGGTTATTTTATTCTAATCCGATATAATTGAGTATAAATTGCTTAAATTACAAATATACTATTTTCAAGATGCGTTTGTGAAACACTATGCAATATGCCCCCGATGGTAACACAATCACAATTCTAGACGTAGACTTACTTGGTATACACGAAACCTTGACAGCGCAATAGTTATGGGCTCGTGAAAAGTTGATAACAGACAGGAAGACAAGCAAACAAACATACACACAGGACAAAAACAATATGCTTATGAAAAAACATAGCATACGCATCTTTTCCATGCATTGTTTTTCCAGAAGTTACTGCAGAAAACATCCATTGGATAAATGTGCAAGTCTGAATTTTCTCTTTACCAAGGTGTTGTCGGAAGAGCTTGCTTTGCGAGCGGCGCTTAATTCGCTTGATTGCATTTTCCCCATTTTTCAAGAACGTTTTTTTTTCTATCTATAAGCTAGAACAATACATTTTAATTATTGATTTATTGATTTTAAACATTCAATAAATAAATCATAGAAATGCAGACAAAAAATATTACATTAAAAGTAGTCGTGATCATCTAAACGCTTCGCCTTTATCGCGAACCGTCGTTTTTATTATAAGAACAAGCGTTTGGCTAATTTGGACTACTTTAAAAGTTATGTTCACTACATAAAAACTTTTCTTGGATAAAATGTATAATGATAACATAAAATTTAAATAGGGAAAAGAAATATAAAAAAAAATGTTTCTTATTTCTCTACTACAGGTTCAATCACAAAAAGGATGTGCAGCAATTGCCAAATGGTCAGAAAAAATATGAAAGCAAAAAGGTAAGGTGTAAAGTGGGCAGGACATTAGTAGATATAGTGCAGTATTTTCTTCCTACTCAATAAATAGAAAATGTGATTCCGATGACTAATAATTCCATAGGAAGATGTACCTATTTTCAGTATTCATAGCATATACATGTAATACAAAGCAAACGACCGCTTGTGTTGTTTTCCATAAATTACACAAATATAATCACAGAACCTCCGGTCATATTTACAGGATTTTTTAATCCTACAGACAAACACTCATTTGAGTTTTTCATAATGGGAGGGTTGACTTAATTGTCCTAGTTCTTGGTAGCCTGCGATGTTTTCCACTTTGTCTGTCACTTCTGCGTTTGCCCCTCTGGTTAAAATCTGGTTCCTCCTTTGTCTGACTTTCCTAAAAAATAAACGTACCACTAAAAGACAGAAATTGCTGATTAACTACTGATTAGAAAATCAAACAATACTTGGAAACCTACGTAAATGTTCTTTTTCTGCTTTTTATTATTTATTTTTATGGTACCTACAATACAATGTACTTTAATAATAAACTGAAATTCTACTCACCTTACAATAAGAAATACACTAAGCAATATTAAGGTAATGATAATGGCAATGATTCCGAACAAAACTTTGACTGCAAACTTCTTCGATGCCACGTTGATTACTTTAATAGAAAGGAAAACGTTTGTGTTGGAAGTAAAAACAAGTTAAGATACATTTTCTTTTATTTTAATGCTTAGATTAATTAATCATGATTTTGTCAACCCTTTTATCACTCCACAGAAATTATAATATCTAAAAACATTTCGTATACTGCTCTTTGACAGATATTGGCATTTTAATTTGTCTTCAAATTTCTAAAAAAAGAAATCTTTTAAATCTGAAATTATCTGACAGAACTCATAATTTAGATTTCCTGCTGATACTTGTGTCTATAAAGCTTAATCTAATATCTCTGGTGTTACCAGTAAACTTTTTCCTGCAGATATTTTTTTTTAATATAAAGCCTCTTTACCTGAACTTTGTTTGCCATCATGAACGTAAGTGTTTTGTTTGACGCGATCCATACACGACCCATTGTTTGGAATACAGGACCTATCTAAATAAGAGAAACAAATGAACGAAAAAAAAATTATTTTTTATACTTTTTTAAAGAGGAAAGCGAATTGCCAGTTTCTATTTAAAATTCAACTTCCTTTTATACATTCACAGTAATCAGAGTAATTTTGTGTGCTTGTATGTTGTTTTAAAAATGTAGAAGGAAAAAAAGTACTTTCTTTAGACCATAGTGTGTATCGATCCTTTTAAACTTTGAACTTTATGTATCTCCTGAAAGGTAAATTTTCCTTCCACATTTTATTCTATAAACCAAATATCCAAATTTGTTTTAAATCTCTAGTAAAATACTGATATCATTGCGTGAAAACAGATAACTAATATCGCAGGCTTTTGCCTGGAGAAAAATTAAAAATTTAAAAATTATTTGTTCGTAAACATGGTTACATAACCTTAAAAATATGAGTAGCTAAAGGTTTTAAATATTCATAGGAAAACTTAAACAAATTGTATATTTTCTACAACTGAATTACGATAAATGGTGAAAAATATATCTGAATTAACCAAAATATGATATACCATTTTGTAAGATCATTTGCTTGTTGTATAATGCAATGAACATTTAATTTATAAATTTAAAAAAAAGTTTATTTCAAAAACTTACTATTGCATTCATTTCCTGCCATGTCTGTTTTACATCCGTAAATGCAAACATTATTTTGGATGCACTTTGTTTGTACACAATTTTCTCTGCATGACATATTACATAAAAAACCATAAAAACCCTTGTAGCAACCATTATTACAGTGTCCATCCATTTTTCCACATTCCTGATTGAGGCAATTTTCGCTACATTTTCTTTCACATTTTCGGCCGAAGTAGCCTGTTTCACAGTTTTCACAATATCCAGTATTTCTTTCACATTTTCCAGTGCTGCATTTACCACAGCTGAATTGGCAGTTAGATCCGTATTTTCCTGCCACACATCCATTTGTACAGTCGCCCGTGTCTTTGTTGCAACTTCGTCCAGAACAACTCAAATAACAACTCTTTTCACATTTATCTCCATAGTGACCGTCGATGCAACAATTGCAGAATCCGTTAGCTCTATTGCAGCCTCTCACGGAACACGTCGATGGACAGTTCTTCTCGCATTTGTCTCCCCAATATCCCCGATTACATCCTCGAATGCATTTTCCTTCCCGATCGAAAAGCATATCTACACAATTAGGACTGCATATGACCAAGTCTAAATAAAGATACTCCCTGTTTTAATGATATTTTAAATATGATATTTCAATTACATTTCATGTAATCACATTACATTATATCGATTAGATAATAAATGAATGTAATAAAATTTGCTTAAATTTTCTACACTTGTTCAAATTCAAGTGACTGTGTAGTTATTCATTAGGTATCTTTTTAAAGATGGGATACAGTAACGCAGTCATATATGCTCGTTTGTGGGTGAGTAACTTAAATATGTGCAAAACGGAAGTAACATAATTTCCATTGCAATCGATGTCAAATGCTATGAGGGGACGTTCCTCCTGCAGTGCCCTTATTTACTTAAAATCTAATATCAATTTATTTATATATTCTTCATCAGTTAATACATCGATCTTATGAATTTATGATTTAAAAATATTATTGTTTCTTTAATACCTTTAAAATGAAATTTTGTCATAGAAAATGTTTGCAGTAATACTGAAAAGGCAAATATGGCAACGATTATTATGCTTATAAAAACTAATCAATAAGCATGTATGTTAATTTCCAAAATTTTCAGATAATGAATCTATTGTTACCAAAGGTAATATGAATAAATTTGCCATTCAGTAAAAGCTTCATTCTCTAAACATTTTTTTTTTGAATAAGTGAAATCAATGGAACAATGAATTGAAATATTAAAAATACAATTCAGAGCAAAAAATTTTTAAATAGAAGAGTTACTTACCGTAACAATGGAAAGTTCCTAGCAATAAAACAACCAACATTGCACACAGGTCAGCCATCTCAAATAAGGAAATAAAATAAGATATACCCTTATTTTTTTTTCCTTTTCTTTACAGAATTAAGAATTACACTGCGTTATAAACCTTGATTGTCAAGTGTGTATCTTAAAGTAGCCACTCCGATTTTCGCATATACGCCGGTCCTAAAGAAAATTTGTGTTACTTTAAAAAGATGTATAAAGGCCTGTTTAAGGTTGAAATCTTGATTTGATTTTCAATATATTTGAAAACAGTGGTTTTGATGTTTTATAAGTGATAGCAGCTAAAGGGCATAACTTAGGTACAATTGAGGTATTCAGGTAAAGAATAAAAAGAAATACGCAGATACATGATAAAAGTCTCAAGAATGTCATATACGCATCAATTGATAAAAGTACACACAGGTTTACATGACGATGTCCAATGATGAAAATATCTCATTTTAATTTCCCCCCTTATTTTTCCTACATGTAAAATCCATTATCAATTACATGTATATAAAAGATGATTTAGATATGATTCATTTTCTACAGTTACAATTAGCGACCTGCAAGGAAAATAAATGTTTATTCATACAAGTGTTTTAAGTGTTTCCATAAAGAATTATAAAAATAAAGATAAAATATACAAATCATAAAGTCATATGCGGCGTATTTTTGACAAGTTCAGGCAAAATAAAATCAAATAGATATTTCCATTTGTTTTGTTTCTTTATATAAAGACGGGACTTTCCTGTAAATTATTACACAATTTTAATCAATTTTATTTCATAGATTTCAAATATTTAAAACAATAACCGATTTATTTCCAACTCGGAATTAAATAGCAGACACAGTTTAAAGTCAATAGAAATGTGATTATACTTTAGTTCAAAATAAATTTGAACGTACATTGTACATAACAAATATCATGTAAATCTACATTCAATCTCATATTTATTTTAGCTCAGATACGCCATATATTGCTTCAAGAATTGTCATCTACTTAAAAATGACTAATCTTGTTGTCGGTCAAGATTAATATATTACGCAGTTCTTGATTACACGAATAGAAATTGATGTTCGTTGTAGAATTACCACATTTTGTTTGAAGAGATGATACTTATTTAAAGAGATCGAGTAGGTTTCATAAACTGAAACATACACTCACGTCTATCTTTCTGGTTGGTCCTTCCCTAATTACAACATCATGTAACGATAAAAAAAGATATGAAACTTCCGCTGCTGTTAAAATTTTACATCTGCTATTCGAGAGAATAATGGCATAATCTGTCTTTTAATGCAATGTTTAAGGAATCCTGTCTTCTTTTTTATAAAACTAACTGTTGGAAGTTACTACTAGATTTCTAACACCTACGGATAATTTCCACATTCAAATAAACAGTACTGTGACTTCTGGCTTGACCACGATTCGTTTTTAAACATCCATTTACATTCCTTTACCAACGAAAGTTAAATTATTTTATTTTACGATTTAATAACCTAACCGGAATAATTCGTGATTTGACACTCTTTTCATAAAACTACGGTTTATTTCGACACATAAAACAAGTCTTAAATTATATTGTATGTTATTCAAATACAATAATTTTCGATTATTTTGATTATGGATTGTTCACCTAATTGATCAAAACAGATGGGTGACAATGGATATAAACTTTCAAGGAAGGATGATTGCTCCTTCTACATGTATGTATCTGACAAACGCGTTGTGTTTCTAGGGGTCCCATGTTCGATTTATTCTCAATTTTGCGATGCTCATAACAAGATTGATTTCTGATTGTTTCATGGAACACATTCCTTTCTTAGGAATTTCTGTAAACATTATGTTAATCACTTTATACAATTCTGCTTTTGGTAAGGATACTGTAGTGTGTCATACATAGAATACCTTAATACATATCATAGTGTTTGTGCATATTGCACTTTATTATGCTCGTCTTTAGAGAACCCCAAAAACATTGAATGATAGCAAATCGTCTCACAGTTATAGAATCATAAAATATTTCCTTGTTTGCTTTCTTGCTTTTTTGTGAGGAGATAACAAGGAGTTCACAATACCTGATTTCTGGCGAGTAAAGAGTAATTCTAAGCTCTGTAAACTTCCTTTTCTTAAAAAAGAAATTCTTTATTTTATATATTTATTTCAAGCATTATTGTACGTACATGATAACAACGAAGGGCATCAGAAAACTTGCTAGATTTTAAAATGAAATTTTAAATAAGTTTTTTTTTATTGAATGTCCTTCCTTTTGGGTGTTTGTTTCTATAGCAATGGATCTCTTGATTAAAAAAAAGCCGGATTAGACATGTTTATATCCTCTAATTCTCTTTGAAATTATAATTTTATTCCTACATTTCATCACACACTCTTAAATCTAAAGGAAAGCAAATGAAAATGTTTTATTAGAAAAACGAAATAGAAAAAAATAAGTAAACAAATAAAACAAATTAACTTTGTTCTCTGAAAGTACTCACGATAATACAATGTACCATGTATAAGCAATATGATATGTAAGCTATCAAAATATGCATTTTTTCAGTTTACTAAAAACTCCTTTAATTAAACTTGAAAACCGATTACAATTCAAGCCCAAAATCACTTGAGTTCATCGTAATGCGCGGTTTGGCTTAATTGTCCACGTCCCTGGTTACCTGCGTTTTCTTCCGAAGCTTCATTTACAGCTGCTGTATCTTCGTTGCTCGATGAGTAATAGAGGTTGCGTTGCTTTTGGGAGTCTTTTCTTTGACCAATTGTTTGTCTTACTTTCCTGTTTTATAATGAAAAAAAAACATGCACAGAAAAACTTTTTTAGGGAAAATATAGGTAGAAATCCCATCCATTTCTCTTTCTATTTTATTCTAAGAATGAGTTTCCTATTTACAGTGTACATGTAAATGAGATCTATTTTTAATGAAAACTTACCAGACTGAAAAACTGTGGCGACTCCATATAGAGCTGACTCTGTGTTTGAAAAACTATTTGATTCTAATGAAAAAGAAAAGGGATATACAACTATTAATAAAAAAAAATCTGATATGATGATTATTTGTTGTAGTTTTTTTTCTTTTCGCTAAAATGTCAAAAATGTGTTTTACCATGCAAGCGATTAGTTTCATAGAGGTTAATATCGCAACCCTCTTTACAGGAACCATTGTTTGAAAAACAAACTCCATTCAGACAGATTAGACTGCAAAGTTTATTACACCGTTGTCCGTAATGAGTTTGACTGCTTTCTATAAAAAGATAAAAAGACGAGAGTTATTTTGAATTTTCTAAAAATAAATATGTGTTTTTATAAATTTTCTCCATTGGTATACACATGTACAGACAAATAACATTTCTGTTTTGCTACATGTGACTGGTTTTTGTGTATCTCTTAGTTGTTTTTCTACCATATTATTATCAAAGCTTTTCAATTTTAAAATTTAGAATTGAAAGAAATGAATGACAATATTATTAAAATCAATAGTATTTACACCCCTATTGTTCTCCTCTCAATCGTACGAGGGGGTAGTTATTATTCAGGAATCCTCGAATGTGACAATCGAATAGATAGTGTTGTTATTATTTTCAATAACACTGAAAATTTTTAGTGGTTGTTTGCCTCTTTGCCTTAGATGCTATTGTAAAGTTTAACCAAATTTACCAGTTAATGATTTTTTTTTTGGTATGACGTATAAGTAATGCATGTTTAAATTATATAGAGATAATGAACAGTATTCAAGCTCAAAAGTCCATCAAAAAATAGCTCAGCATACACGGACTTCCAAAACATCAGAGGTGGGATCAGTTACCATGAATGAGTGTGCATCCCATGCTAACCAGTCATACCCGCCGTGTGCTCCTTGTCATGATCGGGAAATAAAGAAAAAAAATCGTCAACAAATAGGTGTCTAAATAATGGACTATCAATAAGTATCAAAGCGTCATTCAGCTTTTCACTTAATGATAAATTGTATATACTGACAGGGACGATGTATCGACCATAAAACTTAATTAAACAATAAAATGTTTTTTTTTTATTGTTAGTACGGGAATGAATACAGCAGCTGTTGCAGAAAAAAAATACATAGCCTGCGTAAGCGGGTTATGTAATTTTTTCTGCGATATCTGCAACATTCACTCCCGTACTAACAACCAAAGAAAGACATTTTATTGTTTATATGTATGCCTGTTTAATTAATTTTTTAATGTAGGATTAAAAACATTAATTATTGTATTAATGATACGTCCGTCTTTGTACGTTTCATTGATGGAACTGATCAAGAAATCAGAACAGGTTATATATGTGCCTAGTGTTGTTCATGCACTGAATAATGGCTATGGGTTTTCTTAACAAATAAAGGAGAAAATATTCAGTGGATATAAATACCCTAACAAAAAATACCATAGTAAACTTTAGTTAATTATAGTTTACTATAGTTAACTATAGTACCAAAGTTAAAACTTTGGAACTTTGATTTACTATGGTGAAAACTTTGGAACTTTGATTTACTATTATAGTAAAAACTTTGGAACTTTTATTTACTATGGAGAAAATTTGGAACTTTGATTTACTTTAGTAAAAACTTTAAATCTTTGATTTACTATAGTGAAAGCTTTGGAACTTTGATTTACTATCGTAAAAACTTTGGAACTGTGATTTACTATGATAAAAACTTTGGAATTTTGATTTACTGTAGTGCAAACTTTGGAACTTTGATTTACCATTGTGAAAACTTTGGAATTTTGATTTACTATGATGAAAACTTTGAAACTTTGATCGAGTACTAAAAAACCAGTGGAATTATGTTCTTTTTTCCGATTCTGTACATTTTCTGAAATTTCAAGGTTAAGATTCATAAAAGCTTCAGAGAACTTAAAAAAAAAAGACCCTTCTCTTAGAAGAATAGTGTACAGGTATTGAATTTTAAGGTAAAAATTGTCTCTTGCACCAACAAATTAGCAATATTTATTTAAATGTATTTAATTTTAATGTTGTGCCGATAAAATGTAAGTCATATATGGAGAAAATATTACTATAAGATATAATATGCGTCATTAAGAATAAAAAAAAAAAATTCCTTCATAAGCTTCAGTCAACACTTTTTTTTCCACTGTTAAATGTAAACATTGCATTTAAATTAATTACTTTGCATATCAAAATTAAGATGAACAACAAAAAACAGCCCCAACAAACCAAATATCATTCAACTAAAAAAAGTTAAATGATAAGAAAAACTTAATTTAACTGTATAAGTTGTATAGGTTACATCATAGAAGAAAAACTTTCATGGGGCGTGGATTTAACTAACCAATACTATAAGTTGATGACGTAAATTTCATTGAGAGTGTCAAAGTAAAAAAAAGATTCATATAACAAAAAAATTCACAGAAACAAATAGCAAGGAGTTTAACGATAAAAAGTTAGATTTTACCGTAACTTTCAAATTTTCAAAATGGAAAAACTTTGGGAACTTTCAACCGAGTTAAATACATGTATTTTAATTTAGTTAACGGCTAAGAAATAGCTATACATGTTCATTTTTCTGTGGTTATGAACTTGTGAAATAAAATCAGTTTTTTTTCTCATGACCTGATTCTTCCTCCTGCAGTGATATATGAAGGGGCGTGGAAAGTATTATCGTATAATATATCTTTCACCGCAGAACTTTTATAACAAAAAAATTAAAACTTTGATTTACTATAATAAAAACTCTGGAACTTAGAAAAACTATGGTATAAACTTTGCAACTTTGATTTACTTTGGTGAAAACTTTGGAACTTTGATTAAATATAGTAAAAACTTTGGAACTTTGATTTACTATAATGGCAAAAGCTTTGAAACTTTGATTTACTATAGTGAAAACTTTGGAACTTTGATTTACTATAGTTAAAACTTTGGAACTTTGATTTACTATGGAGAAAACTTTGGAACTTTGATTTGCTATGGTGAAAACTTTGGAACTTTGATTTACTATACTTAAGTATAGTAGACTTTACTTAACTATAGTTTACTATAGTATTTTTTGTTAGGGTATAAAACTTGTGACCTTAAACTGCCAATATTCTCGTTTACCAACCTGTTTTTGAAAAACTGACCTCGTTTTAAGAAATGTTATGTACGTAGAACCTGAGCTTGTCTATCGAATCAACTAAGAGGTATATACCCCGCAGGCAGGTTATGAAGTCATACTGCTGTATAAGTAAGGGAAGTGAAGATTGAACAGTAAATCATTGTGTTATCCTAAAGGTATAGTTGATTGTATGAAAGTGAAATTTTAGTTTAATATGATACTAAAAATTTTATTGAACTAAATTTTGAAATGCTGAAAATATGTGTAGCAATCGATCAGAAGTCATCCTATTCTCATCAAGTGTTAAAATGTATGTGTAAGATTTAAATGAACTCATTTTTATATAACTAATAATGACTATTCAAAGATGTCCTATTCTAGAATTTTTGTAGTGTTAGTTTTATTATTTAGTGGTTTTACCATCGCAATTACGTCCCTGCCATCCTGTTTTACAAGTACAGCTCCCATCGGATTGATTGCAACCGGAAATACACTCAGCGCCACAGGTCTTGAGACAATCAGCGCCAAATTTTCCAAAAATGCATTCAGAATTCCATAAACCATTGATTCTATCGCATCCATTTGTACAATTTAGGCTGCATGTCTTATCACACTTTGATGAATAGAATTCGTTTTTATATCCATAAGTGCAAAAACCAGTGAAGATGTTACACGCCTGCAAAACACAGTTTGCACTACATTCCTGGGAGCAATTTTGTTCGTAATGATTTAAATCACATCCTGCAAAAAACAGCAGTACTGTTAAGGCGAAATGAAGAAATCAAAGGAACATTGACGCTCACAAATATATATTAATTTTAACCGAATTACTTTCTCCATGTTGTTTTGATATTAAAGGACTTAAATATTAATTGACGTCACATTGTAGATGTCACTATACTACTTATGTTGTTTGTGTCGTTATCAATTATATTATGAAGAACCGAAACCCTCCAAAAATAGCTATTTCTTGTATTCATCAAAAAACACATTACTTTAACCCCAAAAATAATATTTCATTAAGTAGGCAGGTATCTCATTGCATGAAATTGATTTTCTTCACGCAATAGCTTAATTTTTTGTTAAAAAGCGGAAGAATTACACCAAAAGCGGAAGGGTACGCAGGTCTGAATGAAATTAAAATTATTCTTAGTTTGTCAAAAGGAAAAGTATTCCAAAAACTTTGATGCTTATATATAAATAATAGTCATGAATAACATACATATAGCTTTTTAAATTGACGAATATAAGAAATTGTTCTTACCATAAACTTAAATTTCACATGTTTCAAGTACAGCGCCCATGATTGGCTTATCTTCTGGAGCATCATACGTTGTAATTATTCTTATGTATCTGGCTTTTCTCTCACATGAAATAGTCTGTATACTTGGAGACACAACAGGGTATGATGTGTAACCTTTGTAATAAATCATCCACTTTTGTGTATTCGAGTAATTAGATATCTCTAATCTGTATTTTCGGAATCAGAACGGTTTCCAGTTAAAAGGAGATTTTTCTGTAAAGCATAACATACTGGATTTTTTTTTTATTTTCAGTTGTTCCACAAAGTGAAGAATTGATTAATATCATAAATATTTCAGAAATAAATTAGTTATCTAAATTTTACTCTGTATTTTACTTGGATTGTGTCCGCGTAATATAACACCTATCAATTCAAATTTCTACAATTTAGTTTTGATTTAGTTTCACAAATCAAATACTTTAGTCCACATTTCTAAACTTCAAAAACTAAAACTAATTTCGTTTATTGATATTAAACATTTTGGATCAAAAATTTAAATTTTCAAATATCTTAACACGTCAAAAATGTATAAATTTTTATTTTTCTTTATTTAAAATACTCAGAGTTCAAATTTTCAAAAATGGGTTATTCAAACTTTGAATTTTCAATCTCTCAATGGTTTAGAAAGGTTACACATAACAATCTAAAGTTCAGTACCAGTTCCCGAATTCTTATATTTAAAATTTACTTCAAACTTCTAAATTTCAACTTTCAAAACGTTTCTGATTTTTTAGAATTAATAAGAATTTTGATTTAAACATTCAAATTTCAAAAACCAAAATTCTTTAACTTTTAAGAATTTTACTTCAAATATCTAAAACATTTAATCTAAAATGTTTTTTTTCTTTGCTTAACCAAAAGATTTTTTAACAAAGTTCCAAAAATAAAACCAAGTTTGGAACTGATATTTTTGAAATTTTTAAGTAAAATTTTAAAAACCAAAACTGTACTCGTACAATGTGTTTTAGATAAACAAGCTCAAAGAAATACATACTTTTACGTTCATCCCTGTATTAGATTACAACATTTTTCATCTGAAATTCTTTGCCAAAGTCCACCATCAACCATGCAACCGATTTGTTTAAAGCCGTATGTGAACAATTTCGATCATTTTGGTAGACTTTTCCGTCAATCACTCTATCTGCTTCTAGACAATCCATTGTTGAACTCTGTGTTGCTGTACAGGAAGTTGTTTCGCATATGTTATCTGTTAATTGAAATGCGTTTGGTATATTATTCTTTTAGAATTAAAGTTACATGATGAAACTGTACCTTCAAACCAACCGAATGAATACAATGTAGATATTTACCATCTGTGTAAGACACAATCAGGTAAAATCTCTGCCCTTCGAAGAATTAAAAAGATTCTTCCTATTCAAACACCCAAACTGTTTTACAATGCATGTGTTATGCCTTCCATTGATTATTGATTAACTTGTGGGGTTATACTAAAAAAATCTTTACAGAGTTCATAAGTTTCAAAAATATTCTGCGAATTATATTTTAGATCCTCCCCCTTATGCACCCTCACAACCTCTCTTTGAGAACCTTGATTGGCTCACAGTGTTTGAGCAATTTACTGTAAATAAATATGTTTGTTATATAAACCACTGTTTAACTCTATTTCTACTTATTTAAATGGAATGTTTGATTTCCAGTATAACAATCGATACAATCATCGATCTGGATCTACGTTAATTAGACGTGTGTGTATAAACCAATAAAGTACTTTTGTTAACTATAGTAAATCAATTTTTTTTTTAACTGATCACTATAGTAAATCAAAGTTTTTAAAGTGATCACTAGAGAAATAAAAGTTTTCGCCATAGTAAATCAAGGTTTTCAAAGTGATCACTATAATGTTATAGTTATCACTATAGCAAATCAAAGTTTTCGTAGTGTTCACAATAGTAAATTAAAGTTTTCATAGTTATCTTTTTAATGTATCAAAGTGTCAAAGTTATCATTGTCAACTGTAGTTGACTATAGTAAATTATTATAGTTAAATGCAATTTTTGTAAGGATTTCATCTCACAAATGTGAACTTTTTGAAAATTCTTTTCAGTAATCTGGTGCAATTTTCTGAAATAACTTACCAGTATATATAATAATGTCTCCAACTTTCGATGCTTTTAAGGATACCTTTTTTCACCAATTTTGAAATTTTTGATGCTAATCACTGCTTTATAATGAGAAAAATTCTTGCTGATTATTAAATGGTTTTCTACTAATCTCAATTTTACAGGTGCATTTTTATGACCTTTCTTTAAATAGCAACAATTTTGACCTTTTGATCTTGACTTTAGAGTTTGACCCACTTCAAAAAAATTACCTTGACTATAACATTTGAACTCTATTTCTATTAATGGGTTTTTGCCCTAGACAGTTGGTGGTATTATTTGACTTTCGTATTTAACAATTTCTCTGAAAACTTGTGTTCAAATGTGTTTTCACAAAACCGTATCTCAGATTTTGATATCTTTTGGCCTTGATATGTAGAATTAGGCTAATAAATTGGTAACATTGAAAGACAAATGGATGTAACTTTTGAATAAGAAGATTTATCAAAAATCTGAAGTTTTTAAAGTTCAATCTTTAGTCCATTGCAAAATTTTGAAGAAGTTGATTTATAAAATATAAATGCATATATAATAATTTTTTAATAAGGCAAAATTGAAAATTTAAATTAAGATCATTAAATAGTGAATTTCACACATATATATACTTTTAATATGTTATCTTTGTTAATGAAAGAATTACAACAAAAAATTTTGAAACCTTTGGTGTATTCAACCGAATTCTATATATAATAGAACAATTTTGACCTTTTGATCTAGCTTCAAAAAAATAACTATAACAATATTTGTTTTCGTATTTAACAGTTATGTTCAACTTTTGGCTTGACATGTTGATTTTAACAAAAAGTACCATATATACGAGGGCATCAGTGTTTCACACATATTTTGTTTTAACTGCATTTATATATAATACAGGCTTATTAAACAATATTTATTTTCGTCATGCAACTCTTACATGTTGATTTTAACAAATACATGCGGTAATGTATGCATTTATATCATAATACAGGATTAAAGCTGTACTTATGTTAAACTGCACTGTTTCACTGTAAATTGTTTTGAAGATGAATTCTCCCTTTCCAAGGCGTTTAAGAAGCATTTTCAGTTTGGGGGGACCACACATTATCAGTTCGGGGCACTATCAACTACCGAAAATTCCTTGATAAGCAAACGATAAGGGGAAATAAACTTTTTTATTCAGAGGATGCTAGCAATTAAAAGCTATTTTTCCTCTAGTAAATTATATGTCGGTAAAAACTGGAGGAGGGGGGGGGGGGGAGGTAGGACTCGTGCCCAATCCGGTTCCTATGTTAATGTTTCCGAAAGATGTATGCAAAGGTTTGAATTTCTCAAATATTTTATTACCGTAGAGAATTTGTCCATAGTAGCTTATTTTTTAAATCTACATGTAAGACAACGTTAAAATATAATGAAAAAGATTATTAACATTCAGAAAGATAAAATAAACAACCGATTTACATACAGTAGCAGTGAAATAATGAAATAATCCATGCCCCCCATAGGAGAGACATTCTGGAAAAGAAAGTAAATGGCAAATAACTACGAAACCCAAGAAGGCTCATTCGAGATTCGAGGTTCAAAATACGAGATTCGAAATTCGAGATTCAAAATTCGAGTTTCGAAATTCAAGGTCCAGATTAACCAATCAAAAGCGGGTTCAACATTGATTACTCCCCTTTATTATGATTTTACTATCAAAAAACGTTTAATATATTTATAACAAATGAGCCATTTGATTAAATTACAATGCAAGGAAGAGTGTTATATATATATTAGAAAGAAATTTAGATAATCATTGGATTTTTGATCAGCAAGATATACTTCAATTTTATATTATGGCTTCTTAAATATTAAACAGAATACATATACATGTATCAGGAGTATATATATTTTTGTACTGTCTACTTTGTTTACGGTGTTGATGACATGTAAAATTATAAATAAGTGTCAAGTGTCTAACTATTAATAATAACCCCACTCCTACCCACCCCACCTGCCTATTTTCCCAAACACACTGAAAATGTTACTTTGTAATACTTGAAAGGCGACGTAGTATTGAAAAACAGAAATCGCGTTCGTTTTCCTGATAGAGAAAATAGATAAAAAATAATCATTTTATTACTTATCTTAATTCATCTAAGGCTTTTATTTCTTCAATTAATCAAAAATTATACATACAATACAGATTGGCAATATAAATTAAAATAAATGCGGCATTTATTTTATCTTATATCAATAGTAGATGAGACTAAATCAGATGCAGAACTATAGCGGAATGGCTTCATATTTTAATCTCTGATCATACCGTTATGGCCAAAGACTAAAATATGTTCGTGAAACATTATAAGGCTACAGTTCGATTCAGCAGTCAAGTCGCACTGCACAAATGTACCCTTTATAAATCTAATGAAATATATACCCTTGAATTATTGTGCAGTGTAGAGACGATCATAATGCTAGTATTTCATATCTAATTATAATCGCTAGCAATGATCTGATAAATAAAAAATAGTCGACCTACTTGTTCTGCAAGTCAGCGATAAGACCATATAATTTCCATATATACGTATTTACCATTTTCTTTAATGAGAAACATAAAATTATATATGTATTATTCAAGATGTAATCCTAATGTTATTTTTAATTCGTTTTAATACATAAAAAAATGTTTCTTGCAATATCATTTAAGCAAAAGACCCTTTATTAAAAATATATTGAACGATTTCTTGATAATAAAAACATAACAAAGGGGACTAATCAAATGTTGAACCCGCTTTTGTTTGGTTAGTTTGGGTCTTGAATTTCGAAACTCGAATTTCGAATCTCGTATTCGAAACTTGAATCACGAATGAGCCTTCTGGGTTTTCGTAAAATAACTTTTGTAAAAAAAAAAATCATTAAATCATGAGAGACATTCTGGAAAAGGAAGTAAATTGCAAATAACTTTAATTTGTAAAAAAAAAAATCATTAAACCATAAATGACTCGTCAATGTATTTAAAAGACTGATTCTTATCATTAATGGCATGGTTTTTATAGTAGGAGATATTCAAATACATGTATATAAAAACATTTGTAAAAAAGAATTTGGTTTGATAAAATGTATAAGATACAAAAAATTCAAAATTCATGTTTTTTCTTAGATTTGCCTCATTTTGTTCGAATTACACTTCTTTAGTTTTAAGAGACGATATTAAAAGGGGGAATACAATGCGGATTTCATAAATTGAACACTTTAAATTTATGTTTCTGATTGGTCCTTCCCTACTTAACACATTATGCTAAAAATTAAGAAAAAAAGGCCACCACCTGTGATTTTGTCTTAATGAAGTTGAATTTTCAACTTAATTTAAACCTTTATTTTAACTAATAACATGAAACAGGATCTGATTGTGAAACCCTGATTGACAGCTTATAGAGAGAGTTGAAGTTTCTAAAATGCATATTGAACTCCAAGGTCAAATTAAAAATTGCTTGAATCACATCTTGCCACAAGAAATACACCGGTAAATCTGAAAGCCTTTGTACTGTTCGAAAGATATGATAAAGGTTAAAATTTTTCTTAAAAACAAGTCGTGCTCTACGGTCAAAGTCAAAAAGTAAAAAATATTAATCCGTTTGAAAGGACGTGTCAGAATGAAAATTCATGTTAAGTATGCAAAGCCTTAGACCAATTGTTCAAAAGTTATGGCCAAGGTTAAGGTCTAATTTTTTTTATTCAATTTGGGTCAAATTAAAGGCAAGGCCAAAAAGGTCAAATTCGTGAAAGTTGATTAAACAGGCCGCTGAATGCATTAAACACGATTGGTTGTGTTCTATTCTACAATTGAGATCTATCAAAGGTCTTTTCTAATCATATATAGATGTCATCATGTCCCGGCGAAGAGCTTCAACGGTAGACCTATTCAGCGCACTAAAGGTCACTTCAGGTCATTGAGTATTAATGTATCATTATCGTCCCAATGCCTTCCCTGGCATTATACATCAAGTACAGTCGAGGTCTCATCAGAAGGACCTAGTGACTTTCACACCTTATAACGGGCTCTTAATTGGGAACCGTCGTACCTTTATTTACTTTTAAGATTTGACGTTGTTAAATGAATAAATCCGAACTTCCGATCAAGAAGAGAACGCACTGCAACTAAGCTATATTTACATAGGTATCTTTGTTTGTTATTTTAAAATAATATGTTTTACGGTGTGACCGTTGGGACGAGCGCAGTTTATTTACTATCAAAAACCTACACATGTACTGTCTATCATTCAAGAAAAAGAAAGCAAAAAGAATAAAACAAAACTATAAAAAGAAATCATTTCCCAAGCATCGGGATCGAGATTCCAAACTTCTCGGAAGTTTCCGACAAAATCGGAAATACCCGAACCGTTGAAGTGACGAAAGTATGACATCAGATGAAAAGCTCTGTTGACTTAGGACGCAAACGCTAGTTTTATGGAAAAGAGATTGCATTTAATCGTTCTTTTCAAGTAAGTTGTTGCTATGCACCGCAACATGTTTTCCGAGTTTCACGGAAGCAACCGACATAACTTCGTCAAAATTCGTAAGTTTCCGGTGACGTCATTTGTATCATTTCCGAAGGGCAAGGTGAAGGCCGGTGTTGTGGCATGGGGGTATTTTTTTGAATAAGGTAAGGCTAAATCATTTCGTTAAGATTTCGGTAAGAAACAATGTTCCTTTAATTTTTTTACTATTTTTGATTTATTCGCGCAAAGGACATTGGGTAGTGCAGGAATTCTGGGAATGTTGCACAGAGAAATTTGGCTGACGTATGTACATATTTCAATCCGAATTTCCTCTGTTCATACACGTTAGTCTATTGAGCTCGCTTCGCGAGCGTCGCTTCGCGACGCTCGCTGCGCTCGCTATTATAGCACTAAATTAAGGAATCACTGTCTAGTTAGTATAGTATGCCAGGGCATCAACGATAGTGGGTAACATGGAATAATTTGCATAACGGGCTTAGCATATGCAGTGATTCCTTATATTTCCATTTGTTTGTGAATTCAATTGTAGATTCAGACTTTAAAGATGTAGACATAGATTTAAATTACACGACTTCCATGCCTATAGTCCTCACCCATTGACGTCAAACACAAAGACAGCCGAACGAGATTTACATACATATTTGGCCTCCTAATTAGCGTCAGACACGGAGACAGATGCGCACGAGATCTGCATACATAATAGGCCTTCTTAGCATCTGACCTATTGACCTGTCTACTCTACATTCCGGTAGAATTATCAGGAAATCAACTCCGCTAACTTTTAAAGAGCTATCACAGAAAAAAAAAAATGGAAATATCAAATGTATTCTCAATGTAATGTGTTTTTAAGCAAGAAAATGCTTCATAAACTTCATCTTTAAAGGAAAATTGGTAAATCTCAAATAAATTTTCAGGAAGTGCAAATAAAAACATCCGCTATGTATTTTCCGATCAAGAAGTTGTCCCGACAGCAAAACAAATGAATTTTTGAAATTGGTTTTAATAGGAGTTGAGTAGATGAATGTAATAAATCAATAAAAAAAATATTGCATAAGGAGGAACAATATGGAAATATGGAAATCTGACGTCATTAATTTGGTACATTTTTTAAGTTTTATGCAGAAAAGCCTCAAAAGGACTCAATTTGTGAATGTTCTCTTTTCAAAATAGTGCCCACAACGTTTTCAAATTCAATTTTTGAATGCATTTTATAGAATGCTTTGATAAAATTAGAGGTACTGTGAGCAAGGAGCTCACTAAATGATACCCCCCCCCCCCCCGCCTCCCAAAATGTTCATGTGTTGCTAAATATTGTTTTACGGTAATGTGTAAAGAGGAATAACTCGTCCTATCAAATGTTATCCAGAAGCTGCCATATGTGAGTCAAAGGTAAGAACATAATGACAATGTCTATGTTTTGCTATGGGAAACCTAAAATACGTGTCGAATAAAAAAGTAAAATAGTAGGTCACAATGGCAATATGTAATAAAGATTCTGTGAAAGTTTCATTAAATTTACTCAGTAGTATAAGAGGAGTTGCGGATAAGAGATAAAGCGTAACAGACGGACGGACAGACGCACGTACAGACGGACGGACGGAAAATAATACCGATTACTATATACCCTCCCACTTTTCAAGCGGGGGGTATAATCATATATTTAAAAAATTTTGTAGGCCATGCATGTGCTGTATTTTTCGGAAGGAAAATTACTTTGAAATTTATGTCTTCATTTATTTTTTATTTTTTACAAAATAAGGAGAAAAAACAAGTTCATGACCTCAGAAATATCAGGTCTGTCTTATAAATGGATCAAAAGTTACTTTTTATTTAATGGAAAAACCCTCATATTACATCTGACAGGATATTAACTTGCTTACAAAATTCATAATCATTCATGTTAAAATGAAATCATTCTTTTTTCCTGTGTACTTTTAGGAAATTAGTTTAAACAAAAAAAAAATCAAATTTCATTACATTTCAGTACAACTATAAAAAGTGCGCAGAACTTTGTATAATTGAATACAATGATGGTATCTAACAATGATGATACAGCAAACTAAAATTATAAACAAATCAAAGCAAAATATAGAACGCAAATATAGCTTTAGCTTGTTCAAACGCAAACCATGTCCGTCTTTTCGAGGAATTGTTTTCTTTTGTAAAATACAAAATTTTTCAAAGTCAGAAACCAAATTCCGTAGGCGATAAGGTTATACATTCAATTACTTGAGTTCCTCATAACAAGAGGGTTGACTTAATTGTCCAAGTTCTGTGTAGCTCAAGTTTTCTGTTCTCTCATTAATACGTCTGTTTGTGTCTGTATTTGAATTATGTTGATTTTGCTTCATCCTGGAGCCTTGTCTTTTGTAAAGTATTTGTCTTAAATACCTGTAACATTAAAATACGAACGACTTTATAAAAAAAAATAGTGAAATACTTGTGTAACTTTTAGATATAATTTTTTTTTTTCGGTTTATTTCTTGCAGCCCTCCCCCTTCCGAAAAAAACCTTACAGCACAATGAAAGTTGTAACTATGAGGAGTATCGGAATCCCAGTGTACAGAACTGGATAAATGAAAGAGGTTTTATCACTCCCTATCGCCTGATTGGTTGCTTGAAAAGAACAGAAAGACATGCCTGACCAAAAATATTCGACAGATTTTCATTGCTGTCTTTTTAAAAAAGATTTTCATTATAAAAATAGGTGTAAGTTCATTTTTCATTTAATGTTTAAAATGACTCATATTTTACATGTACATAATATATTAATCAAAAGAAAATCTGGATTTTTTTTTCTTTCAAATCAACAGTTTTGTTATTAGAACTAAAAGAAGGACTGCAAAAAAAATATTATAGTTTTATGTTGAAATTTGTAAAGTTCTATCAGCATTTAAATCAAATCAATTCTCAGTGATATATTGTTATTGAAAGATGAACATTTGAGAAGAAAGAAACAAACTGTATTACCTGAAGTATCTATTTCAGCAAAAAAGATTCTGTTAAAACCATCCTTACACGACCCATTGTTTGAAAAACAGGTTCCGTTTATACAGGTTGGACTACATAGCTTGTCACGTTCTTGTCCGTAATAAGACTGACTACATTCTGCATTAGAAAAAAGTGATGCATTTGCTCCGTTTTTGTTTTTTTTTACAATTTTTTTCTTTTTTTTTTAAAAAATTTTGATTGTCTTCATCAAAACCTTCCCAGAAGCATTCAATATTTAAATGAGAATTTTCTTTAAAGCTTTTATAAAAAGTGAAAGGTACTGGCATTCCCATTTCTTTTAATGACAAAATTACATAGCTACTGACTTCTTTTCTGCTGGTGCTTATAAAAATACTGAATTTTTATACTGTTCCTGCACAAAACTCAATGGTTTATTAATTCAGGATATTTTGGAGATATTGACGAATATTTGACAATGAAAAGGTCAGAAACTGTTGAGGTTTTGCAGTAAACACAGCAGTCTGTCAGTAATTGTCTGCTTCTGTCAATAAAAAAATGGAATGATGTCAGTACGTTTTTGATTTTAGAGTACATTGTCATCAAAATATTTACCGTCACAGTTTTGACCATGCCATCCTGTTTTACAAGAACATCTTCCGTGGACTTGATGACAACCGGAAATACACCCACCACCACAGGTCTGGAGACAGTAAGCTCCAAATTTCCCGTCAATGCATCCAAAGGTACACACACCATTGATTCTACTGCATCGATTTATGCAGTTTTTGTTGCAGGTGTTATTGCAATAATATCCGTAGTTGCCATCTTGGCAAGAACCTTTACATTCCCCAGAAAATCTGTTACAAGACGAGGAACATGACTCACTGCATTTCGTTTCACAATTTTCTGAATAATATCCGCTCTTACATCCATAGGTACAGGATCCAGTGACGTTGTTACATACCTGTCTATTACAATTAGCGCTGCACAAATGGGAGCAATCAGGTCCGAAATGAGTGGAATCACATCCTGTAATTTAATATATATATATATATATATATATATATATATATATATATATATATATATATATATATATATATATATATATTGTACAACTTTTTTGAGAATTCAATTGTGCATTTAATTTGACTTCGTAGTTTGAAGGCATGTAACAGTGTTTTGATAAATGGAAACCCGTTCTTTTGTGAAAAAAAATGAGGAATGTAAGCGTTCATTATAATTACATGATTGTATATTTTTTAATAAGAATACTCTAAATTTCAAAACATATTATAGTATTCAAAAAATCTTTTTAGTAACAGGAATTTAGGATATAACAGGCATAAATGTTCTAGATAACTGTAAGTACAGTTGTGAATGAAGTGTAAAATTTAATAATGAAATTTAATCTTAAAACCTTATTCTTAGGAATATATATTAAATTTTAATAAAATTGGCAGTTTACTACGAATATGCACCGCGGAAAATAAAACAACTAAAACACTTGAATATTTCCTTAATGTTTTGTGGCACATGAAAAAGTTACATTGAACTTATTGTTCGTCATATGTCAGCTTTTCAACTGAAAAAAAAGAAGTCATATAAATTGTTATGTCAAAAAAATCGAAGAGCAAATGATAGAAACCTACTATCACATTTATCTCCCGTCCAGTTCTGCTTACATCCGCCCATACAAAATCCATTCATGTAGCAGCTAACTCGGCCACAGTTTTTGCTACATAACAAACTACAGCGTGAACCATAAAACCCATTCTTACAACCATGCCGACACCCTCCAATTATTCTGGTACATTCCTGATTAACGCAATTGATGTTACATTTTCTTTCACACGTTAGACCATAAAATCCTGTTTTACAGAGCGCACAATATCCGTTTGGTCTTTCACATATCCAGGGGGTGCAATTGCCACAACGAGTTTGGCAGTGAATGCCATCATGTCTTTTCTCACATTTAGATGTACAAAGATCTCTGTCTTTGTTGCACCTTTGTCCATAACAAGTTTGAGAACAAATCTCTTCACATTTATCTCCAAAAAAACCATCTATGCAAGAATTGCAGACTCCGTTAATTCTATTGCACACTCTCGTGGAACATCCCAAAGGACAGTCGTTTTCGCATTTAAATCCCCAGTATCCTTCTTTGCATCCTCGAATACAACTTCCACGCCAATCGAATAGCTGGTCAACACAGTTAGGACTACATCTTCCTATATCTAGAAGAAGAAAGAACAAATCATGAAATTGAAATTCTGCTTAACATATAACATACGACATAATTTATCATAACTTCAAAGATGTGATAAAAGAAATGTGTCGCTTTTGTAATTTTTTCTCTTATTCCCTGCACCGGTAACAGTGAAAGCTCATAATTGCAAGATGAAAAAAAAAATAAATTTTAACTTAAATTAATCATATGTTAGTCTACTGAATTGCATAATTTGTCAGTTAAAATTGTCTCTCTTATTGTTCTTTACCCAGCGGATACAACTATATATTGATAATAAAAGATTTATCCTATCTATCTTCTTCATTTAAAAGCATATATTCCCTTTTATAAAACATATTATATATGTTGTTTTCAAAAAAGTCATGACTTTTAAAACTTGCCAAAGCTCCAAAACCAAAAATTTTTGCTACTTTTTGCGAATATGTAGTACAAAAAATTCAATTTTCAGATATTTGATTTTGTTTTGAATAAAAATGGTCAAATTGTAAACCATAACCATGAAAAACTCCAAGTAATAAAATAGTCAACATCCTCTTTAGGACAGCCATATCGAAAAACAGAAATGAAATAAGCATAACCCCTGTATACATGCCTGTTGTTTTCATCAAATGTAAGTATGGTCATGACTTTTAAAACTTGACAGTCAAGTGTATTTCTCAAGGTAACCATTCAGAGAGATTTTTAAAAATAAAAATGAGTAAAAAAATTTGTGAGTAACTATACTGAGTGACATACACGGATGTATAAAAACGAATCGTGACCTTTAAAATTTATGTGCTATTAAAAATAAAAGCTTGAAGCCACTATATTGTAAATTGGAATGTTGAACTCACATTATATATTTTTATTTTGCATGGAAGGTAAAATAATTCCATTATGTGAGTTAGTATCCGACATTAAAATAACAATCAGATAAAATTTTTCATAAGACTAAGGATTTTAAAAAAACACACATGGAACAAGTCTTCATTCCAGTACCATTGTTTTTACTAATTTTGATTACGGATTTTCCAACTTATTGATCAAAACAGATGACTCAAAGGGGATATGGACTTTGGAGAAGGGAGGAAATCCCGCACTTGATTCTAGCTTTGCAATTGTAGGGGTCCTTGGACTAATTTTCAATTTAGCGATGCTCATAACTTGATTGATAACTGACCGATTCTTTATTTTCAGTTTAGCTATGAGACACCTGCTTTTTTTGTAAAAGGCCTATTGACCACTTTTATAATTCTGCTGTTGATACAGATACTGTAGTGTGTCATAAAGTCATGTAATACCCTAAAACGTGTCATTATCTATTACCAGAGCACTTTAGTATACATGTAGCCATGTTTAGAAAAACCCCAAAACAATGAATGATAGGAATACCTTTGACAAATCTGGAGTAGTAAAATCCTCCTTTGTTTGCTTTCTTGTTTGTGTGTGTGTGGGGGGGGGGGGGGGATTTTTACAATTCCTACCTTGTTTCTGGCAAATACGGACTTTATCTATAGTAAGCTCTATTAATTTTTTTTAAAAGAAATTATTCATTTTTTTTTCTATTTACTCCAGCATTATTGTAACGAAAAAAGAAAGAAAATAAATATGTACCTTGTATTTTGAAAATTCACACATTGCATAATTCAATCCTTCAAGCATAAAATATAAAAGAACTATTTTTTTAGGAAACATTTTATTAAACTTTCTACAAATAATCATATTTTTTTTCACAAAGGACATAAGCATGTTTTAGTTTCCAAAACTGAAAATTAAAGAGCTGTCAAAATTACAGTGTCCTAGAAAAGGCAAAAAAAAAACAAAAAAAAAAAAACAAATAACTGTTGAATTATTTTCTTTTTCTCATTAAAATACTTCAAACAAGTACAATGGAATACAAGCCTTCGATACAAACAAAACGCATGTCTTAAAATAGTTGGTGTAGAGTAAAACTTTTGGAATTTGTTGTTGAAAACAACACACATGTAACAAAGGGAAGTTTAAATTTCAAATCTTTGCGCGTCTTCAATATTTAAAAAAGTTGAAAAAAATCAACCCGTTTGATTCTGAATTTTCATTTTCTTGACTGTGAATCATACTTTCATATTCAAGGTTTTTATTTCTTTTACCCAAATTGTTTCCAGATACATGAATTCTAGTTATTTCTCCCAATGATATACATGTATATTTCTCTATAAATACATTCCAAAAATGATTAAATTTAGTTTATATCATGGATGTTGTTGTCCCCGATTTCGCTGAGAATAAGGATGTTATTTTCGATTTGTCTATCCGTCCTTCTGCCTGCCCGTCTGTTTGTATTTCTGTCTGCCTGTAACATTTTCATTCCCACGCAATATCTCGAGAAGATTATTTTCGGTCTGAATGTCGGCCCGTCTGTCCGTCGGTTTGTTTTTCTGTCTCTCTTTAACACTTACGTTTACACGAGATATTCAACATTCTTTTGAGCATTTGCTATTTAATATAAATAAAACACTCCATATGTCCTGGGGAAAACCACTATGGTATTTGAGGTGCACAAGTCAAGAGTCAGAATACAAAGTTGTCTCTGCTTTAAGGTAGGATTCTTCTCATATTTCTAATATTTAAAAATTAAAGAAATTTTCACAGAATCAAAAAGACAATATCAGTAAGTGATAGTATCAGTGAAATTAAATTTGACCGTTTTATATTATAGGCAAGGTCAGGTCAAGGTCATTATCTTTTCCCTTGACATTAAGAATAAAAAAAATACTGTTGCCAATCATGTGATCCTTACTTCTATTTCAAAAGCTAAAGATTGTTCTTTTTGCATAAAAACATATTACTATATCGGGTCTATAGCATGATATTACCAAATTTACATAAATAATTTAACTTAACTGGATATTGGCCAATCCGAATTTTCTCTGTTTTTCTTAATTTTTTAGGATATATTAGTTATATTCATATGCTTCCTATATTTAACTTTTTCTTATTTTCACATATAATAAAGTAGTCTTATAAATGTACAAAATGATACGTTTACTAAGAGAGAAAAAATACTTTTTTATGGATTTTTGGCTCAAATCTTTTTGAAAAAAAAATTGTTTGGAAAATCATATTTATTTGATGTATTTTGAAAGTTTAGTCCCTCATTATTAATTCAACTTACATTTGAAAATTTCTCCAAGTCTTCGATTGCGTAAAAAATTATAACTAAATTCACTGTTCTATTACAATTTTGAGAGGCAGAAAAGAAGATATTTTCATACGCCACCATTCCGCAAAAATATAGTCCCTGCTAGTTTTCAAACACAGTTTACCATTTCTATTTAAAGTTGTACAATTGAGAAGAGGAAAGAAAAATATGGTCTTTTAAATTCCTTACACCTCAATATATAAGACATATAAGCAAATATACTTTGAATGTTTCATCTAATCAGAAACCAGAGAAGAATCCTACCTTAAGACTACTGTTTCAACGCAATATTTTCAGAAAACTTTAGCTTTTGCAGTGAAATTATATTAAACAATAAATATTCCCAGTTTCTTAATGAATACCCTTTTTTATTTTGGCGTCAAAAAGTCAAGCGTCAAGGTTGTAAATTCATATATTTAAATTGTGCATATGTTAAAAACATCCATTTTCCAGGCCATATCTCGAAAATCTTTTGCAAGAAATTGTATACCATAACTCTCTACGGCCCCAATTACTCTTTTAATATGCCTGCTTGATCTATCCCCTCCTAAATCCGCACTTGCCCATATTTTTTTCTTTATCAGCGGGATCAAGAATTCTACGAGACAACTTGTTGTTTTTTTTTCCTTTCAAAATTCAGTTAAATTTTGATGTTTATGTGCATTCTCCTTAGAATAATAATCTGCCAATACCCAAACAAATGTTCACGTTTTTGTTTTGTGTGTATGAGAAAACTTTTAATGTTTTTTTTAACTTTTCATACTTCTTGCTTATTTCTTATTTTATTTTTTTCAAAACACAATTAAAAAATGCGAAAAATACGTTACATGTTCATCTGTAAAAGCATCAAATAAATATTGTTTTGCAAAGAAACTTTACATGGTTCCTGTCCTTTATCTACATTCAATGTAGTTCGTCATAATCAGAAGGTTGATTATTTTTGTTCAGTTCTTCGTATCCTGCTTTTCCCTCTATGCTGTCACCAAAAGACGGTTGACTAAATTCACCAAGTTCTTGGTAGTATATATTTCCTTCTTCTTTGTCATCGAGAGTCGTGTTTGCATATCCTGCTGAATTCTGATAACTCTTACATATACCAATGATCGGTGTTTGTTTTTTAAGAAGAGATTTTTTGAAATTCCTGCAAAATATAAAAAAATAATAATTTTTTTAAAAAAATATTTCTTGAAATCAAATGTCTGCTTTTTTAAAGATACCGGTAAATATATACACATTTTAACAACCGTCTCTACACTGCACACTTTTTCTGCAAAAGAGTGACCTGCCCTTATATCTAAATTCTAAAAAAAAAATTGCGAAATGTACAGTATATTACTCAAATTTTTATTATTTCAAGTATTCTTAACAATTCTTAAAAGGTCAAGATAAATTATTATTGAACATATTTTTTTTACATGTATTTTCCCTATGAAATAAACAACATTGATTCCTATTCACTGATAATGTGTTGTCTTTGGACATTTTCCCTGGGGTAAATGTCAAGTTCTATACAGTGAAAATCAAATGAAATAGACAAGCTCAATATCGACTCTTTTATATTACATATTTTTCTCAGTGTCCAAAAACATTTTGCACTGGTGTAGGAAGCCTTAACAGGCAGAGTGAACGGTTTGCCTAAGTAATGCAACTCGTTTCTAATCAATTGTTATCAGGTTTAATTTCTTCAATGTTAAGACGCCAGTTATTTCGTCAAAAATATGCAAAGGAAACAGAATGTAACTTTCTCAATAAGGTACATGTAGCAAAAATTCAAAAAATAAAAGACCGTTAGACAGACGGACAGACAGCTAGACGGATAGACTCACAGAAAGGCAAATGGACAGACAGGCTCATCCGGGTTCACCGGAATAAAACAATATTGAGATTAAAACTCACCTTACAATGAGGAATATGTTGAGAAAAATGCTTAGAAAGAGAATTGTGAGGACTCCATACAGGGCTGAATAAATGTCTTTGCTTGAACAACTCTTTGAAATCTGGTTCATATCTTAAATAGAAAGAAAAATTGTTTTGTCATAATAAACAGCATTTGTTGGAATTAATGAATAATTGATGTTAATTGTACAACCTCATCTGATCATTTTTCTAATTTTAGTAATTCTAGCACCCGACAACAGGCAAGATCAAGTGTTATGGGGAGGTAAACATCCACTTTCCACCAGTCACAGCTGCTGTGTGCTCTTGTTGGATATGCGTACAGGGAAAAATGAATTTATTTTTTCATTCATTTTTCTCTTAAGTTTCTATTAAAAAGTAACATAAAAATATTTTCTTCAGACTTTAGTAGGACAAAAATTATTCTTTTACCTTGAATACGCTTGGCATTATACAGGTTGATATTGCAGCCCTCTTTACACGACCCATTGTTTGAAAAACAGGTTCCATTCAGACAGATTGGACTACATAATTGATCACATCGTTGTCCGTAATGAGTTTGGCTGCATTCTGTAAGTAGAGAAAACGACATTAATGTATCTACTTTATTGAGAAATTTTAACTTTTATAATTACAAATGGCTTCGATATTTAGTTTTTCTAACGATGTGGTGTTGTTTTTAAATGAGAGGTGCTAGCATTTGTGTATAATTACATGTGATAACAATGGAACCAAGTCCAGTTAAATGTTGCTTTCATATTGTATTAAATTATCAAACTTAATATATAAGGTCGATAATCAACTTTTGAGTCATAATACCTGGCCTTTATTATTTTCAAATTTTGACTTAATTTCCTTAACTAGAACTAATTTATCTTCGTTTTTGCAGCGCTAGACGCAGCAATCCAGTGATAGTGGCGTAGGGCGTTTGCTTCGTGATCGGGAGGAATTGGGTGTGATATTGAAAATAAAGGTCCCGTGTCACGTTAACTCTTTACAACTTACAGAATAGCTATGCAACATACATTGAATCCTCGCGTCATAGAAATATTACTTTACCATTTCCCCGCAAGCACTTTATAGCGGGGTACAAATTTCTCTAAAGTTTAGTGTAAATTATATTCTGAAATAATATTTTAATTAGAAAATAACTTTTCTAATTTAATGAGATTCAAGCAAGTATAAAATAGTTTGAATTTCGCAATAAATTAAAGATTAAATGAACTTTTTAAAGTGCGTGAAAATGCGTGATTGCGGGGAAACGGTAAATGCGTGATTTTGCGTTAGAAATAGGAAATGGTATATGCGTTAAAATGCACGACTGCGGGGAAGGGTGTTAAACATTGACATATTAATAAGCCCTCGCTTTGAATACAAAGATCTCAGGAGAGAACTCATATATTTTCGTTTACCATCACATTGATGACCCTGCCATCCTGCCTCACAAGTGCAACTCCCATCGATTTGGCGACAGCCGGAAATGCACCCAATACTACATGTCTGAAGACAGTCAGGTCCAAATTTTCCGTCAATGCATCCAAAATCACATAACCCATTGTTTTTATTACATCCATATTTACAATTTTGATTGCACATTTTATCGCAATAGTTTCCAAATTTGCCAACTGGACATTTGCCGTCACATTCTCCGGAATGTCTGTTACAATTTGATAGGCAGGATGCACTGCACTTCTTTTCGCAATTTTCTGAATAAAATCCGTTGTAACACCCATAGGTGCAGAAACCAGTGATATTGTGACAGGTCTGTTTTATACAATTTACACTACACTCCTTTGAGCATTCAGATCCATAGTGAGAAAAATCACATCCTGCAAATAAAAAAGTGGTACTATACAACGATGCTTGAGTTGTCTGTGAAATCTTAGGACAGCTCTCGTATATAATAGCGAGCGCAGCGAGCGTCGCGAAGCGAGCTGAATAGACAAACGTGTAAGAACAGAGGAAATACGGAATGAAATATGTACATACGTCAGGCAAATTTTTATGTGAAACATTCCCAGAATTCCTTTACTACCCAATGTCCTTTGCGCGAATAAATAAATATAAAATAAATAAATAAATGAAAACGAAAAGCATAAAAGGATTTCATTTTGTAAAAATCTATCAAAGAAACAAAAAATAACTCTGCAATGTTTTCCAACAAAAATTGCACTAGATCTATAGTTTCAACCAGACGCTCGGCTGTCTCCGTAAGCTCCGACGAGCTCCAATAAAAACGTTATGTGACGTCACAGCTAGTCGAGATAGCTCGTGCGATTTGACGTCTGAAGTGGCTGATCATTTTTTTCAAATCTTATTGATGATACAATTGCACTCGCCCCAACAGTCACACCATAAAACATATAAGACAAAGGTAAAAGGATATGCCGAACCATATGTCGAATTTGAGAAATATTGGTAAATGATACGTAAAAAATAAATATTAATTTCAGAAACTTACTATCGCATCTTTTCCCTGACCAGTGCGTCTTACAACCATTAACACAAGTTCCATTTTGACTGCAGTTGTTTTGAATACATTTCCCACTACATTGCATATTACAGAAAAAACCAAAGAAACCGTTTTTGCACCCATTACTACAATACCCATCTATTTGTCTGCATTCTAGATTAAGGCAGTTCTTGCTACAATTTTGATCGCATTTAACTCCATAATAGCTTGAACTACAGTCCTTACAACTACCGTTCAATCTGTCACAAGTCGTGGTGTTGCAATTACCACATGTACTGTTGCAGTAGTTTCCATAGTAACCTGGAGCACATCCGGTTGAACAATATCCCGTGTCTTTATTGCATTTTAGTCGCAAGCACTTCAAAGAACAAATATTTTCACACAATTCTCCAAAGTACCCATCGCTACAGGAATTGCAGATTCCGTTCGGTCTGTTGCAGACTGTAGTTGAACAAGACGATGAACAATTGTTCTGACATTTATCTCCCCAATACCCCTGGTTGCATCCTCTAGTGCAGTGTCCATTTCCATTGCATTGAAGATTCTCACAGTTAGGGCTGCACGTGACAATTGCTAGATAAATATACATGTACGCAACATTACATAATTTATGTCATGACGTTTTACACAAAATTACAGAAGCCTACAAGTGCTACACAGACATTTTTGTTATTCTTTTATTTTCAATACTTTTTAATTATGCAAACATATCCTCAAATCTGCAAATTTTATAATTTACAATTTAATTCAAATTTATCTACAAATCGTTAAATATAACCTTGAAATTTGACATTTTGTAAATGTTACATGTAATCATCATTCTGTGAATCTTACATTTCAATCTGTAAATCGTACTCATTAACACCTAAAATTTGCATGTAATATGCAAGTTTTACACTCTAATCTGTGATTGTTTCTCTGTAAACTGTAGAAAAAACACCTTATTCTCAACAGTTAAAATTTTGATCCGTACAGTTTACGCAATTATCTGTGTAATTCATTTTTTAGTCTGTAAATTTTATATTCTAATCATGAAATGTTGCATTTCAATGCAACGTTTAAAGGTAGGCAACTGTATCAGTGATCTGAAGGGATCAGGTGACATTCTTGTTCCCTACGATTAGCCAAACAAAGACTTATACATAAAGTTGTACATAGTGACTGTTTCCTTGCCATGTGTCAGGAAAAAGAAGTGAAAGTCATGGTTCTCTTGATAGAGAATGAAGAACCAAGGCCTCTTGTAAAGGTATGCATTGCTAGGATAAAGGAACCCCACTTCTCAGTGGCCTTAGGAACCCTCTCTACACTGCACACTAATGAGCTCTGATTCTAGGGTATATTTTTTTGCAGTTAGACTGCCCTTATGCCTAAATTCTAAATAATAGAAATTCGGAGTTATAACACAATTTGTCATCAATTCAAATACTAGCATTCTTTACATTTTAAAAGACCAAGATAAATTAATTGAATGTTATTTACATGTACTTTCTCCGCTGAAGTAAACAACAGTGCTTTTTAATAATTGATACTATGTTGTGTTTGATTATTTTTCCTGGGGTAAATACCACGTACCATATAGGGAAAATTAAGTAAAGAAGCTTAATATTAACACCTTTATGGAATATGTTTTTCTAAATGTCCAAAAGACATTTTGCATTGGTGTAGAGAGGGATCTTAAGTGCCGAGTTGAATTCTACATGTCAAATTCGAACTCTGGTACTTCACCTATGTACTAGTATGTTGACGTCGCATATGAAATTCTGCAAAACAGCCGTGTTTGGTTTCACATGAAGAAAGCGAAAATACGTATAAGCGAAATATAGTAAAAAGGTAAAAAAAAAAAAAAGAGGCCCATGGGCCACAGCGCTCACCTGAGCACATGGGCTAGGTAAAAGCACATATCAAATCAGAACTGAAAGCTTACTGAGGTGAAGGGGGGCTTGAATTTTAACCCCCCATAAGGTCATGATTTGAAAAAAACTAGAATCTACACTTCCTGAGGATGATTCGATATAAATATCACTAATCATGGCTTTGAAGTACTTGAAAAGAAAATTTTAAAACATTTCCCTATATATTCATATGTAATACTTTGGTCGTCCATTTTGGCCCTACCCAAGCCCCGGGGGTCATGATTTGAAAAAACTTGAATCTACACTACCTGAGGATAATTTTAGGTGAGTTTCATCTTTCCTGTCTCAATGGTTCTTGAGAAAAGAGTTTTAAAGATTTTTCCTATACATTTCTATTTAAAACTTTGATCAGCCATTTTGGCGACACCCTAGCCTCAGGGGGCATGATTTGAACACATTTGAATCTACTCTATCTGAGGAAAATTTTACATGATTTTCATCTTTCCTGTCTCAATGGTTCTTGAGGAGAAGATTTTTAAAGATTTTTCATATATATTCCTATGTAAAACTTTGATCGGCCATTTTGGCCCCACCCTAGCCCCGGGGATCATGATTTGACCAAATTTAAATGTACACTACCTGAGGGTTATTCCACATGAATTTCATCTTTCCTGGCCCAGTGGTTCCTGAGAAGAAGATTTTTAAAGATTTTTTTTATAAACTCCTATGTTAAACTTTTGTCGGCAATTTTAGCCCCGTCCTAGCCCCTTGGGTCCTGATTTGAATAAACTTCAATCTATACTACCTGAGGAAGAAACCAAATGAGTTTAAACTTTCCTGGTACAGTGGTTCTTGAAAGATTTTTAAAGATTTTTCCTATATACTCCTATGTAAAACTTTGATCGGCCATTTTGGCCCCATCCTTGCCCCGGGGGTCATGATTTGAACAAACTCAAATTGACACTACATGAGAATGACTCCACTTGAGTTTCAACTTTCCTGGCCCAGTGGTTCTTGAGAAGAAGTTTTTTTTAAAGATTTTTCCTATATACTCCTATGTAAAACTTTGGTTGGCCATTTTTGCCCCACCCTAGCCCCGGGGGTCATGATTTTGAACAAACTTGAATCTACACTACCTGAGAATGATTCCACATAATTTTCATCTCTCCTGGCACAGTGGTTCTGGAGAAGATTTTTTTAAAATGACATTAATTTTTCTCTAATTCATAATTATCTCCCCTTGGAAAAAGGCGTGGCCTTTCATTTGATCAAACTTGAATCCCCTTTTCCCAAGGATACGTTGTAGCAAGTTTGGTTGAAATTGGCCCATTGGTTCTTGAGATGAAGATGAAAATGTGAAAAGTTAACGACAACAACGACGACGACAAACAACCGATAAGTTTTGAAACATTTAAAAATGTGAATTGTTTTCAAATAAATAAAGTTTTGCTTTGTGCTTCTATGAAAAAAAATGATTGCCGGTCATTTTTAACATACAACGTGATTGGTCAATTCATTTAAGTCCCTAATTAAACTGGAGAGACAGGGATTTTATCAAAATTATTTATTGTTACGTTTTCTATGACTAAACTTCATCTTTTAATATTAATTACAGACTTATGATTTGCTCCAATCAAGTAAGCTAATATATATATATATATATATATATATATATATATATATATATATATATATATATATATATATATTCTTTTCACATCTTTTTTTCTTTCAGTAGGAAAATTTTAAGAGCACGTTGTTGTTTTCCATTACACGTGTTACGTTTGATTGATTATTAAGCATTCGTTCAAATCGAAAGTTCATCTTCATTGAAAGCCTTTAAAAATATTTTCATGTTGTTTAATTTTGTGAAATTTGTTATTGGATGTATACTCTCAAATATATTTTATTTATTTTTTTAATACATTTACATGTAAATTTAATTGTTACACAAGTATGTTAAGGTTAGAACCAAATATTCTACTTGTCTATATGATATGACGTCATAGTAAGCTATATGACGTGAAGTTTAGAGATAAGAATTTCTTAAAATCGATATCTAAGATTGGTTTGAGGTTGTAAAAATGAATCAAAATATGCAAGGGCATAATATAAACGGAATTTTGTCGTTTCTGGGCCCCTATAGTTATCACAGGGGTTGAATACCAAACCCGGGACGTCATAACTGTTGATCATGCAGTACCAGAGTGAAAGTGAAATGTAACGAGAATTCATGTAAACAAACACAAGAAATCGAAGTTTAAAAGCATTTAGAGTGAATATAATGTGTGATTCATTTGGGAATAAAGCTTACGAATAAGGTATGCTAATATAATTCTACATCTTCTTCGTAAAATTAAAGGAGGCAGAGTGTATACTTGCCGATCAGCCTTTCCTCTGTGGTTCGTAACAAAAAAGATGCAAAAGTTCAACACTACGCCGCATACTTTGAAGCTTAATTTTTGTTTCTATCTGAAGTTCTTATTCCATTGTATTTGGAAAGTGCTGCTAGAATCGTATGGTTTACGGGAATTGATGCATTTTTTCCGATGTTATGAACAAAATGTAAAAATTTTTGGAAGGTTTCGTCCTAAAGTGTTGAATTCTTATTTCTGTGAGAGGACAGTTGGATTCTAGCAGAACTTTTCGTAGTGCAAAGATGTTTTTACATAAGAATTATTACAAATTGAAATTAATTATCCCCGGGGTAGTGTTGAACTTTTCACTTTTTCATTAAGGCATATTTTCTAATTATATTACAATATCGCAATTTTCACATCCTTCGCATGACGTACAATTTGGACCATAGAAACCAACATTACAGCCTGTAGAAACATTTAAAAATGTGAATTGTTTTCAAATAAATAAAGTTTTGCTTTGTGCTTCTATGAAAAAAAATGATTGCCGGTCATTTTTAACATACAACGTGATTGGTCAATTCATTTAAGTCCCTAATTAAACTGGAGAGACAGGGATTTTATCAAAATTATTTATTGTTACGTTTTCTATGACTAAACTTCATCTTTTAATATTAATTACAGACTTATGATTTGCTCCAATCAAGTAAGATAATATATATATATATATATATATATATATATATATATATATATATATAATATATATATATTCTTTTCACATCTTTTTTTCTTTCAGTAGGAAAATTTTAAGAGCACGTTGTTGTTTTCCATTACACGTGTTACGTTTGATTGATTATTAAGCATTCGTTCAAATCGAAAGTTCATCTTCATTGAAAGCCTTTAAAAATATTTTCATGTTGTTTAATTTTGTGAAATTTGTTATTGGATGTATACTCTCAAATATATTTTATTTATTTTTTTAATACATTTACATGTAAATTTAATTGTTACACAAGTATGTTAAGGTTAGAACCAAATATTCTACTTGTCTATATGATATGACGTCATAGTAAGCTATATGACGTGAAGTTTAGAGATAAGAATTTCTTAAAATCGATATCTAAGATTGGTTTGAGGTTGTAAAAATGAATCAAAATATGCAAGGGCATAATATAAACGGAATTTTGTCGTTTCTGGGCCCCTATAGTTATCACAGGGGTTGAATACCAAACCCGGGACGTCATAACTGTTGATCATGCAGTACCAGAGTGAAAGTGAAATGTAACGAGAATTCATGTAAACAAACACAAGAAATCGAAGTTTAAAAGCATTTAGAGTGAATATAATGTGTGATTCATTTGGGAATAAAGCTTACGAATAAGGTATGCTAATATAATTCTACAATTTCTTCGTAAAATTACAGCATCAGGGTGTTTACTTGCCGATCAGCCTTTCCTCTGTGGTTCGTAACAAAAAAGATGCAAAAGTTCAACACTACGCCGCATACTTTGAAGCTTAATTTTTGTTTCTATCTGAAGTTCTTATTCCATTGTATTTGGAAAGTGCTGCTAGAATCGTATGGTTTACGGGAATTGATGCATTTTTTCCGATGTTATGAACAAAATGTAAAAATTTTTGGAAGGTTTCGTCCTAAAGTGTTGAATTCTTATTTCTGTGAGAGGACAGTTGGATTCTAGCAGAACTTTTCGTTGTGCAAAGATGTTTTTACATAAGAATTATTACAAATTGAAATTAATTATCCCCGGGGTAGTGTTGAACTTTTCACTTTTTCATTAAGGCATATTTTCTAATTATAGACGTCACGTGGTGACGTTGTGGTTAAGTGCTTCCTGTAGTACAAGTCCCATTGAAGTTTATAGAATGCATAATTATAGCAGAAGTTATATCCTTGACTTTTCCGAAGCATTAGTGTTACATAATTATAAAAAAGTGTTAATTCCATGAATTCTGATCCATGTGCTGCCTTAACTTACCCGCGTAATACTTGATTGTTTAGTCCGTAATTATTATTCCCAATAAATTGTAATGATTTTTCGTTTTCAGTCAAAAATTCTGTCAATTTGAATTTACTGCTCTACTCTGAAGAGTTTACAATATCATTTTTTTTACAAAATGAAAGTAAAAATTTCTATATAACTCGAAGAAAAATATAGTTATTTTGTATCTATGTGGTTTAATCGTATAATAAAGATGATAAATTTAGTAAGCGTACGTTTGATCTTTCGATTGATTTTTTAAAATTACTTTCACAATTGAGAACATTACTAATGTTTTAAATCGAATAATTACGGAGTGGGGAATTTCTTATTGAGTTTCTTCAAACTTTTTGTCCTGTTTGTATGAATAAGGATCATCTTCATTTTTGATTATTCTTATTTTGTTCCAATTACATTCTCTGGGAAAGCAAGTTTGTTGGGTGTTAAAACAGTGTGAAACAATGTCAACGAGTCCTATGCTAAAAAAAATAATCAGTGGTATTCAAAGAATATATACTCAGTGACAATTAGCTAAACGTCGATTAATTACGGGGCCCTTACACTATTATAAGTAGCATTGTGTATTTGTACATTATTTAGCTGATTTGTCGGTTAGAAAGTCACGCCGGTATATCAATTACCATATGAATTTATTCTTACGTCAATACATTACTCCGAGAGTGAAATTGTATCACGGACAGTGCATGAACATTGCAAGTTTTCTTTTCTTTTATGTTTAGAATAGATATATTCAAAATTATTGATGAGTAGACAATTTGAAAGTAAATTCTGACATATATACGATGACCGAACGCAAGGGGATTCTCACTCCTCCAGGGAACCTGATCCCATCTCTGATCAGGTACATGTATGTTCTGCTCCTGTTTTGTATTTTTTATGGACTTTTGATCTTGAATACTGTTTGTTATCTCCTATATGTTTCCTATTTCGATTTAACAACCAATGTCCTGGCAGTATTAATAACAGTTTATTCTACTTGAAATAAGCACAAAATTGTCTTACCGTTGCCACATTTGTCTTACCGTAAGCTTGAATTTCACATATTTCAAGCAAAGCATATCCGACTAAATAATCGGGGGATCCATCATCTTCGGGAGCGTCATACGTTGATATAACTCTGAGAAATCGGGTAATTTGTTCGCACGAAATATTCTGTATACTTGAGGGTACTGCAGGGTAGTCTGTGTTATCTTTGTAACATTGGATCCACTGTTGCGTACCAGATGAATTGGATACCTCTAATCGGTATTGCCTGAACCGGTAGGGTTTCCAATGACCTGAAATAAACCTTGCGGTGTAATATTTGCTTTATTTACGGAATAAATAAAACGGTAAACTTATGAAAAAAGTAAATAAAAATATTTTTTTTCTTCCTTTGTAAGGGGAATAAATCAAGATTAACAATTAGTACACATATACATATATATAACATTTTTAGATAAGTTTTCCTATTATGTCACAAATGTAATAAGTTTTGCTATAAACCCTGAAAAATGCCAAGTCACACCGGAAACCCGACTGAAGCAGTTATGTCACCCTCTCGATCACGTTCACGTGTTTTTACGAATCGGATCACCTCGCCCTTTTCCGTCGCATCCGATTGGTGTTTTTACGTAGCCTGGTTCCCTGTCCCTGTTTTGCTTCATATACTCCGCGTCACTTGGCAAGGATGAGCCAGGGGACCAGGCTAGTTTTTACGTTACACATTTTAGTTCGGGTTCGAGATTTTATGACGTAGGTTGCTAAGCAAAAGTGAACAACGGAGCGTTATTCTTAATGTCAAGAAAGCATTTTCGGGTTTGTGTAAATTTTAAAGAATTTTGAATGATTTTAATTTTTTTTTTTAATTTTAAAGATGTCATTTTACATATACAACATAGCTTCCCCGGCGACTATACCATCGTAATTGCGTTGTATTTGTGTTGTATTTGCCCCTCGGTGACACGAAACCCCTTGAGTGTTATGTCACCCTCTGCCTTCGGAATCGGGTGACATAATACTCCAGGGCTTTCTGTCACCCCTGGGTATATATTCCGGTATAGTCGCCGGGGAAGTCATGTGATATATGTATAATGTCACGTAGTCATTCATTTCTGGTGTTGCATCTCAATTTCTATCCTCAAAATCCTTCAATTTTTTAAAGGTCATTGTAGTTTAAAAAAAAATGATGACCTACTACATTTTGACTGCGTTTTTGCAATTCTTATTTTTAAAAAGCTTTTGCGTTCAATATTTGTAGCCCGCTTGGCACAATGGTTACAGCTTTTGCTCTGAATAGAGTCGCGGAGGAAGGAGTTGATCCTTACGTCGCAGGTTCAAATCAACTGTAGGACGAGGAGATCGGTCCCCCGGATAAGGTCGCCCCGTGACGCGGTCTCATGTCACAGTAATTGTTGGCACGAAAAAAAAGTCCAAACTGCACAATGGCCCTAAGAACCGAGTATATAAATTTGCAGCCCCCCACCGGTAAATGTCCGTATAAGTGAAAAATTCTCTAGAGGGGCGTTTAACATCAATCAAACGTTCAGTATTAAAGGTAGATTAAAGGAATTTATTTCCTTTGTAGATGTTTCACTACTGCATTTATCATAACGTAGGTAATAACAAGCCATTGAAAATCTCAAAAAGTCAAATAAAAACATTTTACCTTCATTTCTGTAATATATAACGACGTTTTTTAGTTTGATTGCTTTTTGAAAGTCCACCATTACCCATGCCACTGATTTCCGCATTTCAGTATGTGAACAATTCCTGTAATTTTGTTTGATATTTCCGTCGATCACCTTATCTGCAGATAAACCAAATCTAACCGAGCTCTGTGTTGCTGTACAAGTAGTCCTTTCACATATGTTATCTGTATAACAATGAAAAGGTTAAACTGATTTTAGATGTCTTCATGAAAAAAAGAATAAGCAAAGTACAGTAATTACTTACTCACCGTAGTAGCTTTGAACATGCTGATCTTTACCAGAATTTCTCCTTGTTATACCTTAAGTGACCCAACTCTACCCCCGGGGGTCATAACTTGGACAGTTGAAATTCTACACTACCCAACAATACTTTTTCATACGTTTCAGCTTTTCTGGCCAAATAGCTCTCGGAAAATTTTTCAAGATATTTTATATATTTCTGTGTTAAACTTGGATTCCCAATTGCAGCCACACCATAACCCCGGGGTCATGATTTGAACAATTTAGAATCTACACTACGGATGCTCACTCCTCCATGGCACCTGATCCCACATCTGATATTTCTAAGGTCCGTGTTTGCTCTGCTCCTATTTTCTATTGTGTTATGGTCTTTGAGATTGAATACTGTTCGTTATCTCCTTCTTCCACATAAGTTTAAACTTTTCTGGCCCAGTCGTTCTTGAGGAAAATATTTTTTAAATTTTTTTTGCTAGATAGTTCGACGTAAAACTTGGATTCCAAATTGTTGCGCGCTTTTTAGAAGATTTTTTTAATTACCCATCCCTATTTTCTTTTTACTTGATTATCTCCCCTTGTAAAAAAACTGGGTCATCCAGTTTAATACTTTTAACTCCCCTTCACCCAAGAATGCTTTGTACCAAGTTTGGTTAAACTTTGCCTAGTAGTTCTTGAGAAGAACTCGATAATGCGGAAAGTTTACAGACGGACAGAAAGACGACGGTCAAAATGTGCGCGGAAAAGCTCACTTGAGCCTTTGGCTCAGGTAAACTAAAAATTATAAGGTAATAATAGAATTTGTGTGTTCAGTTAAAACAAGTTTAATTTGATTTCTTCAAATAAATGCTGTTTACAATATATTGTGCATCTTCGAAATAAATCCTTGTTAGGATAAATAAACAAACTTTCATCTATATATAAAATTTGCAATATTTGTCTCGGTTGACTTAAGTATCTTCAAACTTTAAACAGGAAAAATAGCAGTTTGGAATCATAAAATACTATGATGATAGATTAATCTTTTACCTGAAGATTTCAATGTGTTGTAGGTGTAAAGAACGCATCGGTGTAAATGGCGGTCATACGAATATATAGAACTTATTTTTGCGTTCCCCATATTTTCAATGGTTCTTCGTATCTACCATACTTGATATAATGACATGATGCTTGAATAGAGAAGACAATGTATTATTTTAAGGACAGATGATTCAACAAGAAAAATGGATGCCTTGATTGGTATATTTTTTTTTACCGAATTTTATTGCCAAAGAAGTAAATAATACATAGATTTATAGAACATAAAGAAATTGTAAACCTTCTGTGATGTTCAAACTCTGCGCTTCTAAAACCATCCTTATTAATCTATACAAAACTTTTTAAACTTCAAATCCCATTTTTGTTACATTTTGAATAAAAATTAAAAAACTACGCGATGAAACTTTTTTTTCGAAATCGTTTAATTCATTCAAACATGACCCAATTTGTTATTTTGAAATTTTTTCGACAACTTTTTGTTTGTACCATCTGTCCTTAAATAACGAAATTTTGAGTAACTCACATAATGCAATATATTTTGTAAATGCATGTAAAAAAAATTACGTATCTACACAGTTTCTTCTCTGAAGAAGTATAGTTTTCTGTAAATCGGTTGAATTAAAATTCTATTTCAATTGCATTGAGGTAAGAGGACAAAACGGAAAAATAAAATCAACAAAACGCTTATATTTGTTCTCAGAGTATACTAAAGATGCAGTATTTTGATTTTCAGTACTTCAACATTTTCCTTTCAAGAGGATACAGCCGTTGGCACATAAATTAACATATTCTCTGATACAACTTTTCTCTTTTGATTATACGTCATTTTCACTCGATTCTTGTGGTTGAAAGGCATAAGTCGAGAGATGCGCAAATACTTACAAAATGATTTTCCTAAGTCCGTTCAACTTAATATCTATTTCAGAATGATTGTACACTCAATGCTTAAATAAATCTACCACCATAACAAAGTACATCTCATCGAAGTATTTAATTAGAAGAAATACGTCCAAGATGTATTTTAATGAACTTTATTCTAACTGCATATTTAAAGAAATACTAAATTACCAGTTTACTAGGGATAATTATTCCTCCATTTGAGACCTGTGTATACTTTGAATTTATATTGTAAAATTGGACTTAAGGCCTTGAATGCTAATCGTTATTTTCAAATATTTCTACTCTAAAAACTCATATACCGGTACACATGTAAGTAGTTATTTTAAACATTTAAGTTTTATACCGTAAGAGTGAATAACTGCTTGTGAGACAAAAATCAAGATCCACCAAAAGATTGTCATTTCCCAAGAGAATAATCCTGTTAAAATTATCCAAGTTGTCTGTTTAAAAGATATTTGTCATATGACGTAGTTTATCAAAACGATAAAGTTTATATTTTAATTCAATGAAAAATGGACAATTCCTTTGGACAGAATTATAACTTCCCTTCTTTTCTTTCCTTTTTTAACATTCTGTTATTACTATTTAAAAATGTGCTAAAATCTTCCTTTTTGACATTCAATATTTTTATATATATATATATATATATATAAGGAAGTTTTTTTTTATTATTATTATTTTGTTATCATTTTATAACTTTAATTGCATGAAACATTTAAAAGGAAAACGGAGTAAGGACTTTTGAACTGGCTACTAAACAAAATAAATATGGAACATTAAATATAGTCTCTATATAACCAATGAAAATATTTCATCGTAAAAAATGTCCAGATCTTACTTTGAATAACTTACAGTGTACCATATTCCATTTTTCACCTGTTTGTAGTCACCTGCGTGGTGCAGTGGTAAAAGCACTAGAATCGCGGAGTATAATGAGTTGATCCTTACGTCTCGGGTTCGAATCCAACTGTGGGACAAGCGGACCGGTTCTTCGAATAAGACCGTTAACACCTAGGTCACGTGTCGCAGAAGGTACTGACACGAAAAAAAGATCCCTCACTGCGGTAAAAAAATTGCAGTTCTCCACTGGCAAGTGGTGGGGTCTCCAAACGAGTGAAAAATTCTCGAGAGAAATGTTAAACTACAAACAATCAAGCGAACATAGCTATTTCAAACAACGGTGAAACTGTTCACAAATAAGAAAAAAGGAAAGGTAACGTGCCATTTGTGTTTTAAAATTAAGAAAAAAAAATTGTTTTCTTAATGTTAACTTTATTTTGCAAAATTAAAGTATGGCACCAAGTATCCAGACTGTTCATCTTAAGGATGTACAACACACCTACCCCAAAAAATTCCCGTCGTTTAATTTTCGTTATTTTTGTATATTTAGTACATGACTATATCTTTCAGACGGGGGTCGATCACTTTGCTATGAATCTACAAATACACATTTTTAAAAAAATGAAATTGCTTTTGCATCAAAAATATATCAACTGACCTTAGATATTTAAAAGTTCTTATATGTAAAGCCTATTTAAATGTAGATTTTTAGACATTTTTGAATACCCCTACCACCCCCACCCCTTCCTTTTTTGCATCGCAGACCATTAGCGTTTGACGAAACGTCGTTTACAGCGCAAATATACATTGTACTAGTATTTCGTCATTTGAATCCCAGAGGTATGCATTAGTTTTTAGTATGTATCAGGAAAAAAATACTGAAGGATTTTAGTGTTTAGCCCATATATGTATGCATTATGCATTCCATATCACTTGAAACCTTGAATATGTTGATTTTTAATTTTATTTCTTTAATTTCATTTACCAAAAAAAGGTGTATGTTCAACTCTCCTGTGGTATAAATTGAATAATTATAGTTTCTTTCAAGTCATTATTTCAAACGAGACAGTATGTGCATCGACATTTGCATAAATGTACACACCTCACGATATTGACCGCATTCTTTTAATGTCATTGCTTCTAAAGTTAAAATGAAAATTCTGTATTCGTCCACATTAACTTCAAAATATCAAATATTAAACTCATCCTCTATTTTAATTTATATCAAATCGCACATTGATATTTTTAGAAATCTTATAGGCTACGTTTTGTTTTGATTCGAGGAAATGCGAACCGACATTGTTTACAGTGACAGAAAGTCAAACGATTTGCCGCAATAGGATATTCATAAATTCAGATAATTTCAGTACTAGTAAACAATTCTTTTCAATAGACCTTTTTCATAAATATTCTATCCAATCCGGTTTTAACCTTTAGTTTTTACAAAGTCACGTGATACCCGACACAGATAGATAAAATGGCGACTACACCGTTTTCAGCGTTTAAAGTTGACGAGTTACAGATGTTCTTGAAAAGAAAGGTGATTTCTGTTTCAAAATTGAAACGTATGGATTTATTGAGGCTATGTGATGCAGTTGTAAAGCTCAATTTGCCAGATGACCCCGATATGTGCTCCGATCAGCCTCTGTCTGTCCATGATATTCTTAGTGAATTCTCAGTAGAGGATCCGTTTGGAATCCAGGGGATGTCGAATGATCTAACAAAGCTACCAACATTTTCAAGTCTTGTGTTAAGCCAACGCAGAAGGATAAGACTTATCTGAATAAGACTGCATACGATGTTTGGGTCATCATGGCAAAAAACGGATAAATAAAATGTGCGTACTGCACATGCATTAATTGGTGGGTATGTATATATCATATATATAAAACATACGAACAGGTTAAATTAATAATTATTTAAAGCGCAATAAGTCAGTTTAATTAATCTTTTTTTTGGTTGCATAATATTTGTTGAGTAATGATACTTAAGTGACTCCAGGCATACAATATAGGTACTTAAACCAAATCCTATATAATATATTCAAAGTAGTCACATGTGTATTACATATGATGTATGTATACAATCATGATACCAGTGTTATGGCTGAGAAAAATAAAGTCCAACAGAATGTGTGTAAGCTAAATTTCACACACTTTTTTTCCTCAGAGCTGATGGTGGATGCCGTCACATTGGAGCGACTTTATATGAAATTGAAGCCTTCGAAGTCAATTTAGTCACGGATGGGGGCAATTTATGGTCTAAACGACCACGACAACATGATTGCCCAGTTCCCATCAAGCAACTAAAGATCATGAAAGCAAGGTTCATGTATGAACAATAAATTATCAAATTTTGTATAAATCCTTGTATAATTTTAACGTCATCATATAAGTTAATTCTGCAGCGGTTGATTATTTTAATAAGCTTCATAAATAGTTAGTCTACATTTAATCCCCCCAAACACAGAATAATTACTTCTCTGTACAAATTTAACTACAGGTATACAGGTGTGGAATATAACCAATCTGATGCACACAATTTTGACCCTCGCAGTGTGGATCAAAGGCAGAATTACTGAGAAATGGAAATCACTGAAATAGCAAGAAGTCTTCGAGAGGTATTTTCTCTTAATTGTATAGTTTTTGCTTATAGTGTTTTGTATTTTTCAAACTGAATGAAATTGATGAAAAGTCAAGCAATTTTCTATTCTTGAATGAAAATGAATCATTCATTCATGTTGTACACTATAAGGTATTTTGTAAGATGCATACTATAAAGGATAAAAAAAAAATTTGTCAGTGTGACTTTTGATGGCAAGTGAGGCATCAATTAAGAACAAAACTGTTCCTTCAGTTTCATTAAAACGATATATATTAATATGTTCTCTTTAAAACTTGATATTCTTGAGGTACAAAAGCCAATAGAGAATGTTACAGGTGACTGTGATCAACCGTGTCAAAAATGTACTGTTTTTACCATCTCAAACATGTTGAAAAATGTTAAATCTACTGCTGCAAATGACCCTGTGAATTTATGTCATCTTTCTAATGATAATATTGCACACATTGAGTCATGCACAGCTGAACAGTCTGACAGCAAGACTTGGCATGAGCTCAGGAAAGGCAGATTGACTGCATCTAATTTTTGTAAAGTTTGTAAAGCAGTTGATGCTAACAAATGTCAACCTTCACTTCTTAAGACTATTTTAGGTGAATATGGTGAAGTCACTGCTCCATCTTTACTGTGGGGTAAAAAGAAAGAGGTAGCAGCCCTTCAGCTTTATATGAAAGTATGCAGTAAATCACATCTTCATCCCCGTTTGTCACATAAAGATTTAAGAATACATCCTACCATGGATTTCATTGGTTGTTCTATTGATGGTCTTTTCACATGTAAATGCCATGATTGTACTATTTTTGAGGTAAAATGCCCATTTAGCTTAAGGGATGAAGATCCAAAAGAAGTGTGTCTCAGAAAAGGTTGTGTCCTTAATAAAAAAGTTGAAGTCATTGTAACTGAAAACTCTGAATACTATCATCAAATTCAAGGTCAAATGGGTATATATGGCATTCATCAATCCAATCTCATTCTTTACACAAAAGAAAAGAATCTGTGTTGCTCAGGCTGAGTTTGATCCTTACTTTTTTGATACAATGCTCAACAAACTTGAAACATTTTTTAAACAGCATATAATGAAGTATTTTATGTAAGAGTAACTGCTGGTATGTACTTGATGTATACATGCAAGTTGGTGCAAGTTGATACTTGAGATAGAAATATTTTTTAAAACATTCATGGCTTAGTATATATATATTTATATTTTGAACATTGTATACGTTGAAATCAATAAATTCTGAAATATCAACACCAAGATTATCATTATGTTATTTATTATGAGGAAGTCAGATATAAATGAAAATATTATACACCTGTCATATATCAATGTATAGTGCCCAGCTACCTATAGCCCTTTACACACAAAAAGCTGTTTTGATAATTGTGACAAATTAAGCTATTTCTATCATTCATATTTCACTCTGATTTATATTCAATATGTGTGGTCATGCAATGATTTTGATATAATTATTTGTCTTGTAAAAAATCAATTCTTTTTCATTCAACATCAAATGTGCTTTCAATACATGATTATAAAGTGTCTTGAGATAAAGTTGCTATAAGGTAAAAAAAAATTGAAAATGTGAAATAAAAGTCTTATCAGTTGATTTGTGAAAAGCTAGTACATAGATTCTTGAGTTAAAATTTTTAACAATTCTTTTTGTGAAAAGGGCTGCAGATTTACATATATACTCACTTTACAAGTTGGGTGTCAAGGTTGCACAACATTACACACACTCTTACAATTTGATTGTAAACAGGCTTCATATGGAGTGCAATAACACCCTGCAAAATTGTATAGTTTTTTAAACGTCCAATCGCTCTCTCTACATGGATTCTAGCCCGTGCAATCCTCCTAGTTTTAGTGGTTGCATTGCTGCCTAACTGTTTTCCAAAAGAAAATGGAGGAATGTTTAACGTGGCACCCTTCATTGCTAATTCAGCTCTAATGAGAAACCCACGATCAGCCATAATGTCATCGCCAAATTCAATATTATCCAAAAAACAGAATCTTGAACTATTTTCTTGTCAGATATACTACCAGTATATAAATCAGAGACAAAACAGAAAGAACCTTTGGGAGTTATAGCTACAAGACACTTAAATGTATTATGATGTTTGTAATTTGAGTATGTAATTCTTTGAGCAGATGGACGACTAGGTTTTTTGTACAAAAAAGTCTGTGCAGTCTTTTATACATCTTGTCTTTTTAAAATGTTTAAAGCATTTAGGTAAATTCTCCATGATTTGTTCTTTGGAAGACCAATTTATTAGAAAGCCGAGGTCAATATTCATTAGACACAACCAGGTAGTGAATATTCGACACACAGAACTTTCAGAAATGGCAAACATATCACCGAGGGACCTGGTGTCGAATCCTCTACGTAATCGTAACAGGGTAAGACTGAACTCTTCCTTCAGTGACAATAAGCGCTTGGGTCCTCTTCTAGGAGTCTGTAAATATGGGAGATTCTGTTATTTAGAAATCAATAACATTACAATGTAGAAACTACTGATTACAAGCTGGTTAAAGCTTTAAATTTTATAAGTAATAAAGAAATAACGCTGAAGAACTTTTTCTATCAAAGTAAAGTTAGTACTAAACTGACCTAGGTCACAAATAAGTAGACAGTTAATTCCTTGGAATCCTGACGTTCATTTGTTTCAGTACTGTTCCAGTATACCATTGAGGATGCCTTTAACTTCAACACATTGAAGATGATTATAAACACGGCCAGTGATAGTCCTGTGGATTAAAGCATAATTGTACATTAATTGACAAATTAAAGCATATACTGAGTATGAATGTATTTAGAGCAGAACTGCATGATTGTTTTAGATAAATATGATTACAGTTGTTATACACATTAGTCACTGGACAGTTTCAAGGTAATTCTGGAATAAATTGCATTCAAAATTAATTCAGAAGTAACTTTGTATCAAATATTATTAATACAAATTCAATATATAATAAAACTATTTATCAACCTGTATAAAATTTACAAGACTTGTAATCTTTGAATATGTCGTCTGTCAATAGTCTTCTCTTTGTGTACCCTCTATCAAGGAAGCTGTTATCCTCAATGCCAGACATCCCCTTCATGTCAAGGTTGGTTTGAGTTGTAACTGACACACCAGCCATGTGCACAGGTCTAGCATACAAGTGTTCATCCACTAAAATCAAATAAACACCATAAGCTTTAAATATCTATTTTTTTTTCAATACTTAAAATTAGACATTTAAAAAAATAACTGATTATTATTTACAGGACTCTTATACAAAAGCTTTCAGTATCATGTACATATAGATTTAAAAGTCATGTTTTTAAGTTTACAGAGATTGTAATTCAATGTATTGATTATTTTAAGAAATCATTCTGCAGCTATTTTTATTGTGAAAATTGTTTATTCATACCCTGTGTGTGCTGAATTGACACATCTTTACTGCCACTGGTATCCTCCCCTTCCACTGTGACAAATATCGTGGGCTCTGGACAGTCTGGTACACACTCAGAGACCTTACTTTGACCAACATTCTCTTTATTTTCTTTTATCAACTGTTTCCTTGCCACAGGTTTTCTTGCCTTAATGATAATTCTACGTGAGTCTGCACTCACTGGATAAGGGTGCATATCAGTAGGGCGACCGTCAACAAAATGTTTGCTGCACACATATGCATGTTTATTGACGTTCTCCACAGTAAAGAATTTTCGTCCACAAGCTTTCACCCGTACTTTGGTGTCTTCCAACCTAGTTTTTGGTTTTGGAATAGGAGAACATTCGACCCCTTTCATATATTCTCGGTCCCTGTACCTATTGTCACTGTTGCAAGTGCCCCACGAGCAACGTTTTACCATTATCGCCGGCTATGTTTTTGTAATATTCCGCCACTGAATGTCGGGTATCACGTGACTCTGCCGCTTGCGCGCTTGAAAAATTGCTTATATCAATGAAAATATGAAAGATGACTAAACTATACTTACATTGTGTGTATGAGGTCTATAGTATTCCATTCTCGGATATATCAGGTCTTGCTGTAAATGTATCTGATTTTGTGTAAATGCCGAGAACCGAGATAAAGAATAAAGGGAGGAAAACAAACATCTCCTAAATTTTCAGAGTTGTTCCTCTTTGATCAGTAAGGGTCTGAGAACAACATCGATTTTAAAATGTAAAAAGTTTTTTGTTTGTTTATTATTGTTTTATTTAATTAAAAAAGAAAAGCAATATTTATATCGTAAATGCACAAATATTGTAAAAGACCATTAATCGGAATGTAATATAGCCAATTGTACATACAAATGTAATGAGAATTTCGGCAATGTAAAATAAAATTTTCAGAATTAAAAAAATGCTGCGTTGTGATCAAGAATACAATTTATTGTATATGAAATGAAATAAACGTTAAGGGATGGTATTTTATGTCTTGCTTTTACGGAGTTTAATCGGGTTAATTAAAAAAAAAATTATGGATTGAGTATGGTACTCATAATCACAGCCAAGCCCCATATCTCATTTTTCTTTTATGATTGATATACATCGGGATCGTTTTACTCGTCATTTTGACGCTTTATTTTTGACGTTAAATTTGACGTCAGGTCAAACGGTTCATTTGAAATCGCAAGAGTTATCTCCCCCAGTGTGTTGTACGTCTTTAAAGCCTTCGTATGTTGTGAAAAATCTTAGGTATCTATCTATTGTTTCAAATGAAATATTTTATATACCTGAGGGCACATCAAAATAGACAGCGAAACCTAAAGTAAGAATGTTTTGCCCAAGAAGAACTGGTTATTTCTAAGCGATATTGCCTGAATCAGTACGGTTTCCAGGCTCCAGAAAATAACGTTGAAGATAATTAAGAAGTTAATTGATGTTAACATTGGTCTTGACAGTAAATACTCTTTATGTGCTCTTAATTACAGGCAATAATTATTAATTCAGTTCGCATGTGTGCAGCACATTTGCACTGCTCTACTGCGATTTGAATAATAAGCAAAAGTTTTTGAATAGAGCTTTTATTACAAATGCCAAAAATATGACAGATAAATATTTACGACTTAGGAATGCAGCAAGATGGAGGACCCAAAAATATTCCGCACCTTAAACAAAAGAGAACTTGTGATCTTAACATTAAAAAAAAATGTGCATGAATGTTTCAGAGGGAGAAGGTGAGTAAACTTTTAAACCACACGTTTTGGAGCCAAAAGTTATTTTGATATAGATGAGGCTAATATTAAAGGGCGCTTAGAAACTATCACCCGGAAGAAAAAAACCCATGACTAATGCATTTGTATGTCATTAATAATGTAAGCGCAAGTGAGTTAAGGCTAAATATGGGATTTTCTATGCAAATGAGCTAATAAAAATGCATAAATTGTGTATTTTATCTACAGAGAATGTAAAAAATGATTTTCTTATACCTACTTAGTACCGACAGTATATTATTGCAAGTGCACATTATGACGTCATAGTTCTTTCCCATTGAAGGTAATAAAACACATCAACAAAACAACGTCGGCGCAAACTAGAGCAAAGCTCGTTGCAAAGCAAAGAGTAGGTCTTCCGTCCTGTTTGACCGGAAGTAACTTTCATTTTTTTTTACAAAAAAGAGTAATAACGCCAATAAAATGGTTTAAATCCTCTAAATCTATGTGCAAAAATAAGCGTTTTTCCTACTTCCGGTTTGACCGGAAGTGACGACGACGGACGGAAAAATTAATTTTTATGCTCCCAGTGACAGATGTTACCCCAAAACTTGTCAAGAACCGCAAAAGTACGCGTTTTCTGAATACTTCCGGTTTGGCCGGAAGTTACGTCGATGGACGTATTTTGATGACTCCAATAGATTGATCTTGACATTTTGAACAACTTTGCTTCTTTGAGGTATTACAAATTCTCAATACTTTTTGAGATATAAAGGAAAAACCTTTGGCTCCTCTAGGCCTCTAATTTTAGGGGCCAGCCCTTTTTTCGAGATATCTTTGAAAGATCTTAGAATTTTACACTTCTTTTGTTCTATATGTTTTAACAAAATATTTCTAGGTAAAAAGATATCGTAAAAAAGGTGTTAAAATGAAATTCGCGATAGACTATTTCGGGCCACAGCGATCGCCGACGTGCGGCACTTCCGATAATAATGAAATACCTTACGCATATCTATAGACTTAGGACTATCATACCTGAAAGTTTCATGTTTCTTTCTAAAGCCATTTGTTAGAAAGTCAGTGGACAACCTGACCCTTCAAAAATCATAAAATCGACAATATCTCCATACCGGAAGTGACATCATAAAAAATATATAAGGTTCAAGTAATGTTACATAAGTTCTGAAAGTTTCACTGAAATCCATCAAGCCGTTTTCGAGAAATCGCGAGCACAAAATCGGTAAGAAAAAAAGAATAGTGATATAGAAGAAAAAAAAGTGAAAAAAAAAACCCGAAGAATAACAAGAAGGTCTTCCGATGAAGACGCAAGACCTTAATTAGTAACTTGAATAAATGGAGGCAATTATTATTTGGTAGATAATGAGTGTCGATGAAACGAGAAAAAATAGATAATATGTGAGACGTACTTTATTCTATAAATAACTCTTCACATAAGGAAATAAAAAGAAGGAAATATATTATAATAGCTATTTTCATACTAAAATTCTTCAGTAACGTTTGCTATTATTCTTACATATATGTTCCTTTCTTAAAAAATGACAATCGTAAATATAAAATCTCTTAAAGCGTAGAAGATAGCTGAGCATTTTTTTGCTTTCTAACCCCATTCAGAAAAGGTTTCCTAAAACAAAATCTTATAACATTTTATGTATATATGTTATTCCGTTTCAAACATGAAAAGTGGAGCTGCATTAATTTATTTTCTTTGTGAAATTTCATTGATTGGGAAAATAGCAGAGGCTTATGGTAAGATTAATTTAATTTTTTACGGAATTTTTCAGTGCACGACTTTCATTTGTTGCATCTTCATTTAAACATTTTCGTCAATGAAGTACATGTACTTGGTAAAAACTATTCTACACATATAAATCTACCAAACAATACTATATTTTACATCTGTCACTAAGAGTTTCGATGATTTTGCAAATGAGTTCGATATGTACGTTTAAGGAAATTTGAAAATTTGAGATCATCTCCTTTTTTTATTCATATTGTACGTTCTACTTGTAATTCTGCTGCCTTAATCACCTCTGAGTTGTGAAACTGTTACATTTTTGTAACTCATAAGTTAAAGAATAAATTAAGGGAAAAATGGCCATTCACTTCCAATCTTGCGTTTTCATTTGTGTCAAACAGTGCTTCGCCATATTAGGTATCCATAAAGAGATTTTTGCAAGATATCTTTTACATATTTTCTGGTTAAAGCAATGCTTAAGCAAATTATAAATAATCTGCTGTTGAGTATATAATACTTCAGTGAATACCTTTTTTCGGCATTTGATTCTTTGTTCTTCGTAAAGGTTTTATTTTCTTAAACATTCACCTTATTGTCATAAGAAAGCATGTTAGTGCATGTAATATCTAGGAAACTAAATTAGACTGTGATATTTTATCCAACTCGTTGTGTGATTTTACTCACAACTCGGTTGATAAAAATCACATCCAACAACAAAACGTGGTAGTTCCTATATATATCTCCGTTGTATTTCTTCATTCAACGTGGTTAATACATGAACTTACGTAGATGTAGTTATGAGGAAAATGGATAGGATATTAAAAAATAAAAGGTCGTTTCAAAACACACACAAAATAATAAATACTATTTATGATTCTGAAATTAAATTAGGGCAATAGCCAAGATCTTTGGCCTTTTTTTTCTTTATTCAATTATCGATACCAAACAAACACATTACTTACTATAATAGGTATTCTTTCCTCTTATTACAAAGTTATATTAAATTCCATTTTGTAGCAAAATAAATAGTTACAGTGTATATAAAATGCAGAATCAAAATTAACATGAATATTCAATAAACAAACATGTGTATTATTTTCTGAAATATTAAGAGTGTAATACAGAAAAGAAATACGTTTGTCTGTTGCAAAAAAGAATTCTCATTTAAAAAAAATAATGCATTTCCTTCATTTTTTTTTCCCCTGAAGAATCCAGCACTGACTTCAAAAATTCTTTCGATTTCTTTTTCTTAAGATAATCTTGCTCTCAAAAAACCAAAATGGCAGGCGCATTGGTACATGTATATATATAAATGCTGGTACATGTATCCACTTGAATATGAATGTGTTTTCTTTTTTAAGAAAATCTTGCTTTAAAGAAAGAAACATGTCAGGAGCATTGGCATACATACAAATACTGATACATATATCCAAATGAATATGTTTTTTTCTTTTTTAAAGAAAATCTTGCTTTAAGGAAACCAACATGGCAGCAGCATTGGTATACATACAAATATTCATATCCACCGGATAAAGCCGTGGATGGGAAGTTTTCAAGCCGGTCTCCATATGGAGGACAATGTACAGTATCTGGCAATTATAAAAGAACTGCAACCTGGCGTGTGGATCTAGGAAAATTTCTTAACATACATCATATTACTATCTACTACAGGACGGACAACCTTCCATGGGGTACAATATTACTAATTATATTACAATGTATTTTAATGTTACAATATAGAAAAAAATAAACATCTATTTTTCCGATTTCATTATAACAGTAATCAAAGTTAAGATTTAAAAAATCATTAATATAATTAATGAGCTGATAACCTCTGTTTATAAATATGTTACTTTTCGAAACTTTGATGTGTTTTATAGATTTTTTTTTTCTTTCATTGGGCTACTTTTTAATAGTCTTTCATCAGTATTATGTTAATTAAAATCCGAATTATCGAAGATTTTAACAGCTAACTACATGCATAAACATTGAATATTGGAACATGTTGCTTATTTTCGTCCATTTTACTTATTTGATTTAAATGAACATTTAACATACGATTTAGATATTTCCATCACAGTTTATGAACGCATGGACCTGTAAGTTTTTATTTCACATTTTCAAAGTTAATTATATTCCATAAGGCCCTGACAATGGATACACAACCCGATTCCTAGGATTTTCGCTTTTTATATCAAACACAACCAACAAAGATGACGGTTATTTATGTTTTAAAGACACAAACTACACTAGAGACACGATACCGAGTAATATTACAATAGAATGTATAAAGCATGGACGGTACGTCATCTATTACAATGAGAGACTCCCAGGAGTTACCTACCCTGATGGATATTCTACATACGCGTACAATGAACTCTGTGAAGTCCAGGTTTATGGTAAGGGATGATAAAATACATACCTTATTCTGTATAAGGAATAACAATCAATACTTTACGTTGTACTTTGTAAATGGTGCCTGTTTTTTAGGGTAACAGTTGAAATTGACACCCCATGGAAAACCATTGTCAACCAATGCAATGAAGAAAAGCTGGATCAAACATCTTCACTTGTTATCTAATCTCACCACCAGATCTCTGATCGATTCATTGAGTTATTCTAGATCTAAATAAAGTTTAAAACATTCGTATTTGTTTTTGCAAATACGCATGACAGGAAATAGTTTGCCGTATAAGCAGAAATTTTAGCGAGGATTTAATTTTGGCATTATTAGCTAGGATGCAAAGATCGCTAACATTGAATATCGTAAAAAATTAATTGCGCTTTATTTGTGAAAGTTTATATAGTGAGCTTATAAAAATCGCTAAAAATACATCTCGCTAAAAATAAAATACCAATTTCTAAGGACAAATCGCTAAATACGTATCGCTAAAATTTCCACCTACGGTACTTCAGGAGGTTTGGATATATTTATTTAACTCGTTATGTGTTTTTATCCCCCAGCTTTGGCTCAATGTAGAGCTAGAGCAAAAATACATTGAATATATATATATATATATATATATATATATATATATATATATATATATATATATATATATATATATATATATATATATATATATATATATATATATATATATGGTCATTTAAAATATTCTAATATTCAATATAGGATGCCCTTCCTTTGTTATTTTCGGAGAGAATTGTACATTTCCGTGTCCGCAGACTTGTCGTGAAGAACGCTGTAGCATTGTGGACGGGACTTGTTTTGGATGTATTGCCGGGCAGAAAGGCTCACGATGTGAACAATGTACGTAACTACAAGCCACTCCTGAAAAGATTTTTTAAGAGAGAGAGATGAGAAAGAATACATAATTAATGACTTGTGCTTTAATAAAAGTTTTAAAATCGTTTTTTTGTGATGATTATAACTAGCTAATGGTTAGGTTTTTATACGGTTTAAAAATAAAGGCATATCATAACTATATCTGTAACTACGAAGAATTATCAATTTCACCCGATTCAGCGATACATCTAAACTCGCATGTATTACTGGATCACTTGCAGTCTCCTTCATAGTTTGGTTTAAGCATAACACCGAGTAATTGCCGATTCATTTCATACCCGAAGAGCATAATCAAGGAAGGAACAATTTTTATAATGATATAGGATACTGTCTAAAATATATCATTTATAAAAATAATTGAATACTGTTGTCGAAACAACCATTAACATCTTTGCAAAAAAAATATGTCGTTAGCATGGTTAGATCTATGAAAGTATTGGGTTTTTCATATTTTTAGGCCATTATCTTAACTTTCATTCAAATATCTACAGATTTTCCTTTTATCTCTTCAGGACAATATAGCAAATCATATGTACATGTTGTATTTAAGTTTCTTTTCGTCTTGATAATTTAGTACAGATTTGGTTAATACAGATTCATCATGCAGTACCAATATCCTCTTAATGTAAAAAAAAATCCACGAACATATATTGTAGGACTGTCAAACACATTTATTCCCCATTTTGTAATCAAAAGAATTGTTATAAAAGTAATAAATAAATATACCCCTTTGATGAGGTCGATCCATAGATATATCGACTTCACAGAAAAGCATATTGACCGAGCACGAAGTGCGAGGTCGATATGCTTTTCTGTGAAGTCGATGTATCTATGGATTGACCGAATTAAAGGGCTACATTTGTTTTATAATTTTTTAAAACACGTTGATAAAAAACCAATTAGAAAAAATGGGAACAAACCACAAGTTTTCTCTCTTAAACACTAAGAGACTAGAAATCAAAATAAATAGTTGTTTAATATAACTGAGTTAAACTTTCCTTGACATTTTTTTGATTTTTACATAATTTTGAGGATTTACTAGTTGAAAATACTACAAATGTACATCTTTTTGATTATGTTTTGTATCACTTTTAACAAAGATATTCAATATATTCTAATATTAAGTAGATCTTAATTCAGGCCATTGTTACATCTTATGAGTTACACAACATTACAAATTTAAATACAAGTTGAAGTATATATTTATTTTTTAGAAACATCAAGTCATACAATGTTTTAGCTATAACTGTGAAATCTTTCCTATTAATTTCTTGTTTTACAGAAAATTACCTCTATTTTAAGAAACATCAAGACGATATGCATTTCAGATTCATAAATAGTAACTCAAGTCTATATGCTGTTATATACTAAATCATGTGACCACGTTTAAGCAAATCAGAGAGCTTGGAATATATGATTAGAATAATATTATGGGGTATATTAATTTCGTATTCTATTTATAGTTTGTGACGGTGGTAAATTCGGACAAAATTGTGCTCACTCATGCGGGCTTTGCTTCGGAAATGAACAATGTCATCACATTAACGGGTCATGCTTGAACGGATGCGATAGAGGTTACTATGGAGACAGATGTACACAAGGTTGATTAATCACGAATCTATAGTAAAAATCAGTATATTGTCTTTTTCATATCCATCGGCTTACGTATCGTCAACCTACATATTCTTTTAAAAATTATACAGACCAACTGATGACCATACAAAAGTGGAAAAAAAACTAAGGAAAAATTTAAAACCTACATAACCTTTGCTACTTTTTAAGAACTCTCTTCATTTTTCTGTTAGCGTGTTCTGAAGGGTGGTATGGATACAACTGCCTAGACATGTGTGACGTCAATTGTGGAGAGCGGACAAGATGTGACAGGAAAACAGGGCAATGTCAAAATGGCTGCCAGGCAGGGTGGAAGGATACAAAATGTGACAAGAGTAATAAATTGTTTTACATTTTACATATTTTTAAAAAATTGAGAGTATTTTATAGAAAATTCAAAATAAAACAAAACTAAACTAAAAATACAAAATATGATGTAATACATATACATGTACTTAAGAAATACTGTATTTGATCCCTTGTTTCACAGAAACATTTTTACATGAACCAAAATGACTTATTTTTGTGCTTTTCTTCTCAATTAATAAATTCTGAAAGTTGAACAATAATGCACATAACGTAAAATATTAGACTTCTAAATTGCACTAAAAAGGTGCGTTATTTACAAATTACCAAATATATTAGCCTAAAAATTAGCCATAAAAACTTTTCATTTCTTTAGAATGCGACGGAGGTAAATTTGGACTAAACTGTGCTCAGTCATGCGGGGTTTGTCTTGATAAAGAACAATGTCATCTCAATTACATAGGAAAGTAATTAATTAAATTACAATTACTTTCCCAAAACCTTCAATTAAAGGGATAGTCTCTAAGGTTCATTCAAACAAAATAATATACTTTTTCTGCATTTGGTATAACAGACCCTGTCAAATGATGTTGATCTGTCAAGCTTTGCACTCAGCAGAGTGCCTTACATATCACTTACTTAATAAAGAAACTGCCGGGATGAATTTTTATCATCCACACAAAAATTCGGCTTTTATCTTTGCTCCATTCACGAAGACCCCTGCTGACCCTGCTCGTAAAACAAACTGCGCATCCCTGACCGAGGTCAAAGTAGCCGAAGATGTCGGAGGAGAAGAGATCAACACGTGGGAGAAAACGATCTTTAACAGATTCAGCAAGAAAACTGAAACAGAACTTCAGTTGTGTCAAAATACAATCAAAGCAGAATAGCTATAGGTGGTCACTATGATCGTTGGATGGAATTAAAAGAGACGCTGCAGCTTAAACTCATGCCGATGTAGCAGAGTACCTGCTTCATTGGTAAGTAAAATAATGTTCATTTTCACAAAAACTGCTAAATAAATCTTGATTTCAGTATAGGTATTTAGTAGTAGGAATGAGTTTATCTTTTATTTTTATCTAAAACTGCAATATTTTAGAGAGAAAATGGGGATTAAGCCGATTAACAAATGTAAACAGTATGTAAACAAACTGGGAATGCTGAGCGAAACCCAGGGGGTACGCTTTCTTTGTTTAGTAAATGCGATAGGTATTAACAAAAGATAAAACCTGCTGCTTTATTAATTTTGTTTGTGCAATATAATGCTATATAAAGTATTTTAGATAAAAGGACTGATACTATATTGAAATTAATTAAGAATTAACTATTAAATCAGTGTCTCAAATGAACCAATATGAACATAAATGTCGTATATATAGGAATGAAACCTTGAAGTTTGAAAGTTCTCCCAAGAAGGTTAAAACTGCAATAAGTGCAGTGACATCAACACCGGGACCAACAGCGACCATTCTCCCACCCAAATTTTCAGATGTGTCTGAAATATCTTCAGATCTAGACAAGGGGGACAGGTAAATTAACAAGATTGGCAATTAGAATAAAATATTCTTTAAAATTTGAGTAGTATCTAGACCTTATATCACCATTCTTGAAAGATATATTTAATATACATGTATAGGTGTTATGTTTCTACTTTTAGAAATTCAGATTTATCTGGTGTAGAACAGTTTGTAAAAACTGATAAGAAAACAACAGCTCCAAGCAGTTTCTTGAATCCTTTAGAGTAAGTACAATTATTTAAATCATAGGTATCATATAAAAATTATTTCCATAGTATAAGGTTTGATATGCATGCCATCAGAATACTTTTAAATAATATTTGTTATTACTGATTTATGTCATTGTATCTATTATATCAGAATAATTATCATAATCCATGTTGATCTTACAGAAATTTTGTTTCGTAGTCTCTCAATCTGCTTATCAGAAAACTACACCAACGAGAACTCAGAGGATTCATCAGATGAAGATTATGAGCCTAGTTTCATAATGACCATGAGGTATGTTTTGCAAGGACACCTTGCTGCTAAGCCAGTAAATTATTTAATTTATTTTCATATTTCAATATTTTCAATCTACTGATTAACATTAGAATTATTAATAAAATTTAATCCCTGTCATAAGAAGGACACTCAGACTGAAGCCGTGGTTGAGGACTCTGAAAATGAGGATAGCTCTGATGAGGAATCAAATGATGATCTTCGCCCCGGGATTGCCAAAATTTTAACTCCAGAAGAGATTGGGGGCTGTAAGGAAGACCGCCCTTTCCTTGTTTATCTTTCACAGCTTCACACATTAGCTGAATTACCTGTCCTACCAAATTGTCAGCTTAAAGGATGCCAAAAATCAGTGCATTTGGAGAAAACTGTTGTTGGATCGGCACTCTATTTCAAATGGGTACGTAAGAAAATTGCCTTTTAATCTCATGTTTTAATAAAGTACCCAGGTACTATGAATTGGAAACAGATTAATAAATTATCATATGGTTTATTTATAGAATTGTTCTGATGGACATCAAGCTGCAGCAATGGTGCTCACAGCCTGTCCTAAACAGAGGAATGCATTTAGGGGATTTGACACTCTCCTCTCTTCCATACTTCTCTCTGGAAGCAATTTTCAGAATCCTCCTCTCCCACGCCCTCTGCCTCTTCCCCTCCGCCTTCCCAAATCTGAAGAGGATGAGGATTCTGGGGAAGAAGATGTCTGTCTTGATAAATTGATATTCTATAATAAAAATTATACATTTGTATTATTCATTCTATAATAAAAAATTTTATTCATAAAAATAACATACATGTTCATGAAATCAATTTAAGCAAAAAATACCTATCAAAAACACATGATCTTCAATTACTTAATATTTTAAACATGAAAAATATGTCAAAATCTCTATAATTGCAATTATTTTAATTCAGTTTTGTTAGCATAGGTAAATGTATACTGTAAATTAGGAGCAGGCTTAATTAGTTTTTTTTTTTAATAGACAGATATATAATTAATGCGTGTATGTAATTGTTCATATGTCTGGTAAAAATATGTATATATTAAAAAAAATTAAAAATTCAAAACTTAAAAAGCTCAACTTCAGTTTCAATTAAGTTTGAGATTTGGGAGTCTTTTTGAAATTTTAATTCAAGGATTACTTATGCTGTCTATTTCATATTATCAACTGATGTGTTCAGGCCTTGTTTAAAATTCCCCCTCTTTATTTCATCTTTTTTAAAATGTATGATAGAAAAGGGGAATTTTTTAGTTTTACATGATTTGTTTTTGTCTGTTTTCAAACAAAAACACAAAACTGCCAACGCAACTATACTTTCTGTAGTGTAATGTTTGTTGGTGAGTTAACCTTTATGAGGCCCCTCACATATTATAACCCGATGGAGGTCACTCTGTTCAACTGAGGTGTGTTTTAAAGATAATATAAATGTAAATAGAACTTTTTAAGTATAATTTTAAGGTTCTCTAAGCTTTAAATACATGAAACTTACCTCTTCTGTGTCCATTCTCTGCTACTAAGCATCCAAAGTGAAAATGATAAGATGGTCAGCATCTTCCTGCTGAGTCGGCTATCTTCGGAAATCATGCCGAGCAATAATGAGGGCAGTAAACAGACTTCACAGATGGGTGATAATATTTATTGATTCTGTTAATCAGCAAACTTCTTTTAAGCTTGCAGTAATGAGGGATTGTCCTAATAATGTATTTCACACATTTACGTGCTAATTTATTGCCTATGAAAATATCGTTCAGACCTTAGAGACTATTCCTTTAAATTACCATTACCATTACATGGATTTTGAAATGTAATTGATCAAGTTATAATTACTTTGCAAATGTAATTAATTAAATTACACATTACATTCAAGAAAACATGTATAAATTAAAATGGAAATAGTCATGTACATTCCTAATCCTTTATATTTATATCAGATTATTTTTCAACATATTTTTACAATAATATTTTTAAGATGTTCATACAATTTTCAATTACTGTGTCTCCTAACCTACAACTATTAGATTTGAAGATTTTCCTGCCACACTGAAGATTCTTTCCACTGGGGTATTTGTGACAGGAATACACAGATACTACTAGTAGAAAGTTTATTCATGGTTTTACCTTAATTAATTTATATGTTAAAAATTTGGAATCATGAAACATTTGATTAAATTTTTGTTGAAAGTACAATTGATGCCTTTTGCATTAATACTTCCTCATTTCAACAACATATTAAGATATTCTCAAAATGTTGGTATTTGACTTATTCTGTGCCAAGCTACAATTTAAATGCAAAGGTGTGTGTGAATAAAAATACCAAGAGACAAGATCAAAATGTGTGAAAATTATCTATAATTAAGGAATATGTACATGACTCCAGGACACTAATTAGCACCTGATAATAACTTCTAACACAGCTGAAGATATTGCAAACAAGAGGATTAGAAGCCATTGTACTACTTATTTTGAAATGGATTAATTAAAAAATCAAAATATAAATCTTATTTCGTCACTTTACAAAGATTAATTTGAATTAAAAGTTTTTAAGAAAATAAAATAGGAAAATCTCTAATTAGCAATATACTTTAACATGTTTTAAAGGGAAATATGACTATATGTTAAAATTCTTTTAAGAAATTCTATCAGAATATTTGCTCAAAAAAAAATCAGTTAACCTTTCTTAAATAATGTTTATGAGATGGTAGGGAGTGGAGGATTTTTCATTTATTTAAAATCAGTGTAATTGAATGTAATTGAAAAGTAATTGTGAGTTACATGCCTTTTTGGAAAGCAATTAATTTAATTACCATTACTTGTAATTAAAAATTTGGCCAATTACACATTACTTTCAATTACATCGAAATCTGTAATTAATTACAGTCAATTACCATTACACATTACCATTACCCCATCACTGTCTGTCAGTCTATCCCACTTGGTTTGCCGCCATTTTTTTTTCTAAACACTTTCAGATTTTGAGCTGATTTTTGGTACATAAATTTATCTTGATGAGTTATAAGTCAGGTTTTCATAGATATTTGACGAGATATTCAATTTTCAAAAGTTTCGTGTATTTTTTAAAACTTTTGCAGATATTGAACTGATTTTTTGGTAGGTGACTGTGCCTTGACAAGTTAAAGATTAAAATTGCCTTTTACCCTTTGATGTTTTTCCCCTGTATTTTGGTATTTTTTCGAGTATCTGTTTAAATTGCCGGTACGGGACTAGTGTTGTAAATGCAATACTCTCAGAATGGTTGTCATCAATTATACAAAGTATACTTTTACAGAAACGTACAATGTCTAAGATACATATAATTGTTTTTTTTTTAATTTAATTGACATTATTAAGGTTACTGAGACTATGAAAAAGTCATATCCCCAAGGTCAGAGAAATAGTATCCCAGAAGAGCAGCAAATATATACAGCTTGGCGCACTTTTTAAACTCAAAGGCTTTCCGCACAAATTAACGTCACATATTACATAACTATACTTTATAACGGAACAATTCTATATTGTATAACGAGCAACAAAATATATTTTATATGTGGAGTTTGACTTTTTGACTTATTATTATTTTAATTTTGTTTTACTAACAAAAAATTCAAAAGATACATACATAAGAATAATACTTGGTAAACGTTGATATACATTTAATGAAAAATATGGATATAACGAACAGTATTCAATATCGAAGTCCAAAAAACAATACAAATTAAGAGCAGAGCAAACACGGACCTCAAAACCGTCAGAGGTGGGATTAGGTGCCATGAAGGAGTGAGCCTCCCTTGCCTACTGGTCACACATTTGTGTGAAAAACCACGTGAGCTTAAAAATGCGCTGACCTGTATTAGTTCCATGTTGAAATACTGAAAATTATGTTACGTGTATTCATCGTAATTATTATTAACAATGGCTACTTAAGTTTAATTATAACATGCATTCTGAGAGTTTTGTATTAGTGCCCTACCAGCAAGTATAAAGTGTAAATTTCTTTCCAATAAAGATTTAAAACTCCACAATTCTGTCAAAAATCATTCAAACGGAACAAAATGTAAACTTGTTTTATAATTAATCATGATAAAGTCACATCCCGGTACCAATCATGAGCAATATATCTGCAAGGCTAAGAAAAAATTTGTGCAATACAGACTGACTGACAGACAAACAGAGGGGAACTAGACGACCGGATGGACAGAAAGACAAACAAACTGACGGACAGTGAAAGCCTATAATCTTTCCTATTCACTATACAGCATAAGATATACAAATGTTACACAAAAAAATATCTTTTGATAATGGAATTTTACTTTCAGAGTGCCCAGATGGACGCTTTGGATACAATTGTGAGGGAAATTGTAGCAGTTGTCCATTTATTGAGACATGTGACGCAATATCCGGACAATGCAATGGTATTATTATATTAATTTCAT